CTTATAATACATACCTATAATAAGCATTGTAAAATCATCCTTTTTTTAGAGAGCTTGGGCCCTTGTAACTGAAGGCCACAGAAAGAGGTTTCCAAGGAATGCTCTTAGGTTTTCTAATAAGTTGAGTAGGTATCACATTCATGAATATTCGCCAAATAAATATGGGGTGCTGCTCGTTGTTCGTTGTTTAAAGTTTTAAAGGTTTGTTCGTCTTACTTTTGCCGTCAGTCTAATTCCATTTTTAGAAGTCATTAATAATGAACATGGACATTTCCCTCTTTTCTTTTTGTTTTTGTTTGTTTTTTATTTGTTTGTTTTTTATTTTTCTCTCTTTCTACAGGAGTCAACGAGACTTTCAAGAGAGCTTAGCGATAAATACTTTGAATATTGGTCCCCGGCTAGAGTTTGCTTCGAGAAATGGAACCGGGATTGAGAGGCTCCATAGGGAACCAATTGTCCAACAACAGGGTGTATACACCACCCTGTCTCCTGTGTCAATGACGGTAATTATACTTACAAAAAATTAGAGTTTCTCAATATGAGCCTTATTCAAAAAGGTACCAAAGGACGTGCCATACATTGTACTTCCTTTTTCCAATTTTTTAGCTGTTCTTCTTTGCTCTCTGCATGTGCCCCTTTCCTTGCAGTTATATTGCTACTCTGACGGAACTTGACTGTGGTATTTTGACATAAAACTTTTAATATTATACAATTTTTATTGTTTTATCCATTTACCATTATTTTTCATCAATTTTTTCATCCATTTAAATCCTTATTTTCCTTTACATCTGTTTCAAACTTCACCTGTTTGATTATGACCATTTCGGGAATGGCGGGTAAAGAGGTCTCATTTGAAAACGGGCAATGAGTTTTAAGCGCAGTGTCTAATAAAACATTCACTAGAAATGTATTTGAATGAATGTCTAATTTTCACTTGGCAGTGTTTATGGTTTCCTTCAATTTTTTTTCATTTGCACCGGCGATTTTAGTCGTGTTTTCCAGCATTACCAAGCCTGCCAAGTCGATAATAACACAATTTTTGTAACATATAAAACTGAATATTTTGCAGACCTCTGAGAACGATGGTTCCCGAACGTACACTTCCCTTGTGAAATCAACAGAAGACAGCGACATTGAATATGTGAATCAAATAACTGCTGCTGAATATGTAAATGCTTATTAAAGGATCGTTCGTAAGACGATTAGTGCTAATCCTAAGAAGCTGAGGTAAAATCATTCTACAGAGCTGGTATAGCTGCTGTCAGCTGATTTGAGAGTGTGCCGGTCCACGAGAGCACCAGATGCTAAATGCCATCTCACCGATTTCAGTTAAAATTTGCCTACCGTTGACACTGAGCTAGTTCAATCGCGCTTTGAGCTAATTGGTCCTCGAACTTATGTTCAATGTATATAGACGGTAAATTGATTGATAAGTAAATACATGAAAATTATGGAATTTGAATGATCAAGTAGTTTTATCAAGGCTATTATCTTATTGGTTCCAAATGCATTCTAAACTAATTGCAGTTAAAATAAATACGGTTAAAATATATCAAGCTATCCAAAAGGCTACAGACCATATATACACGAATAAGATAGAGACAGGAAATCAATGACCGGAAATTGCGTCTTTATCTTAAATGGTCGTTCAAGTATACCTTTCATACACTTTTGTGGCGTTTCAGATATCCTCATCTAAAGCATTGAACGATTTAGCGAAGGTGCTGGTATTTATACTTCTTGGAGTCGATTTGTGACTGTCGAGAGGAAGTATATGTGTAAGGACACGTTGATGATTCTAAAGTTCATGAAGCTCAAGCTCTTGATCGAATGTCTGGTTTCATTATTTAGTTGTTTTCTAGAAAGTGGTGATCGATTTTAGATTTATTTCGATCATCAAACTGATTGAACACTTCACTTTCGCGGTGAATCAAGAGAACTCGAGATAAACCTCAGGGTAAAACGCGTTTTGATTATAACAAGAATTTATCAAGAGCGACGGACAAGGATGGCATAGTTTTTTTTTTTGGAGTAGGAATTAGTGACGATGATAATGATCGTTACACGGTAGAATCTGGGTATGAGATTAGACAAAGACGTACACTGACCTGTTATGCAAAAAATGAGCTGCTGATAGATAATGGCATTCAAAAATGTATTCGAATCTTGATTAAAGGAGAAAGTTTTCTATGACTTGAATGATCTGACTTTGCTTCCTAAAAGTACTGGTTGCGAGCAATTTGAAATTCCTAGCGAAATGATAAACAAACTTGTAACAGTCTCAGTCCTTGAAATGCGTCAACCACTTTAAAATCTTTAAACAATGAAATGACACAAATTAAAATTGTTCATTCAACTGTGCCGTTGAACTAATTAGCTTCATGTTATTCTATTCCAACTGTTTGGTTTCCGCAATGGCCAATACCAAGTCACTTATTCAATTGTAACAAAATTAGGAAGGAAGTTAAAGTGTCAACCGCAACCACTTGTTTTTGACCTTCACTTTATGTTTCATCGATATTGTTCGACACTTGAGTGAACTTCGGCCGCTTTAATTTCGCATCTTCCCTCTCTAGAAAGAGGAAGAATGTTTAAAATTTTTCCATTTTCTAAGTCTTCAATGTTTTCACAACCTACCCGTCTCGTGTGATCAAAATACCAAATTACGCAAAGTAAGACCCGAGAATAACCTGGACAGCCAAGGATGGCGAGTACTGACGTGAGTGGAGCCGACCAACTTGAATATCTATGCTAATTTTGATATGATATTCGAACCGTAACTTCGGTATGCTTCAGGTGTCTGTCTGATTTCTTTTCATGCTAAGCTGTAATGGAGATTTCGTCTTGCTAACTTTTTTTTTATGGTTGGGCTTGGCTATCATGATACTTTACATCGAATAAAGGAAGGTAACTGTCCAATATTTTCGTGGTTTTGATTTTCAGTCGCAAGTTTTGAAAAATGGTCTGTTTGCATAACTCGATGGTTGAAGGAAACTACTTAAAACAGTGGAGGGAACCCTCCTGAAGTCGATGAAACCACCAACCTCGTCCCTAGGGCTTTTTAAGATAGCCAGATGTTTCTTCAGGGTGACTGCAATTATTGAAAACTGACAGAGAGACTCGTAAAGTTGATGTAGACACTTCACGGAAGACAGCTCATCATCAGGCCAAAGGGCAGAAAGAACAATGAACAGTCAGGCATGGGTACTTTAATCCTTTATACTCTAAGAGCGATAAGCATCTAATTTCTTCCAACACTATAACCCCTTGAATCAACTTTTAAGGTTGTGAGAATAAAAGAAATGATTGTGAACTCAAAAGTTCTTGATTATTAAACAAATTCTCCTTGTAATTGTCATAGGAAATCTATGGAGGATTGTAGGAAGAATTTGCATACTGATGACACGGTGTAAAGGGTTAAGACACCCACATTTCTTAATGAGAAAAGGAGCTCAACAAGAGTAGAGTTTAAAAAAAACGTAACGATATCAGGTAGAGGAAGGAGTCTCCACATACGAACATGTGGCTATCTCTCCTTGTTCGTGACGGGAAGTATTTACTTGAGTGTTGTTCACTGCCTGTGGATTGACTTCCTTTGATTTGTTTTCTAGTAAGTTTGGAATGCGGAATATTATCATATTGGCGTCCGGACATTGACAGATCTTTCCATACATTTGCAGTCCGAGCAGTGAACAGAATCAGTTGCAGTTGTTTCGCAAGCTGGTCAGTACAGTAACACGTCTGTCAATGCAGGAACGGTAAGTATAATTCAGGGTTATTTCATCAACGACGCTAGAGCTCAGCGGAAAGGCACTTTCAAATTATACAAATCTCTTTCCCTTTTCCTTTCCACATAAAATTCCCACCTTCATAAACCCGTCCATTCCACAAGATGCCTACAGAAATTTTAAGCATTCATCCCAGAGATCTGACATGGTCGCCTTCACTTTCATTTTTCTGAAGTTCACAGATTGCTCACAAATCACCCTGTTTAAAGAAAAAAATTGTAGTTGGTAGATTGTAATTGTAATCGTAGTTAGAGACCAACACTTGTTAGCTCTTGCCAAGCCTGTTCTCTTAGCTTGACACTCGCTGTCTCTTATCTCGCCTAAACCTAAATTGTTTGAAATAACATCTTAATCTTAGCTCTCCTTGTTGATGGCCCCCTTTGAGAAGTTTTAAAATTCTGCATTTTGACGCCATCTAAAGTAATGCGTGCACAACGGTGCGCTGATGACAGGTTACAATTTCCGTTTGGTAATTGTGACGCACTCACCCAGAAGTTTGAGGTCATTTAATTATCTAGAAATTGTGTTCTGGAACAGACGTTGCATATCTGTTTTCTAAATTTTATGGTTGATTAGATCCCATATCTCAAGGACTGAACAACGCGCTAAAATTTTCTTTCCCGTCTTTACTTTTTGTTCACCGTCTACGAAGGCAAACTTGCTTTTATCTTCGTCAATTTGAGGAAGGGATTTCGATTGATGTCTTCTATAACCGAAAAAAAATTCGATTAACCTTTTCACTCAGGCTCCTAAGATCTGATTGTTAATTCTCTTCTCTAGCTGCTACACATTTTCATGTAAAACAGTTCCAAGAATTTGGTGTCAGATCAAGACAACGTCTATCTGATAAGTCGTAGTATTCTCATTTCCTGTTTGCTGGATAAATTATGAAAATCATACGGAGGAGTTACATATTAAACACTCCTGGGAGTTAAAAGGCCATTATCTTGTGATAATTGGTGTTCGCTAAATGAAATAGAGGGTTATACTTAACCCAAAGCAATGTTTGGTATCGTATGAACTTGGACTTTGTACAAATAGGTAGTTCGTTTTGTGAAATGACATTTTTTTTTTGTAAAGACAAGGGGGGTAAGATGTTTCGACCCCTGGTTTTAAACTGGTGTTATGCGTAGATCCTACAAGTTTGGATCTAAAAGGTGGTACGGTTCCGTTGGTGTTTGTAACTAACAATAAGTTTTTACACTTTCAGACATGACGTCTGATAAAACTGGTTTGGCTTTTTCTGGTGGTGGCATTCGGTCAGCGGCACTATGCTCCGGGGTCCTGCGCAGACTGCTAAAGGATAAAGCTAAAGTAGACTATCTGAGCTGCGTGTCTGGGGGTGGTTACACAGGCACATCCTTTTTGGATTGGAAATTCAGAAAAGAGAAGAAAACGAAGGACAGCGAAGAATGGCATGAAGAGTTCTTTGACAACATGCGACAAAGAGCTGGTTATTTTTGTAACTGGGAGAGGCCACGTCAAGGAGTCCTTGATACGATTATGATGTTCCTCCTCGTACTCACTGTCACCGTCATTGAACCGATTGTCATATATGGATCATACGCATTTCCACTTGCCTTCATCATCGATTACCTCTTCGGAAAGTTACTTCGAGCTAAAGTGGATTGTGATCACGTTGCATCAACCCCTTCTCCAAGTAACCCAAATGCTACGGCGCAAGAAATCCGGAAACACTGTATTTCTCGTCAAAAAACCGTAGCTTTCTCTATGATTTTCCTGTTTTCAGTTCTGCTCGTGTTATTAGTCATCTTCTATATTCTGTCGCAAAAGTTATCCAGGAGGAAGTCTAAATATTTCAGACTTTTCTCATTAATTTCCTTCTTACTTCTTTCTCTTACTTTCCTCCCATTTGCAATCCACGATTTTTTCATTGAAATCCCCCTGTGGAGTCGGGCGATCATTGTAGTGATTGGTGTGGTACTATGGTTCGTCCTTCCTCTTTTGCGGTACAAAACGTCCTACGGCATTCTAATCTATCTCTACTCTTACATCATCTACTGGAAAGTGTACGAAGCCAAGGTTGTTGGTGTTGTGTATTCTGATGGGCTGTTTAATAGGCTGCTTTTTGCCTCTGGGTTTATTATGTGGTTTGTTCCCTACCTGGCACAATCACGGAAAAGGCTCAGCCATGTCTTCAACAGGTAAGACTCAAAAAAGTAATCCGCAGAAGAGAAAGGTAAGGTCGGTACTGGAGCCAAGTGGCCCCCTCCCCCCCTCCAAGCCGGAGTTTATCCCGGCTATCTTAGCATGACTAGGAGTACTACTACTCTCCCCAGGGAGAGATGTTAGTCGATCACAAGGTAATCCCCAAGAATTTCATCAGGCTTCCCTGAAAATTCGCTGCTACCATTTCTATTCCTGTGTGGAGAGAGGAACTGTGATAGTTAAGTGTTTCGCCCAAGAACACACCACATTGACCCAGCCAGATCTCGAACCCAGACCTCTCGATCTCTAGAATTCGAAGTTCAGCTCACTAACATTTAGGCTACAGCGTTTACCATATCCGCAGAATGTTTACTATGTAATGATTACCAACTTAATCACTTTTAACTCTACCACTTTTCAGATGGAGACTTCAGAAGGCATTTTACTCTAAGGAAAGTTTAGCTACTAAGGAATGTCTGGAAATACTCCATGACATTTTCTGCCCTTTATGGACATGTCTGAAGAGAAAACAGAAGCAGTGGTCGTATCATAGAGAACAGAGAGCTAGCGTTGCTTTTTCGGAGAATGACATTGATCCAGCAAACAAAAGATCTTTGAACCTGGCGGATCTCAGAGACCTAGAGCCTGAATATATATCAAACATGACCATCCACAGCTGGAAGAAAGAGGAAGATTCTGACTCGGATGATAATCTCCTGACAATGTCGCCTACCACAATAGAACGTTTAGATCGAGATCCATCGACTGTCGATCCATTTAAGGATAGGCTGAGGCCTCGAGATATAGAGTTGTCAGACGTCATGGCGACGTCTGCAGCAGCGATTTCCGGGTACGATGATAACCTCGAGGTACTCCGCCTTTCCACGATTCTTGGACTCGAAATGGGAGCCTCAATGATCAGCAACCTCGAGGCAATTAAAAAAGAGGGATGGCTCATGAAGGTGAGAAGTTGTTAACCAGGGATCAGATAAATTTCATCTTACAATAACTCCAACAGGACTGCTGTAGAGTTTTGGCCTTCTCAGGGAGTTTCTCTCTGAGAATGATATTCGTTTGGCAATACCATGCTGAGTGTACCCCAATGCAGTTGCGATCAATTGCTCTGACGGAACAGGAGGGGGGAGCTTCGGGGAAGGCAGGATTTTAAGGGAATCATAGGGTTTTCAGGGGGGGAGAGATCATTCGTTACCAACAGATTATAAAGGACAAACATTACGTGTCTTCCCATAAAGCCTTATGGGAAGATCTGGTAAATTTTATTGTGACACCTCAAAAATCTATTCAACCACTCCCCCCATCGCCCCCTCCCCTCACCCCTTCCCCCTGATAAATAATGACCGATCTCTAAGCATAATATTTGCTCGGCAAGTACATATCGTGTTGAAACAGAGTAACAGTAAGGTGACTTTCTTGATTCTGACATTAATTAATGCTTTAGGCTTGCATGTATCTTTTTCTCTTTACAACAGCTCCTCCCAATTCTCATCAACATTCTCCGTGGTCTTCCATTGATCGCTGTACCAGCCGTTTACTATAGCAGAGGAGATGTGTTGTCAATTAAAGCAGGAGTGTTCACATTCTTTGCAATTCACCTCATGTTGGCTTGCATTGGAGCTCTCGCCGATACAGGAGCTCCGAACCCAAACTTATGGGAGAAGATAGCCAGGTAAGGATTGTATAAATCTTAGCACCTTACGATGATGTGGATAGACCCAAACCTAAATACTCATTAATGCCAATCTGAACAATGGGAAATATTCGGGAGAACTCGTGGTAAATTGTTCAATGCAACCAGCCTTAAGGGCAAGAAAAATAAGCACCAAAAAATTGGTTTTCCTAACTGATTAGTTCAGAAGGTGGTCCAGAATTTTGAGTAAAACTAAAGCAACTCTTGTGTTCCTTTGACACACCACTGGAATCGCTATAAATGATAAGTTGAAGAAACCAAAAACGTTCATGCCTCAGTTATGGCGACCAGATTAATCCTGATCGGAAGTTAATTGAAATGAAAGCTTTCTATAATTATATATAATATATATAATCATTGTGGTTACTTTGTAAATCGTCATACAACTTGAGCCCTCTCGAATCACAGAGAGGGTTAAAATTCTCAGCTTATAGTTTGAAAACTTCAGATTTAGAATCTCTTTATGGTGGCCCATTTACATTATCAACTTAGTTGACAAAACCAAATCATCTTGTAATACCTTCCACCTACGCAGCATCACAGTTTCTTTAGAAACTTACCCCCTTTAAAAAAGTGAATATTATGTTATTTTACCAAGGTGGTTCATCGTGCACGTGTCCTTTGTGAAGTTCGTGAGAGAAGGCCTTAACATTGAAAACATCGGACCCATGCCTCCTCCCGTCATGCTACTCAGCGATGGAGGCCACGTGGAAAATCTTGCTATTTTGCCATTGTTAAAGAAGAAACTCAAGAAAATTATTGTGGTGGATGGCGGTTACTATTTCAATGAGAAGAAGTATGGAAAAGACCTACTAAGAGCACTGATGCTGGCTCGTAGAGACCTGAACTGTTCATTTATTGGCCAGGGCGGTCGTGACGTCATTTCAGACCTGTTGGAGAATTTCGTGAGGCTTCAGCAACCAGATGAAAAAAAACCACGACATTTCAGGTACCTTGAGTTGGCGCAAGAGATAATGAGTTCCCATTTTTTCCACTGATTTGGGATAGCGAATCTATTCTTGGTTCTCGGATCCATGCTAAGGTTTATGTCTCGCGCGAAGTTTGGACCGAGTTCACCATGTGCAATTATCTTCAGCTTTGAAAGAGGTTCTACACGACACAAAAATTACCACTGTAACAAAACTTCTTTAATGGCATAGAGTCAATGAAAGCTAGAAGATCTGAAATTCAAACAAGTTTATAATCTCTCGATTCAAAACAATAATTTTTTTATCCTTTTTTTCTTCTTTTTGCTAGATTTAAAGTTGAATACTATGAAAACGACCACAAAGTTGGTGAAGGCGAAATTTTGTTCATTCGGCCAAGAGATCCGCGAAAAGGTGAAAAGAGCGAGTTCAAGACCTGGGAAGAATTTGGTTTCCATCTGGACGCACGTGACTGGGGGAATAGTCCATATCTGAGCGAAGAAGACGTCGACAAGTTGACCTTCTGTTGTTGTGCATGTTGTAACAAAAAGTCCCACCTAAGCGGTTTGTCTGAGCTCCTCTGCCACAAGTTCCCGAATCATAGTACAGCTAATCAATTCTTCACACCTTTAATGTTCTCCGCCTATCATCGTGAAGGCTTCCGAGCATGCGTTGAAGCGGAAGCTGCTGAATTTCTCAAGGATAACCACGATGTCCTTGAAGTGTGATTGTTTCTCAACTGAGAGTGTGTGTATGTAGCCAACCCTTTCACTCCCAAGAGGTCATTAGTAATTCTCCTTACTGCCTGCCATACGATTCTTATGATTTTAGTTCTGAGAATTTGGTATTGGATCAACTAATAATCTCCTTGCTAAACTCTTTTCTTATTCTCATCACTTGTCTGCTTGATCTTGTAGTGATATTGTAAGGAGAATTTGTAATTTGATCACTTGGGGGAGTTAAAGGATTGTAGGTTTGTGTACATAGGTCAGATGGTATGCAGAATTAATTTTGCAGGCTTTAGTTTTTTACTGCTATCATTATTCCTTTAGGAATTATTTTAAACTTATTGTCCACGTTCACTAGATAGTAGACACAAGAAAGTCTAGTCTCGGTAAGAGTTAAAAGAGACAATCGCTTCTGTGTGACCTGTACTTCCTGTGTCATCAGTATTATTTGACATTTGAGTGAACTTCGGCCGCTTAGCTTTAATTTTAGCCTTTCTCTAATATTAACGGCGGGTAAAATTTTCAAATGATAACAAAGTGTGCGTAATCTCAGTAATTGAATCCTTTTTAACCCGTGGATACGCGATAGCATACAAACGAGTTGTTGTGGGCACTTTGGGATATGCAAATTAGCGTCGACTCTTCGAAATTAGTCGTAATTAGTCCGCTCCGAACTCGAGATCTATCGACGACTTCCTATTTCAAGGAATGCTTTTCCAATTAATTTCTATTTCCTCCTTGTAAAAAAATACAAGCATATGCGTGTACTGAAAAGCAAAAGGGAAATTCAAAACTACGATAAATTGCGATTAATCGGTCTCTTCTGCAGCACGCGGGTTTTTTGGTGTAACATGAGTGTGTTTCCCATAAGTTACAAGTACTTTACGCACGTGGGAATGCTTCAATATCGGTATGAGCAGTGCAAGGTAGAATGGTTACTGTCAACCTGGAGTAATTATGTGCGATATTTTGCTTCATCATTCTTAGCCATTTTTTACCACTTAAATATTAATTCAGAGAAGGGGGTCGAGGGGGGTGAGGGTTAAAATTCCTAGAGACAGGCCAACAATGTGCCGATGGATAGGGTCGCATTTTCACGACTGCATGGCGTTGCATTTTCAGCTATTTCAGGAGCCCATTACCCGGAGCCTCCAAACCAATTGTACCCTTGAGTCAACCCTGTCCCTTTTTTTTTTTATCTTAAGAACTGAGATATGTGGGGGTTCTTCAATTTCTCGCGAAAACACGCCGACTTTCCGCGCTTTTCGCCATTATTAGAGTGATTTAGCAAGAGGACGGGAACGTCATTTCAGAACGGGAAAGCGCGCGAATAGTCTGGACACGATTCTACTTCGACTTCCGGTGTTAGCGTTGTCGTTCTCCCCAACAAGTTCAGGGCCCAGTTTTTCGAAAGCCGATTAGCGCTAACCCAGTGTTAAATTTTAATCTGGGTTTCTATACTTGTTTGTTCGATAGCCTTTTTGGGATCATTTTCTCTACTCTATATGGAGCATCCAATCAAATGTTGACAAAAAGAATTCTACTGAATTTTCCATAAAAGCTTCCAGAGCTGAAATCCGATTTCACACTAACCCTGGGTTATCTAAACCCAGCTTTGAACAACCCAGCCCAGGACGTCATTACGCTAAAGTGCATGGAGTGATATTTGAATATAATTTCTTGTTGAAGCCTTTGGCTCCCTGCGTTTTGCCTGTGTTTCATCTGAAGCAACACGAGCATTTTTACCGTTGGTGAATATTATTTTTGGCTTGTTGAATTCTTGATCGAAATGGGGAAGGGGAGTGAAGGAGGATGAGTCAAAAATAAAAGATAACAAGTACAACAGACCGATGATGGAATCTGTAAAGAGGAACATAACAATTTATCTCGCGCTATTCGAGACGGGAAGTTCATTCTTGTTGAAATGCATTTTATTATCAAATTTCCTTTTCTTTGTCTTCTTCTTCTTGTCAAGAATGAAGAGAATTGTCAAATTGATGTCTGCTTACACGCACACACGGCCTCGTGCATTCGCAATATGCAAGGTAAACAGTCCAAGTTGTTTTCAAGACCGTGAAGTAGCGCTTACCGAACCTCTACGGGGCCTTAATCGTAAGATCTATGATATAGTCTTATTTGGAAAGTTTTAAGCATTATGTTTTTCTGTGTCGCTACTCTGTTATATGCACGAACTTGAAAGCCCAGGTAGTGAGCTGCAACACGTCTTGCTAACTTGAAGCAGTTGGCGAGAGGTCGCAAACTTTTTGTTTGTCGACAAGTAACGGTACTCGAAAACGCCACAGTTCTTCCGCTCTTTCAGTGAGCTGTGTCTCTCGTATTCCTTTTGCGTCTAAAGCCATAAACGCGCATCAAAAACTTAGTAAGGGTTAAGGAATTTTTCCCAGGAACGTGATAGATACTCGATACCTAAATAAATGGAGATAAAGCTTCCGTGATTTTTATTTACTTACTAGTTCAATTTTCGTGGTTTTGATTTACCGTGATTTTTTCTTACTCACTCGTTCTTCCCCTTGTTCAGTGAGCCGTGTCGCTCATATACCTTTCGTTTCTAAAGCCATAAACGTGCATCAATAAGTTACCAAGGGCAAGGCTTTTTCCAAAGGTTACGGACGTGATCGACACTCGATGCCTATGTAAAAAGCGATGACAGGAAGTATTTACTTTGAGTGTTGTCAGTCACTGCTCCTTTCATTTGGAATGCGGAATATTATCGCATTGGCGTCCGGTCAGTGACAGCCGTTTCCACATATTTGCATATAGTTCCGAACGGTGAACAGAGTCAGTCCCGGTTGTTTGGAAAGCTGGTTGGTACAGTATCACATCTGCCGATACAGGAACGGTATGTATGATTCAGGTTTATTTATCAGGAAAAGCACTTTCAAATCATGCAAAGCTCTTTCCCTTTTCCTTTCCACATAAAATACCCATCCTCATAAACCCGTTAATTCCACAAGATCAACAGCGCTAACAGAAATTGAAAGCATTCATCTCAGTGTCCTGATCTGGTCGCCATGACTTTAATTTTTAAAAAACTGAAGTTGTTTGAGATACAAGAAAGAAAAGTACTGTATCTCTCGGCTCTCGTTGCTGATGGTCCCCTTCGAGAAGTTTTAAAATTCTGCATTTTGTCGCTATCTAAAGTAACGCGTGCACAACGGCGCGCTGATGACGTGTCACAATTTCCGTTTGGTAATTATGACGCACTCACCCAGAAGTTTGAATTAATTTAATTTTGTAGAAATTGTGTTCTGGAACAGACGATCCATATCTGTTGTCTATCTTTTATGTTTGAGTAAATCCCATATCTCAACGACGGCATTGCGCGCTAAAATTTTATTTCACGTCTCTACTCTTTGTTCACCGTCGACAAGGGTAAACTTTCTCTCGTCTTCGACAATTTGAAGAAGGAATTTCGATCGGTGTCTTCCGTGCCGGAAAAAAAAACTCGATTAACCCTTTCACTCCCAAGATCTGATTGTTAATTCTCCCCTCTAGCTGCTACACATTTTCTTGTAAATTAATTACAAGAATTTGGTGTCAGATCGAGATAACATCTATAAGTCTTAGTATTCTCATTTCCTGTTTGTCGGATAAAGTATTGATATCATGGGAGGAGTTACATATTAAACACTTCTAGCAGATAAAAGGCTAACACGGCCCACATACAACACACTCTTGTTGTATTCTTTCTTGTGATAATTAGTGTTCGCCAAATAAAAGAGAAGGTAAAACTTAACCCTATGGAATGCCAACACTGTCTCATGTGATTGTAAATAAATTTAAATCATATATATGCATTGTGGTAGAAGAAACGAATATAAGTGATCCTCGCAGTTATGAATACTACTGAACTAGTAGTTGAAATAAATATACGTAATCACATGATTTCGAGTGCAATTTGGAATAAGTATAAGCACGAGTAAGACAAGACCGAGGTCACAGTTTTTCACCATACGGACCGACCCTTAGCCGGTAAATAACATTTTTTTTTTTTTTTGAAACTTGACGAAATTCTTTCCGAAAGAACCCAAATGATTTAGGGCTGTAAATGCGGCAAGATCTTCCATAAACTAAACAGTTTTTGAGAGAGTAAATGGCGAAACATTTTCATTTTCGTAACGATAATTAAAAGGCTTCCAAACAAACTTTGAAACATTATTTTTACAAGTATCTATCACAATCTGACACCTGTCAATTAGAGAGCGCGTAAGTAAAAAAAAGCGTAAGAACATTTGAAAAACAAAGGAACTAGTTTGGCAAGGACTGTCACGACAATGTTTTCTTCAAAAACAGTCAATGATCTAACGGAAAGTATTATTCACTCTCATCGACGATTCATTCATGTACGAAGATTTACCTCTGTTCATTAAGTAAACGTCGAGGAAAGTAATTCTGAGTAAATTAAATTTTTTTATTTTGAAGTTGTGAGAGTTTGCCCGTTTGTTTGCTGGAATGGCGTGTGTAAATCTGGTCTTTCCTTCACAAAAACTAAATTCGAATGGCACACTCCAACGAGACACAAGGGGATTTAATGCGGCCTTTTCTCAAAAAATTCCTTCAGTTTCTGTTGTGCAATTTACAGTACAAATGCTCAAATTGAACGGACTTGGGAAGACTCACCGAGAGCGTTTATTTGTTGAACTTAAATTAAAACTTCGCTCGCTCTTTCACTGCGCACAAATTGCGTGAGAATATTCAGGTATTAAATGAATGAAAGTTCCATCGTTCAGTTTAACTGTAACCAAATACTTCACGTTTTAACTTTCTAGGTACTTTTTGTGAACGATTAAAATTAATTGCAGACGGGTTTTAGGCCGCTTGCTAACCAACGTAATGACACTATTTATTGTTTATGCAAATTCATTCTGAAAGCAATATTCTTCTGTCAACCAAAGTGATTTGAGTGAGAGAAAAGAGAGGATTCATAAGTTATTCATCGACTTGAGGTAGTGACCGAAGTGTTTGCTTAAAAATACTGCCCAGCCGGAAAAACGAGATATATTTATGAAAAATGGCAACGAAAGTTGGGATGTACTTGGCGACTCACGAAAGCGTAACCATGGCCCGTAGGCAGAGATAGGAAAATACTGACCGGGTAAGGAACCAATCAGATTGCAAGATTCGTTACCGTGCCCTCTCAAAGAAAAAATAAACAATGATATTTTCACATCTTTAAGGCGCAAAAAAGTTCAAAGTCCGGCTAAACAGTTTAAGGAATTGTTCAGTCTGTGTCCGAGTCACCTTCGATGAAATGGGATTGTCGTTTGCAAGGTTGAACCATGTTTGTTTTTGACTTCGGCGTAGAATTGCTCGAGCAAAGTGTTAAGCTGAGTCGGCTCGTAATTTTCGATTTCCTTGGCAATTCCCTTCTCTAAACACCACTTTTTCCAAACAGAAAACCAAAAATCAGTTCCTTTTTACAGTGTTTTCGTTGTTAGTGCTGTTTTTCAGCTGCTGTATTGTTGTTGCGGTGGCAAAAGAAAACCTACTTAAAACGCCACCCATTGTTTCGCTCGCAAATTTTCAGCGTATCCAAATGTTGCGACATCCAAGGCTCGCATTTCACTGGCTATCTGTGAGTCTTTGACCAATTAAAATGTCTGATTTGTTACTTCTTTGCACTGAATTAACCCTCTTCTGCATTGAATTACCTGAAAACTGCATTTATCTTAACCAGTCAGAACTGAGTAATTTTTTCATGTATATTATGAGGCCTGAAAAAAAAATTCAGGCCTGTAAGGGCCTGAAGGTGATTTCCCATCATTATATGCGGTGCATTTTTCATTATATGCGGTGCATTTTTCATTATATGCGGTGCATTTTGCATCAAATGCAGTGCTTTTTGCATTGTATGCGGTGAAGTTTCCATCATAAGCGTTACATTAAATGCAGTGCTTTGTCCAATATATTTTACATTACATGCGATGCTTTTGTCATTGTATGCTTTGCTCAGTATATGACGCACTTTTTATATTTCCTTATATTTACTTAATATTCATATTTATGTACTTTTTATATGAGGTACTATTTATATTTATATTATATGTGGTGCAGCAACATAGTTTGTGCATAGTTCTCTGAGTCGAATACGGTCACGAATTGTGTTCACTCCTAGGCCGGCCAAATCGCTATCTTTCATAGATAATGCTACTCCTGGGTTTATCCTTTCATTAGAAAAGCTCTCTGAAAGGGTTCCCGAGCTCAACTGGTTTAAAATTGAATCCATGATGTCCGTTCGAGCGCTGGAAACAAAATGGCGGATTCTCGGCACCCATTGAATTGTAGGTTTTTATAAGCTCTTACCCAGTTCCCCGTCGAATCTCGACCTCATCCACAATATGACAAAAGCACAGCATATAATATAACAAGTACCTCATATAATGACCAAAGTACCACATATAATGACGAAAGCACCACAAATAATAACGAAAGCACTGCATATAACGACAAAAGAACCGCATATAATGCAAAAAGCACCACATGTGTTGGACAAAGCATTGCATAAAATGAAAACTTCACCGCATATAATGCAAAATGTACCGCATATAATGAACAATGCACCGCATATAACGATGGGAAATCACTTAAGACAGTGTTAGCGTTCCATATAACCCAAAGCCATATCTGGCATCGTACGACTTGATACAAATGGGTACTTCGTTTTGTGAAATTTAACCCCAAAAGAACAATATTTTTGATGAGCCATACGTAAATCAGTCAACTGCAAATCTGTTAAGGAGGGAGGACATTTTTTTCTAAAAATACGAGGGGGTAAAACTAGTTTTTAAAAGTATTATGCGTAGATCCTACAAGTTTGGATCTAAAAACTGGTACGGTTCTGTTTATGTTTGGAACTAAAAATAACTTATACAGAATCGATCCTCGCAGTTATGAATACTACTGAACTAATAGATGAAATTTATTTCAACTACAAGTTCAGTAGTGTTCATAACTGCGAGGATCGACTCTATATTCGTTTCTTCAACCGCAGTGTACACATATGATTTTCATATGTTTGCATGTTTTCATATGTTTGTTTATTAAAAATAACTTTGTAAACTTTCAGACAACATGACATCTAAAAAAACTGGTTTGGCTTTTTCTGGTGGTGGCATTCGGTCAGCAGCACTATGCTCTGGAGTCCTACGCAGGCTGCTAAAGGATAAAGCAAAAGTAGACTACCTGAGCTGCGTGTCAGGGGGTGGTTACACAGGCACATCCTTTCTGGATTGGAAATACAGAAAAGAGAAGAAAACAGAGGACAGCGAAGAATGGCATGAAGAGTTCTTTGACAACATGCGACAAAGAGCAGGTTACTTTTGTAACTGGGAGAAGCCACGTCAAGGAATCGTTGATACAATTGTTATGATCCTCCTCGTACTCACTGTCACCTTCATTGAACCGATTGTCATATATGGATCATACGCATTTCCACTTGCCTTCATCATCGATTACCTTTTCGGAAAGTTACTTCGAGCCAAAATGGATTGTGATCAGTTTGCACCAACCCGTACTCCATGTCCAGAAAGCGTAATTTTCTCTAAGATTTCCCTGTTTACGGTTCTGGTCATGTCATTTGTCATCTCCTACATTCTGTCGCAATGGTTACCTAGAAGGAAGTCTAAATATTTCAGACTTTTCTCAATAATTTCCTTCTTACTTCTTTCTCTTACTTTCCTTCCATTTGCAATCAACGATTTTTTCATTAAAATCCCCCTGTGGAGTCGGGCGATCATTGTAGTAATTGGTGTGGTACTATGGTTCGTCCTACCTCTGTTGCGGGACAAAACGTCCTACGGCATTCTAATCTATCTCTACTCTTACATCATCTATTGGAAAGTGTACAAAGCCAAGATTATTGGTGTTGTGTATTCTGATGGGCTGTTTAATGGGCTGCTTTTTACCTCTGGGTTTATCATGTGGTTTGTTCCCTACCTGGCACAATCAAGGAAGAGGCTCGTCCATATCTTCAACAGGTAAGACTCAAAAAGGTAATGTTTATCCGCAGAAAAGAAAGGTAAGGTCGGTACTGCGGCCAAGCGGTCCTCCTAGCCGAAGCTTACCCGGCTATCCTGGCATGACTAGAAGTATCACTACCCCTCCCCCCCCTCCCCCAAGAATTTCATCAGTCTTCCTTGACAGTTCGCTGGTACCAATTTTTACTCCGGTGTGGAGAGAGGAACTGTGAGCGTTCATTGTTTTGCCCAAGAACACACCACACTGACCAGGCCAGGTCTCGAACCTAGACCTCTCGATCTCCAGAAGTTCAGCGCACTAACAATTAGGCAACTGCGTCTACCTTATCCGCAGAATGATTACTTACTTAATCACTTTTAACTCTACCCATTTGCAGATGGAGACTTCAGAAGGCATTTTACTCAAAGGAAAGTTTAGCTACCAAGGGATGTCTGGAAATACTCCAGGAGATTTTCTGCCCTTTGTGGACATGTCTGAAGAGAAAACAGAAGCGGGATTCTGGTCACAGAGAACAGAGAGGTAGCTTTAATTCTTTGGCGGATGACATTGAGCCAGTAAAGAAAAGATCTTTGAACCTGGCAGATCTCAGAGGCCTAGAACCTGAATATATATCAAACATGACCATCCACAGCTGGAAGGAAGAGGCAGATTCTGACACGGATGATGATCTCCTGACAATGTCGCCTACCACAATAGAGCGCTTAGATCGAGGTCCATCGACTGTCGATCCATTCAAGGATAGGCTGAGGCCTCGAGATATAGAGTTGTCAGACGCCATGGCAACGTCTGCAGCAGCAATTTCCGGGTACGGTGATAACCTTAGGGAATTGCGCGTTGCCACGATTCTTGGACTCGAAATGGGAGCCACAGTGATCAGCAACCTCGAGGCAATTAAAAAGGAGGGATGGCTCATGAAGGTAAGAGGTTGCTCAACCAGGGATCAGATAAGTTACATCTTACAATAACTACTGAAGGACTGCTGAGAGTTATGGTCTTCTCAGGGAGTTTCTTTCTAAGCATGATATTCGTTTGGCAAGGATATACCATGCTTTGCGTGCCTCGGTGCAGTTGAGATCAGCTGCTCTGACGGAAGAGGAGGGGGGAGCTTAGGGGGGAGGCAGGATTTTATGGAATCATAGGGTTTTCAGGGGGAACTGTGGAGAGATCGGTCGTTGCCAACTGATTATAAAGGACAAACATTGCCTGTCAGAGAATGTTACAGAGCCTTATGGGAAGATCTGGTAAACGTTATTGTGACACTACCAAAATCTACCAACCCCTGATAAATAATGACTGATCCCTAAGCATGACATTCCCTCTGCAAGTACATATCATGTTTAAACAGAGTAACAGTAAGGTAACCTTCTTGACTCTGTCATTAATTAATGCTTTAGGCCTGCATGTATCTTTTTCTCTTTACAACAGCTCCTCCCAATTCTCATCAACATTCTCCGTGGTCTTCCATTGATCGCTGTACCAGCGGTTTATTATAGAGGAGGACATGTGTGGTCAATTAAAGCAGGAGTATTCACATTCTTTGCAATTCACCTCATGTTGGCTTGTATTGGAGCTCTCGCTGATACAGGAGCTCCGAACCCAAACTTATGGGAGAAGATAGCCAGGTAAGGATTGTATAAATCTGAGCACCTTACGATGGTGTGGATAGACCCACACCAAAATATTAAAAAATGCCTGAACAATCTGAACAATGGGAAATATCCGGAGGAGCACGGGAGAGCTCGTGGTAAATTGCTCAATGCAAACAGCCTCAAGGGCAGGAAAAATGAGCAGGACAACATTGGTCTTCCTAGCTATTTGGTTCAGAAGGTGGTCCACTCAGCTTAATTAAGGCCTGGGTCACCTTGCCTTTAACCCATATTTTTCACAAAATTGAGAATAACTTAGCTATTTTGCGAGGGATTTTTCTCATACTTGGCAGAAATGTGTATCACTATCATCTCTCTCGGACTGAGTTGTGGCAGCGTAATATGATACTCTCAACAGCCAAAAACAGTTAATTTAGGCGCCAAATTCGTCGGTTGCTTTCTTGAGCAAATTCCCACCACTAAACATAAGGCAAATGAAAATGCAGTTATCGCTATGAATATTTGAGACGTTTTTCATTGTTTTCCCACTTGGAATGGCTGCCAAAAAAAAGAGAGATGTGCTAGGCAGATTAAATCAAGTTTTGTCTCTGCGAAGCTGCTTCCTCTATCATGGTTTTCGCCCGAAAACATCTTAGCCTTTACCTGGTTCCAACCGCTGTCAATGAAAGTAATCCTACAGGTTCCTATTTATTTGGAAAAAAGACAAATTAAAACTGTTTAAGAGGTGGGAATTTTGAAAACTCGCAGTCACGTATTCAACTTAGTGTCCGCCATTTTGACGCGCGAGTGTTCAGAAGCAATTAAACTTACCTAACAACTGCTTTGGGGGATTACTTTTGTAAGTAAATTCATCTGCTTCTTGGAGAAATTGTTTCCAAAGCATTCAAAAGCCTAAATTTTGATAGACACCATAAGTATACACATCATGATATGATAGAGGATTTATCAAGCTAAATTTAATTTCAAAATTGAATGGTATATCCACAATGAAACTTTTTTCTATGCATTTGTTACAAAACATAGTACTTTTTTCTATGCATAAGTTACAAACATTGTAAAACGCTATTGAGCTCTAGAAATGAGCGCTATATTATAAATTCATGTTGCATTGTATTTGCAGTGAAGTCAATGAACATGTTGAGAGCGGTGTTTAGAAGTCTTCGTAGGTTCAAAAGGGTTCTCTTTGGCTTTAAGATAGCGATATCATGCCATTTTTTGAGGAAATGACGATAGCAAAGAAAATGTTTTTACTTTCTTTTGATGTCTTCCTCTAAATTGTCGGATTCACCAGCGAAGATGGGAAAAACCAATGCAAAGCCGACACTTCAAAATGGCGGATGCCGTTCACGAACTACGCGATCTTGATTCCAAGTAACTATAGTTACTCGCGCAGTCCACGCGAATTCCGCGAACCTTGCTGGGGGGGCACTGGAGGCGAAAATCATTTTTGACCCAGGCCTTAATTAACCTGAGCAGGGTTTTGATTAAAACCAAAGAAATTCTTGTATTCCTTTGGCACTCCACTGGAGTCACTCTAAATGATAAGATGAAGAAACCCAAAATGTCCATTCCTCAATTATGGTGACCAGGTTAATCCTGATCAGAAGTTAATTGAAATGAAAGCTTTCTGTAATTATAAATGAAATATATGATCATTGTGGTTACTTTGTAAATCGTCACACGACTTGAGCCCACTCGAATCACGGAGAGTGGTAAAATTCTCGGTCACTCACAGTTTGAAAAAGACCATTTTTCAGATAAACTGTCCTTCTTTATATGTATATATTTGGCTCTGACGATGGGCTAACGCTCGAACCGAAGAATCTCTTTATGGTGGCCCATTTACATTATCAACTTATTTGACAAAACCAAATCATCTTGTAATACCTTCCACCGATGCAGCATCACAGTTTCTTTGGAAAAATTACCCCCTTTAAACAAATATATATTATGTTTTTTAACCTAGGTGGTTCATCGTACACGTTTCCTTTGTGAAGTTCGTGAGAGTAGGCCTTAACATTGACAACATCGGACCCATGCCTCCTCCCATCATGCTACTTAGCGATGGAGGCCACGTGGAAAATCTTGCTATTTTGCCATTGTTAAAGAAGAAACTCAAGAAAATTATTGTGGTGGATGGCAGTTACTATTCCAATGAGAAGAATTATGGGGAAGAACTACTGAAAGCACTGATGCTGGCTCGTAGAGACCTGAATTGTTCGTTTATTGGCCAGGGCGGTCGTGACGTCATTTCAGACCTGTTGGAGAATTTCGTGAAGCTTCAGCAACCAAATGAAAAAAAACCACGACATTTCAGGTACATGTCTATGATCCTTTCCGTAATTTACTGCCACCTCTTCTTTGTCGTCGAGCGCCGCTTTAAACAAGACACCTGACAAGACTACCGACACCTGATTACACTCAATCAGGGAAGCACTGGTGTTTTTTCGAGTGGGAGGTGGGAATGAGGGGAAGTACGACCTTGAGTTGGCGCAAGAGAGAAATGAGGTTCCATTTTTTTCTATTGATTTGGGATAGCGAGTCTATTCTTGGTTATCGGATCCATACCAAGGCTTGTGTATCGTGTGAAGCTTGGACCGAGTTCACCATTTGCAGTTATCTTCAGCTAATCTTTTTTCCTTCTTGGTTTATCACTGCCTGTTTCATAGTTTTGTATCTTGTCAAAGTACTACATCGTTTTCTCTTTTAAGATGAACGACGTTCTACACGACATAAATTAAATGGCATAAATTCAATGTAAGCTAGAAGCTCTTAAAATTCAAACATGCTTATAATCTCTTGCTTCAAAACAATAATTTTTAATCTATTGTTTCTTCTTTTTCGCTAGATTTAACGTTGAATACTACGAAAACGACCACAAAGTTGGTGAAGGCGAAATTTTGTTCATTCGGCCAAGAGATCCGCGAAAAGGTGAAAGGAGCGAGGTCAAAACCTGGGAAGAGTTTGGTTTCCATCTGGACGCACGTGACTGGGGGAATAGTCCATTTCTGAACGAAGACGAAGTCGACAAGTTGACCTTCTGTTGTTGTGCATGTTGTAACAAAAAGTCCTATTTGAGCGGTTTATCTGAGCTCCTCTGCCACAAGTTCCCGAATCACAGCACAGCTAATCAATTCTTCACGCCTTTAATGTTCTCCGCCTATCATCGTGAAGGCTTCCGAGCATGCGTTGAAGCGGAAGCTGCTGAATTTCTCAAGGACAACCACGATGTCCTTGAGGTGTGACTGTTACTCAACCTAGAGTGAGTATATGTGGCCAACCTATTAATAACCAAACATGTACGCAAAAAAAAAAATTTGGCTTGTCTGTTGAATACTGATCGATTAGGAATATTGGAAATCGTTCCATAGCAAATAGAGGTGACTTGTTCAGGCAGCAGAAAGATTTCTTCATTTCTTTTTTTATCATTATGCGGACTTGATATTGTACAACGTTTAAAACAACGTATTGTACAACGTATCCTTAACTGTAGTCGTCAAGAAACGCTAAATATAAATTAAATATCCTTGTCTTTGTTGTTCCGTCGTCCTTTTCCCAAGAGTCTAATACATCTCTTAGGCTTCCTCACCCGATTTGCTTGTAACCAGCCGCTTACATGCGAATATTATTAGCATCAAATTAATATAGTTATTAAAACAAGGAATGACCTAAAATGACCAAATATGATCTTAAATGACCTTGAGTGATGTCTAAAATGACCTAAAATGACCTGAAATAACCTTGACTGATGTCTTGACCTAAAATAATCGAAAGTAACCTACATTGATAACTAAAATGACGTTTAAACTTTACTGGAGCAATTCAAAGTAATAATTGCCAGCGATATACAACAGGAAAACAGAATTGACTGCGCAAGCCGAGTGCTCACCTTAACGGCTGAGACGCGGAACTCAGGTTATATACCTTTTTTCTATCATGAAATATGAAAGAAATATTTATTCTAAAAAATACAAATAGCACAGACTATGTCAACATAAAAGTTTCACCCTAAGCCCGATCTAAATGAACTACCATCAACTAAATAAAGGGGGTAAGTTTCTGAAGAAACTGTGGTGTTGCGTCGGTGGGAGGTTATAACAGGTAATTTAGCGTTAACAGCTGAGTCAAAAACGTAAATTGGCCACCGTAAAAGGCGTAAAGGCTGACGTTTCGAGCGTTAGCCCTTTTTCCAATCGCTATAACAAAGGGCTAACGCTCGAAAAGTCACTCTTTAAACTCTTTGCAGTTTTTGTAGCTTGCCCTGCCGGCTGTTCTTCCTTCTGTGATTATTATTTTTACTCAAAATAACGGGGGGGGCCTCCCCCTAGATCCACCACTGCTCTTTTAGAAAATTGGTGAGGTAATGCAGATATGCATTTCCCGTATACTCGACTACTTGACTATTTTGCCTGACTTATCGGTTCTATCACGAACCCCTACACTTTTCATTATCTCTTTGTCTGAAGTGTTAAATAAACTCTGCACTGCTCACATCGCGTGACTAATTTAGGGCAGGGCTTGGTGTCATCTCTGTGGACAAGATCATCAGTGCTTGCCAGTTATTCTTTCAGGGTTCAGGGTATCCCCTTGAGTCGATGAGCAACTGGGCTTGTCCACCTGTGGAAAAGTACCGAAAATTTACAAATAATCCATAGAGATGCACGTTTCTCCATCTTGCGACAGAGAATTACAACCAACTCTTTCAAAGTGACGCGAATAAATTAAAGACGAATTGTCAGATTTGGATTACTTTGACAGAAAACATAATTTCCCTAAACATTGTTCTGTATCGAAGAAATGGAAACTGCATTCTTAAGATATGTATGTACGTATGTACATGTAGTATGCTATCAACTTCCTGGTTATATGGTCGAACATTTTAACATACAATAGTAAAAGGAACTGTGGGTGTACACTTTATAAGTCAATCTTACCTGCCATTGTGAGCTTCTATTAACTTTTGACAGGCATAGGGGAGGTACTAGAGATTTTTTCGGCCGGTGGGTTAACATCAGGAATACGGTCAGCAAAGATTTCAGGCTCCGATAAGTTCTGCCCTTCTCTTATTAGATTTCGGTGAGGTCGTAGGACCAGCTGAGCACGATTTCCTTTACGAGTCGTGCGATTTGGGCACAAATTTACGAAAGCGGTTGAAATGCTGACGCTGCCTCTCTGGACTCCAACAGTTCCACTTCATGTGATCAACGTAAAAATGGTCGTCTTTGCCCAAACCACGAATGGCTCTGGCTTCCTCGATTCCTCAGAATTCTTCTGACCCCGTTTGAAGTTCTGCACTCACATCGGCAACTTCGTTTGGGATCTCGCATTCTCAAAGCCTCATCTTCTGAAGCTTGTGCTTCAGTTCCAATACGCTGGTATAGAAGCATCCTTCAATACCAAGACTTTGTCTTGCAGACATAGTAAGGGAGCCCTTGAATTGCTGTGACCTAGTTTTTCAAAACCATTCGTGAAAACTAGGGGCTGCTTTTTCCCAGACGCTTTGAGGCTTTCAAGTTTTACAATAATATCGCCTTCGTCCTCTGCGTCCGTTAGTCCACTGCGAGGGAGCACATCAATTTGGGATCCATAGATAGCCGCCATTATCGGAGAGTATTGATGCTCCACCGTTTTAAGCAATGACATTACTAGCAACTGTGTATATTTTTTTTTACATCTTTCTGTATTAGGTTATATTAGTTCAAATTCCAGGAGCTCCGGCTCTGGTCCTGTAGAGGACTAATTTGAACTAGTTTGAATTGTCGAAATCAGTATTGGAAATTAGGGAAATTTGCAGGGGTCTTTTCACATACTTCCTACATGGAGAGCGCCAAAAGCGTCAACAAAACAGGAACAACGGAAGATTGAATGAGTGCGAACGAAAGAGGGTGGTTAAGAAAAAATATGCGGTAAGTGGACCTCTATTGAATTCCCCTCTTCTTCAGGGCCGAAAAAAACCCATCAGCCAAAAGGCGCGGCATGCGATAAGCAAGCTCGTCGAAATTACGCCTGCTCTGCAGGTTAAGCGAAACTTGGAACTTCGCATCGATCAAATCCGCGTTGCTGAAAAACTAGGCATTTCGCACCAAGCAAAACCGTTTAGTAATTATCGGGAAGTTAATTCCTCAGGAATTTCCCGCGTTGTTCACGCACCTCTACGTTTCAATCTTAGTTTAAGTTAGCACTCGGTTGTGTAATTCCGAATAACTCCGGCAAAAAAAATCCGGCTGGGTTTCTTTTTTCACTGCATGGTCAAATGGCAAAGCTAGCCAGTTGGAATGTGTAAAATCCTTATCGATTTTGATACACACTGATGGCAGGATTGATTAAGAGCAAATGATCCTGTGCTTTCCTGAAAAAAGAAAACCTCTGGAATTCATTACCGCATATCTTTAATTTCACTCAGTCAAAAAAACTAGCGATCAAATTAAGAGCGTTCTAAGGTATTTTCGTTTCGAGGCCGAAAACTTATCAGAAACAAGCTGAAGAAAACCCTGTAAACAAAGATTATTGCGTTACAAGGCAAATATTCATTGAGCTACTGTGAAGCGCAACGTGCATAAATTGGCAAATAGTAGAATTTGGCTTGTGTGGGCGAAGAAAGATTTGGATTCCAGCGGCTGAATTTTTATCAAATTTTGCAAATTCGATAAACGCAGGATACTATTCTGTGCTTTTTTTTGTAGGTTATATATAAGATCATCATTCTGCGGAGTTGGATGTTCACCATACTTGAGGATCTCTTCGTGATTTTCCAGAACTTTGCCTTTTGAAATAGGAGCAACCTTGCATTGCTGCAAGACCAATAATTACTCGGGCTTTCCAAAGGAAACGCCCGAGTTGAAATTCATGTTTCATCTGTAGGTTAAGTGTTTTATGTGCGAGTTGGCCATAGGTATTCTTTGATTAGATAAAGGTGATAATCGTTAATAATGTAGGTTGTGCTTTTTTCAAGGGAAGCGTACGTTTTTGTATGATTAACGATGAAATACGTGATAAAATCTACGGAATAAGTTCTTACCTTACGTAAGGTTTATTGTGAAATTGACGTCGCCCAATGGTCTCGAAATATCACAAAATTAACTACAAATCACCAGGGAATTAATCAGTATAGTATTTTAGTTGTATCTTTTAGTGTGTACAGCATGTTTTCGTACCTATTGTCGTTCTTGATAAACAAATTACGACGGCTGAAAATATACGTCCTTAAAGGAGAGAAGTCCGGCGATGTCAGCGGAGATGGAAATCGTTTTTACCGACCTGTTGCACTTAGGAGGGATAAAACAGGCAATGAGAAACACGAGGAAATCAGTAGGTCGAGTTCCAGTTTTTTCAGAAAAATCCAAGGGTTTCTGAGCTCCTACCCTTCGTCACGGTTTCTTCAACACTAAGTAAGTAAGTAAGTAAGTAACTTTATTTAACCACATATCGCATACGAGCGAATAGCTCGTTTAAATGCAAATGTGCCATGTGTCTCTTCCACCCATCCCACCCCAGGGGAGGACATCCACCACACAGTAATCTCGTGCGTGGGAAATTAACGTCTCCTACCAAGTTTCAACACTACAAGTTTCTATGGTGATTTCTTCTGCTGATATAACTGATTAATCATAGTAGTTTACTGTAACTGCACAATTCCTTTCAATGCTACGCTCAGTATATTGAGGCGTCTTGTTGTTGTTGTTTTTTTTTTATTAGCAAAGGTTCAGCTACGTCACAAGCCCGTGACAGGAAAATAGGCCGAACTTTGACCGCTTGTTGGGTTAATTTGATGCTAATTAAATTCACATGTAAACGGTTAATGTTGTTAGTATTACGAGCGAATCGGGTGGCTTCCTTTGCTTGTTATGGTGAAGACATCAATGTTCAAGAGATATGCAAACAATAGCGACCAGAGCGTGGAGGATTCCGCAACTCATCCGTAACATATACACTACACGAGTTTCGGCTGCTGGAAAAAATATTACAGTTTCTCCGCCACTCCCAGATAAACTGCATGATCTGATATACGCTTTTCGTGAATCCAAAGTGCTGTTCGCAGCATGTGATTTGGGTATCTTCGATATCCTTCAAGATTCCGATGCTCCGCAGTCGGTCGAAGACATGTCTTCAAAGATTGGATCCAATGCTGATGCCACAGCTTGCTTCATGGACACATTGGTTGCTCTGGAATTGCTGGAAAAGACTAAGCAAGATGGATCATGGCTGTATTCAAACAGCAACATAGCAAAACAGTTTCTGTCAAAGTCGAGTCCCCATTCGGTTTATGGGTACATAAAACACTCCAATGAAGTGATCTATCCCATTTTCGGGAACTTAGAGAGTGCAATTCGTGAAGGATCGAATCAGTGGATGAGAACATTCAACCTGTCGTCGGAGGACTTTTTTAAATCTTCATATAACACCGAGGAGGACCGCATACGATTTCAATCTGCTATGCATTCCACGTCACGGCACTTCTGTCACGCCGTGGTGACGGCGTTTGACTTAAGTTCATTTGAAAATTGTTGTGACTTAGGAGGTGGGATATATTTTGCATATTATAATTACCGTACAACTACTTATTATAACGGTCGAATTGTTCACTAATCTCACTCGGAGCTTTGCGTAAGCCTAGTTCAGGAAAATTGTGCACTGGGGCATGACATAGCTAAAAGGAAAAGAACCTTCCCTCTCCTCCCCATCTAGCACTTGAATGCCCCCCCCCCCCACACTGCTATGAGGTGTGTGACTGTCTGACTGCTGAAAGCTGAAACAGTATAACATTAAAGACGGCAACAACAATACTGAAAATAACAACAATAATAATAAATGATGTTAAACAATGATACTGATAGTGACAGGGACAAAACTTATAAAGTAGTCGACCACTCCTTCAGAGAGATTTTTGAGGTCCATTGTAACTAAAGATATTCAAGACTTGACCCCAAGTTAGATTTGCAGGCAGTAGATGGCAAGTAAGTAACAACCTCTAAGTATCAGGGCGAAGGGCTTATCCCCAGAACCATCAGATTACAAGGGCAGCCCCACATCCACAAAAGAAAACTGCTTCTTATGAATTTTCTCACTCTGTAAATTTCTCTTTTAACACCTAGGTGGAATGGGAACAATGGCTTACACTTTATGCCAATACTACCCAAACATGAAGATCACAGTGTGTGAAGTGCAGTCTGTTGTGGACTCTGCCCGTCATTTTCATCCCCTGTTAGAAGATTACCCCAATCAAGGAAACATCTCATACGTAGTAGGGGATTTCTTCCAAACAGATCTGCCAAAGGCTGATTTGTATATATTGTCACGTATTCTTCATGACTGGCCAATTGAAAAAGTGGAACTTATACTCTCAAATGTCATCAAGTGTTTGCCTTCAGGTACGTATCTTGCTTTGCTTGCTGGGATATATAATGGTAATTGAACTGAGTGGGGTGCAATTTGGACTGAAATCATAAGCATGATTCCAAAATTGAACAAGCATGCAGCAAGAGTTGGTTTTCATTTTTTCATTTCAGACCAAAATTGCATGGCATCAAGCATAATTTTCACTTTATTACATCCTTCTTGAAATCCCAGAATTCTAGTGCTCAAATACAGGTTTCTTAGTCTGTTCAAATATTTTACTGATCCAGCATTAAGCAGGTTAGTAAAAAGTTACCAGAGTTGACTTTTATTTTCCAGAAATTTAATTGGTTTCTTTAAGCGAGCCTTGAAATCTGATTGGGTGTTGTGTTTTACTTAAGCTCTCTCACTGCCTGGGAAAAGGATGCAATTTAGAGCATAAAATGTTGTGTTTCATGAATAAACTGATAAACCACAGTGATATAGCCAATCAGATTTCAAGGACATTGATTTTAAAATGGATGTAATATATCTATATACATTACAACCTTACCCATGGCTTACATTTAATTTTGCATCATGGCAATACCCTGTTGTTGGCCTGGGAGAACTTGGGATTAACTCAAAATAGCTTTAACCCTAAAACTCCCACATCAAATTTGTACTTCTCCTAATTCTGAGAGAAATTCTGTCTTGGTCACTCACAGTGGTAATAGGGTTAAAACAGGTTGCATACAAAACTCAAGAGAAAATCAGTCTTTGTCATTCAAAAAACACTTATTGAAAAAGTTCAGAATTAATATATATTCACACTTTAACCCTTTTAAGCCCTAAGATCTGATTGTCAGTTCTCCCTTCTAACTGCTACACATTTCCTTGTAAATTAGTTATGAGAATTTGGTGTTAGATTAAGATTTCAACTAGTTTGAGTATTCTCATTACCTGTTCACTGGATAATGTACGGATATTATATATCACTTAAGGGTTAAAAAGTCAACAGCTCAATAAAAAGAGAGTATATCCTTAAGCCATATCATACAATCTGCCTGTGATTGTCACAGAAAAATTGCAGTCAATTTTTACAAACTCAATTTTTATATAGATCACTATTTTTGCCATAAAATTCCAGTATAAAAGCAACAATCTTAACCCTTTAATCCCCAAGATCTTAATGTTAATTCTCTCTTCTAGCTGCCATACATGTCCTTGCAAATCAGGTACAAGAATTTGGTGCTAGATCAAGAAAGTGACTTTCACCTTTGAAAATTTGAATATTCTCATTACCTGTTTGCTAGACATATGTATGGATATTTTAGGGAGAAGTTTCATGTTAATCACTTCTGGAAGTTAAAGGGTTAAACTCTGAGTGACTAGCATCTAATTTCTCCTTACAAAATCACCCTTGAATCAAACATTAACGTCACGAGAATGGAGGAAATGATCACCAACTAAAGAAGCTTTTGATTATCAAACAAATTCTCTCTGTCAGCACCTTGGGAAGTGTGTAGTGAATCGTTTGGAGAATATGGATACTGATGTCAAGGGGTAAAAGGTTTATGAAGGAGTTAGCTTTATAGGGATTGGAATAGCACTTAGGTTAGTACCTAAGTGTTAGTGTTATTTGTTAATAATAATTATGTACTCATCTACATTTTAGGTGGCTGTTTGCTAATTGCTGAAGCTTTCTTGGATGAAGACAAAACTGGACCTAAAAGTGTTCTCCTTCAGTCACTGAATATGCTTTTACAAATGCAGGGAAGGGAACGCACAGCAGAGGAATATAAAGAGATCTTGCAAAATAAGGGATTTGTTGATATTCAGACCAAAAAGCTGGAGCCCTCTGTAAGATTAGATGCTATTCTATGTAGAAAAGCTTGATGGAAATTTAAGCAGGTCACTCTATTTTGTGGTCTCAGTCAAATCCAGATAATCCTACATTTGGGATAACTTTTGGACACCTTTCCACATTTGGTGGATAATCATTGCTTCAGTACTTTTTTGGTTTATTGAAATTTCTTGATAGTGTCACATTTGAGACCATAAAAATATTAGCATTGTAAGATATAAAAACTGAAAAAATACACCTAAAAACCTTAAAGATAGAACAAGTATGGCAAAGGATGGAAAAGGAATGACAGGATTGAAAAATTTACATGAGAGGTGTAAGGGGTGACATTTCCAACACGTAGGAAAAACAAAAACCTCTTGCAAACTTTTTTCAGCCAATTTGACACCAAAATTATACACATTTTTGCCTTAATTGATTGGTATGGTTCTAGTAAAGCACTGTACATGTTTGACTGTTTCCCTCTGTTAAAAAAAAAACCCTTTTATTGTTAGCTCTTCCGCTGATTGAGAAAAAGAACTGTTACAAATTTACCACAAGTCCAACATCAAATATATCAGGTGTAGCAGAGATTCACCGTCATTAATCATATTAATCTCCATTTGTTTGAGAAGATTTCTTTAATTTGACATATTTTGAAGTTTTTTATATTTTAGTTAGTCGCATTAATATATTTAAATAATTTGTTGACTCATATTTTTAGAGTTTGTGGATTGTGTCAGTTTGACCTGCAACAGAAAAAAGTGAATTATAATTTATTGAAGTATCTTACATATATTTAAAAATAATTATTCTAGGCTCCATCTTCATTTCTCAAGTGAACACAGTCTGAGTGGTTCATTTATGCAATCAAAAATTTTATACAGAATAAACTTAAGACAAATTTTTTTGACTCACAGGCTTTAGAGTTTGCAACATGTGACTTCTTTATCATGTGAACTATCATTTCAAAAAGCTAAAACAACTATTTGCCTGTACCCACTTCTACCCCTGGCTGGAGAGAGGCATTGTGAGAGAGTAGAGCGTCTTGCGCTAGAACACAATGCATTGATCCTGCCAGGTCTGGAACCCAGACCTCTGGAGCCAGAGCCCAGTGCACCAAATATTAAACCATGGCATCTCTCACTACATTCCTAACAAGTGTACTAATAAAATTTTACCTTACCCTTGCATAGTTCTTCCGGTCAAATTCTGAGTCTTTAATTTTCTATACCATGTTGGAGGGTCAGATTTTGTCTAAATGAATGAAGGGTCACAATCTTAGTTCCAAAAAGGAATCCAGTGGTTTCATACCCATGGTCCTTTTGTATCCAAATTCAGTTGATTCATACTTAGTTTCAGTCAGTCCATTTTTGAACCACTGGTCAATTTGTACCCATCCCAATAAACATCCATTTAAAATACGCCAACTGAGAGCACATGGACAGATACTGATAATATTGCATGGCAAGTTAGCACAGTCAAGCGAGTAAGATTCAAGCCAAGTTCTGCTATTTATGCTTGTGACCTTCTTAAAAAAAAACCATTAAATTATCGCCTAGTGCAAGGTAAGTGTGATGTTTTTGATAGCATCGTCTATTGTTTATACTGTAAAATTCTTAACAATAACAGCTAGTGTAAGTGACTTTTTCCTTGTTCATTCATTTGTTCTATTCTTACTGTAAACATACTTAACATGTAAAACAAACTTTATTAGACAGTATGGGTACAAACAACTCAACTGACTGAGTATGAATTGACTTTACAGGGTACAAAATGACCATGGGTATAAAACGACTAGTAAATATGGTTGTGCTATGGTTCAACTCCCATCTTTTTAACCTGTTTGATTCCCATTTTACATTGTTTCAGGTCATGATATTGAGTTGAAGACATGAGAAAATAATTTCACTAAATTTTAAACCAAAGGAAAAAGAAATAAAACAACAACATATGCAAGAGGCTATTCCCATAAAAACCAAAAAAAGAAAAAATGCAATACCTACAAATCTGGCCTGGCCCTACCCCTTTTATCTGTGGCACTGATAAAAACGATTAAAGCTCTTAGACAAAATTGCTAGAGTAATACAGACAATTATATCCCTTCAATGTCACTTACAAAAATAGTTGGTTTAGGTTGGTGTGCTGCAGAGCCGGATGTGTCTTGAGCCATAGAAGTTCTAATGCGTGATTCTTGGCCATGGACACCTGTAGATGTCCTTGTAACTTGTGCAGTAGAACCTCTTGAGGACTTTAAACCAAGAATGGCTTGTTTCATCACTGCCATCTCCTTTAAAAGGAAAAGGTCCACAAAAATGAGTGAACCAGCCATAAACTAACCCTATCACTCTCAAGATCTCATTAGTAATTCTCCTTGCTGACTGCTAAACAATTCTTATGATTATGTTAGTTTGAAGAATTTGCTATTGGATCAATTAAAGATACCCTTATTTATACTTTTCTTTCATTCCCATCACTTGTCCGCTTGATATTGTGAAGGTTGTCCAATACACCCAAACCGCTATGATTCGTCAAAGGCAGCTTGCGAATTGTTCTACCAGAAGTCAAATTCGATTCAACTTGAGTCGAATGACTCCTCTCAGTTTAAGTCAACCCGTGATACTTGAAGTCGATTTGCAAGACGCTTAGAAAATATTCTGCATGTAACTACCAGGGGTTTTTGAAAATGTTGCTGAACCAACTTGATTCGACTTGAGTCCAACTACTCATCTCAGTTAAAGTAGAGCCATCACACCAGAAGTCGATTTGCAAGACACTTCTAGAGAATATTCCACAAGTAACTACCAAGGGTCAATGAAACTGTTGTTGAATCGACTTGAGTCAAATGACTTGTCTTAGTTAAAGTAGAGCCATCACACCAGAAGTCAATTTACAAGACACTTCTAGAGAATATTCCACAAGTAACTACCAAGGGTCAATGAAACTGTTGTTGAATCGACTCGAGTCAAAAGACTTGTCTTAGTTAAAGTAGAGCCATCACACCGGAAGTCGATTTACAAGACACTTAGAAAATTAACAACCAATGTAAAACCAAATAAGTTTAAAACCCTCTTTCCCACAAAATGAAGGACTGTGAAAAGACAAAATAAATGTACACAATCTTTGTAAAAGCCAACCATGTTGCCTTCTGGTAACACGTCTCCAAAGTTGTCATTTTCAAAACAAACACTTAGAAAGGAGGTAATCAAATGACAAATCTTTTGCAAATCGACTTCTGATGAGACTGATCAACTTTACTAATAACAAGTTGTGTCGACCCATGTAAATCATGTGGATTCGTCAACATTAAATACCCCAATTTAACGCTTACTTCTGTGAATCGACTTCTGGTGACAGATCAACTTTACTAATGATGAGTCGAGTCAATCCATGCGAATTGTGTTAATTCGTCAGCATTGAATACCCCATTCTGACAATGGACTTCCAACCATTTCATGCTTTAAGAACGTGGAAGGTTCATGTTGTCATTTTCTCTTTTCATCAGGCTACTCATTTTCACACATTGCTCACGCCCCTGGACTTCCAGTATGTTAACACATGATTCGACTTCCGGTATACCATGCTACTCCTTTTCACACATTGCTTACCACCCTCCACTTCTGGTATGTTAACACACAATTCGACTTCTGGTACATCGATTCGTCAACGACCGTAGATGAATCATAGTGATTCCGGTGTATTGAGCATGTATTGATATTGTAGGGAGAAATTCTGTCTTGGTCAATTGTGGGAGTCAAAGGGTTTACTTAATAATGCTTTCACACAAAGTGGGGCTAGACAAATTAAAAGGAAATCACTGGCTACTTTTAACTGAGGTTGCCAATTACTTGTACTGTATTTCCTAAGATAAGTGCCCAGGTGCTTGTTCAAATTTTTGGCTAAAAGGAGGGCAGTCTTATTGGAAATAGGGCACTTTATCAAGGTGGGGTGCTTATTCATTATCATCCATTTTCTTCAAACGCATCCTGACAACTTAACTATCATAGAAATTACTGGTCCTCAAAGACTAGAGAATGGTCTTGTCGGTCCTAAGAAGTTTATAGCATTTACAAATAGTGCAGCAATTGGGACAAAAATTAAAAGAACAGCAGGCACATGGAGATAGAAAGAAGTGGAAGTAACCTAATAGAAAAGAAAGTACTCTCCTTTACTGATTCTGCATTAGTTGAAGCTTAAAAAGTTAGTAATAGAGTAGCAATAGAAATAGGTTGTCCTTGTACCCCTTCTTTGTAAGAAAGAGGGAGACAAAGTGGGGGGCCCTGCATATTCAAGGGGGCACTTGTTTAACATTATCACCTAAGGGGTGGGTGCTTATTTGTGACAGGGCACTTATTAGGGCATGGGCATTTATTCAAGGAAATCACAGTATCTAAATTCTTTTAGGCCCCTGAGAGTTCCAACATGGAATTTAAATCACAAAGTTTTTGGACTCTTGATTTCTCTAAAGATGCACTGTAAGCCTCACCTCCCGCTGGTTTAGAAGTCTCTCCAAGTCAGCGGATAACTGATTGCGGGTCTTAACAAGATCTTCTTTTTCTGTTTTCAGCTTCCTGTTTGAAGGGAAAAAGTCATTCAATTTATGTCTTGATCCAATTGCTTTCTTGGGCAAGCAGTGGTAATATATAATTACCAGTAGGTAGCATCAATCTAAGGAAATACATTGTATGATAATCTCTATAGTAAATAATTATAATAATAATTGTAAAAGAAAGGTACAAGCAAGATTACTGTAAATAACCACACAGGAAAAGGACCAACTTATTTCTGAAGGTTCTTCAACCTCCCTTTACCAGAATGGTGAACATGACTCACCCAATTTCTTCCTCCATCAATGTGAGCTGTTCAGTTAGGGTCTGATTCTGTGTATCCCTTGCTCTTATGCTCTCAATCAGATAGTTGTATGGCTGCTGTGCTTCATTCAGCAGTGACGTAGCCTTGGAAAGCTACCAAAGAAAGTAACCTTAATTGTCTTGAATTTTGGCTTAGTACATAAAGTGTACTGCAGATAGCTTACATAATGTATTGTGACTGAGACAATAGCCACATATTTAAAATAATGATTTTGTCATCACCTCTTTTCCCAGCAAGTCTTTCTTTTTCTTCTCTCTTTCCATCTCATTTCTAAGTGAAGTGTTGGCTCTTTCCAACTGAAGAACTCTCCGTGCTAAGTGAACACTTTTAAAGCCATAAAACAGTGATTAGGAATCAATGTGAGACTTGATTCATCTGTCACCAAATTATTGTTCATTAAAGTGACTACTAAAGAGCAGCTTATTGCGGTAAAATAATGGCTCATCAGACCATAAAGTCAGACTGCCACCCAATCAAACATTTAATAGCTTATCTAATTATTACCAGGCAATTAGTTACTTATTTTGTTGGGCTACTGGTTGGAGATATGCACAGCCATGTGAACAACTGGGGCAATGGTAACTCTGATGACAATTTTCTTTCAAGACTTCCATAAGCCCAGTTGATACAACACAATAAATATTTTATGCAGAGATACAACTAGTAATAATAACAAAAAAAATTCCTCTTCAGATGGAAATTGGAGGTTAGCCTTATGCATGACAATTCCCTTAAATAAAAAGCGTAAATGACATGTACAGTTTAAGAACTATACCAGTTGTACAGGTATGGATCAGTCTAATTCATTCAATTGAGAAAAGCTGCACATCAATTAGATTTCTCATTATCAGACCAGCTACACCCACATGGTCAGTATTGCCCACGAATACCTTTGCTGCATTCTCCTCTTTGCTGTACTGGGTACATTGGCACCATAGCCATACGAGAACAGCACTCGTTCAGCCTCAGATTCATTCTCAACTACAAATTAAGGACACAATGTTCACAATCAACTAAAGAGGGGTTATTTCCAATCAAAAACATTCCCAGCAAAAAGATTGAAGTGTTCACAACTGAATAACACCCTGCAGGGTCCAAAATTAACCAACAGTCATTTTTCATTAGCAATGACAACCAGTGGGTCTCAATTCTGTACCTTGCTTTACAATACAGAATAAATACTATTTTGTGCAGACAAGAAGCAATGAATACTATTTCATGTAGACAAGAAGTGATGAGAAGATACATATCAATAAGTAGATACTGTTTGATTTCACAACAAATTATAACATAGCTAGTAAATTTGTGTAATCAAATTCAATTGTGCAAGCAAGAAGCTAGAGTTGCTCTCAACTACACCTCGAGCAACTCTTACGCATCTTTCGTGCTCTCCAAACTTCCCACATGCTTCATATCTCAATGAACGCATGCTAACGTATGAACCAATTGTTAATTCTCAGAGTTAAAATTTAAAAAAAACGTATCACCCACAGTATGAAGAGTCTGTTAGTATTTGGATCTTGGAGTTGAAAGGAGAGGGAAAAGAACAAATTTCTGACAATATTCTGTGTAATGATAGTGAGATGAAAAGTTGTTGTTCCTTACTCTCTGCAGCCTGCATGATAACATCATCCAGTTCCTGCTCAAGTTTTTCATACACTGCCAGCTTATCTCCCTGTTCCTTACACTTTGCTTCCAGTTCCACAAGCTGTTTTTCTGAGGAGTTTTCCAGAGTGTAGTACTCTTTATTTAAAACCTTGAGAAGGAAAAATAATTGATATACAGTATTATGTCAAGACAACTTTATCCCTTTAATAACAAGGTCATCACACCTCACTCTTGCTCTGGTACTTTTCAGCTTCCAGTTTTGCTTGATTGAGATTGTTAGCTGTTTCATCCAGAATCATTTGCAATCTCTCCAACTCAAACTGTTTGACACTGATCTCTTTTTGCAATTCAGACTGCCTGCTGTCAGCCGTCAACTGTAATTGTCGATACCTTGTATAGACATAAAAAGACAATATGGAGTAATCATAAAAGACTCTCATTGTAAACTGACACACATCACTTATTGTTTGAACTCTACATTGGTCCTTGAAGTGTCCCTGTGTTGTTAAATTACATTTCCTTTTTGTTTGCTCTTGATTTTGATTTTATGTTTGGCAGCTATGCACTATTCTAATTTTTCCCACTCAATTTCAAAAATTGCTATGATTTTTTTTTCAGACTATAGTATGTTCCAGTCTAATTGCATTCAAAGAGCTAGATTGTGAGAGAAAGTGTCTTAAAAGACTTCATGTAATTCTTGAAAAGGTAAGCTCAGTTAATTTAAGAGAGGCAACTACATGTAAATTTCAAAAGCCTGAAAATCCTGTCCTGCAAACCAAATTAGCCTGGCTCTCACACTGAAAAATGGAACTCTTACACATCTTTGACATCACTTTCTCTGAATTCCTCTCTCTCTTGATCCTGCCCTTTGACTGCACCTCCTTTGGAGTGTAATTTTATAGTGGCTGACAGTTTAAGTGAGAAATAATTGCCATAACATTTAGGCTTTAAATTAATTGGTAATCGCCATGGTGCATTCTAGCCAAAAATACAATCAAACTCAAGTGAGATTGAGATCAATATATTTTATTCATAGTTAATGGAATAATTGTGCTAATGAAAGTTAATAATTTAATAATGACATAATTACAGAATTGAGTGCATAACAATAATTGTGCACTAATTCTAAACAAAACAAAAAAGTAAGCTGGAACAATTCATTTACTTACTCAGATTGAAGGAGATCATATTTTGAGGCAATTTCCTTTTCACTAATGACAGCATGTTCTTTTGCCTCAAAGGCATTATCTCTTGCTTCTCTAAGATTTCTACAAGAACCCACAAATACTTCAATACATATAAAGTCACCTTGTTTTATTTCTACATGGCAATGATAAAATCACCCTCAACTGAACTGCTGTAATGAAACCTTGGTGCATATGAAATTGTAAATTTTGTGAAACATCATCTAGTAACTGACAAAGTGACCAACTCACCTATTTTCCCTTTCAAACATGTCTTTAGTATCACCTCTTATCCTGTCCAATTCAAGTGAAGTCTTGCCCTTAATGTCATCTAGTTCACATTTGAGTCTCAGTTCATATTCTGACTTGTATTGCTCTCTGACACTGATATACTTCTCATACAACTCCTCTCTGGCCTGTTTTGTTTCTCCAAGCTGCTGCGACATCTGCTCCAATCGTTCCTCAGCTAATGTGCAGCGGCCTCTGAGCTCTTGAAGCTGTTTGTTCAGATACTCCTTGTCTTGCTTCAGTAAGGCTTCCGTTTGTCTGCTGATTTGCAACTTTAAGTTGCAACAACAAAAAATCTCATGGATTAAAAATTAATCCTTGAAAGATTAAAGAGGCTAAAGAAATCAATTTTAGATGTTGAAATAAGTCACACACAACCTGAGTCATCAACACACAATTTATCCTAAGTTTAGTTAACAGTTTGCACTATCATTGATTGTAATTTGATTGGCTTACCTCCTTCTGTACTTCAAGCAAATTCTCTGTTTTTGACTTCAATGCAGCATCCAAAAAAGTATTACTTTTCTTCAACTCCATCAAATCCCTGTCTAAATGATCCCGCTCACTGAAATGACACATTTAATAGACTTTAAAAAAGAAAACAATACTACTATTGAAGCTAACAGTATCAAATGTAAGATAAAAGTAAAGAGGATCCTAAAACTTCACCATTTTTATACAGATCACTCACAAAACTATTTTCTGATTATCATCACCTTCTGATTTGATCAAAGTTTGTAATTTTGTAATCTCCTTGATTGACTTGGGATTGTAATTTCTCCAGCTGGAGGCTGAGTCTTTGCACTCTTTGCTCTGTCTCTGCACGTGCCATGCGTTCATCCTCAGCCTCCTGAATATTAGATGGACAATTTCAAAGTTGGTTAGTAGCGAACTGTTGTAAGCTGTTATAGATCATTTTCATGTAACATCATCAAATTCCAAAATCCAAAACTAGTGAGCCATGAGACTTTTCATCCTCATTAGGCATAAGAGGTCTAAATTCGTACCTGTGATAAAATTTTCAGCTTAATAGTGTACTTGGTTTGGAAACCAGCACAGTTTGAAGTTCAGAGTTGTGGTGGTGAGTGACATGCAGCTCTGATTGCGTTTGTGAAAAAAATATACATCTATCATATGGTTTTTAGCCTTTTTAGGAGTTAAAGAGTTAGGAAAGATGCTTTCATAAATGTCTCTGTGTTTATATCAGATAATCAGTGGACTAGATTGCCAAAGTAAGTTCCAGGATATTTGAACTATTTTCCAGCCACCATGTTGATGCACCATAGAGGTGTACCAACATAGCAGCTCCATACTTGGCTCTGCAAATTTGTGCAAAACATTTCTATGAATATGTGAAGTTTGGCCACACAAAGAGACCTAAAACTTAGAGAGGCGTGTTCTTTACCTATCTTCTATAACATTACATATTCTTGACCTTATTTATTGAATAGTTTTTTATTTATATTTTTGTTGTGTTACAGTGAAAACGTTCTATTCTTCTGAATAATGAATTAAGTGGATAAAAGTTGCTGATGATACTACAATTATCAGTTGAGTGAAGTGCGGTCACTCCAAACAGAGGCAATTCCCATGACATCAGTTAAAACAAGGTCATCAAACTTTTATCACCCCTTACTTAACTATAAATCATAGTGTGACGCTTTTGTCATAAATGAAAAAAGAAAAGATTGAATGGCAAATTCCATGAAATATTCAAACAGAGACAAATTTGAACAACTAATTAGACAAAGAAAAATGGACAGTAATTGAGAGAGAAAACTATACAGTGATAATTATTAATAAAAAATAACAATGGTAATTAAAAAATATTCCCATGGCTAGTAATCAAATTTTAATAGATAAATTAGATATAATAGCACACTGGAAGGGTGCCTGGTAGCTTTACATCATCAAGAACAAATTTTAATGAAACAATATAGTTTTGATACTCAAACTGAAAGCTACAGGAAAGGAAAGGTACCACATGCTCTCTACAAACAACAAGAATTTACTTCACCTTTCGGAAAAAAGCAGTCTCCTCTTCTTTAGTGTGAAGTTGATGGGTCAAAATTTCCAGCTGTTCTTGAAGACTTGAACATTCCAAAGCTAAAGGATGACGAGCTTCATAAACTTTAATCTGTAAGAGTTGGCATGAGAGATGATGTCTAGAAGTCTGTGACACAGGTAAATTTTTGATGTTTGTTCTGCGTTGGGGGAGCAAAAATAAGTAGACCAGGGGAATAAGAGGTTGTGGAGAGGATGAGAAATAGAGGCAAACTCAGCCTGCATAGAAACACAGTTCAGAAATTGGACAAAAGTTAAAAACAGAGGAAATGAGTCTCCTGCTACTGCACTATCTACAAGTAGTGGATAGCAATCAAAAAAACATCAGCATATGCAAGATCTAACTAAGGGTCTGGTTTTAATATACTCAGAATGAACACCCGTGAAAACAGGTTATGCAACTAACCATTACGAATTCCCTCAAAGAAAGTTCTTCTGAGTCTTTGGATTTCAATTCCAAGTACAGCTCATCGGATAATTGTTCAAGATCAATCAACCCTTTCCTATAGTCCATGGCTTTTTCTTGTAGCTTCTTGTTCTCGATTTCCAAAAGCTGCTGTCGTTTAAAGATTTTGGCCATTTCAAGCCTCGTTCGTTCAAGAGAGTTCTTAGCTTCCTCTTGTTGAAGTTTCAGCTGCGATTCAAGTCTTGCCTGAAGAATTTGTTTCTCGTGTCGAGTATCGCCCAAGAGTTCCTCTAACTCATCCACTTTGCTCAAATGTTCAACTTTCATGTTGTCGATTATGAGGTTTTTCTGGCTCAACTCGATGCGAACAAGTTCCAAGTCATGCAGTAGCTGTTTGCGTTCAATTTCATGCTTAGTTATCCTGTTTTCCGCCTCGCTGTCCACTTGAGTGGAGGAAAGAGCCGAGCTTGTCAACAAAGTTGAAGATTCAACGTCGGTTGTATTTTCCAAATTTCCAGTGATATCATTTTCCGTTCGCAACGTACTGTCACCATTATTTTCGCTCGCATGAGAACTTCTGGAACTACCACTACCTCTCTGTGACATTTTAGAAGCCAAAAATAATGTAATTTCAGCGAACAATGGTAAAAGCAAATACAAACCGGACAGCCGCCATTTTTCAAATTGATGATAAAGTACGGGGTGTAACTATCATATAGTGAATCATCATTCATTTAAAATGAAAAGGACAACCTCGTTTTCAGGGACCCTGGGAACGAGGTTGAACCATGGATTGCGTGGAGGAGCCGAAAAGGACATAGCACGGAAAAGCTTTCGGACAGAAACAGTTTCCCTAACATCCTCCGTTTATAGCTCATCCACTCGCTCTATCACTCTTTTTCGCTAACCGAGTGCCTCACAACCGTTAGAGGCCTTCCAATATGTAATTAAACAGAGTTTAATTCGGACTCTCCCGAAAGAGTGAGAATATTTCCTTGCCGAGATTTTTCTCATCGCAAGTTTTCCTAACCCTGAAGCAATAAGAAAAGAAAAAAGAAAAGCTGTATTCTAATCGTGCTATTTCCGAATTGTTTTCCCTTGAAAGGTGGTGTTTTTCCTACACGGGGTCGAAATCATCAACTTTAGTTCCTACCATCCTTTAATTTCGTCTCAGTATTTTTTTTAGGAAGGTGTGGGGAGGACAGGTTTGAAGGGGAGGAAGAATTAGCCATAAATAGTAAGTTAGTATAGAAGGAACGTTGGCGCTGTTAGTCAGAGAACAAATGTTGACAAAGAAAATCTCACTGGAGGAATCTGGAATATTTTCACATGTTCCTGGCCATCAGAAACTATCCATCGTAATCTAACACACTATGCGAATGCGTGGCTTTCACTGATCTCTCTTGCAAAGATGTAATTTTAGGTCCTTATTTGGCCGCGCAAAGTAAAGTTTCACCATATGAGGAAAGTCAACGGGGACTGTAAAGAAACATGAAATGGGAAGCAATCAGTTTGGTTCTCGTGCAAAGTGAGTTCTTTCAGGATTCCTCACGTTAATACGCTGTAGTCCAAACGAAATAAAACGAGTTCATCTCACGAAGCCAAAAGAAGAATAAAGTTGACCGTCTAGGTCAAGTTGGTTGTTCCTATAGAGTCTTTTTTGATTGAGTGTCGAAAGATGATCCGTAATTGCTTTGGTTTTGCTTCACTTTGACCAACGACTGACCTAGAAAACTCGCCCCGACTCGAAAACCAATCTTGGCTTGGTCGCCCGCGTTTTCGCGCACTTTTGGTAGTTTGCCTGTTTTTAATCTGACTTCCCATCAGCTTATGTTGACGCAAACCTCTGTTAAGATTAGCTTTCGTAAATACTTTGGTTTGGGTTTTTCGATAATCAATTGAAAACTGCTCTGGTCCAACAAAGCCATGTGAACTTTAATATACTTTAAAAGCCAACTAGTAAGCCTCTGCATCTCACAAGCGCCCTCAGGAGCCGCGAAGGAAAACAAGATGGAACTAGATGTATTTCAGTGAACCATTTATTACTTAGGTTGTTCTAACTTTCTCTATAATTCGCAGCAAATACTGCACCATAACGCCTCGTTACAGTTCAGCAAAGATGTTTACCACGTAAAATGTTCATACTAAATCTAAAACTGAAAGCGTTGCTGACGATGCAAGGGCACACCATCACGAAAATTTTAAGTATATACATATTTCTTCAAACGCTTTATAACTTCTTTACCTTAACTTATAGAAAATCTTAATCTACATATTCTTCTTGCTGGCCAAGCGAAATAAACCAAACCAAAACAAAAACCAAACAGTCGTTGGCAGCAAGTTTTATAGGCGACACAATTGCTCGTAAAAAAAACTAACTCAATCTTTCCTGACGATCAGGCAATCCAAATAACTCATTCTAAAATGTTCGTCCTGTTGACATTCCCGTGTAATGTGGCGTCGTTGAGTTTACGACTGTTGACTGACGGCGGAGGTTGTACGTCTTCAAGAAACCGAGCAAAGTAAGCAACTCCTACAATTCATATCGCGATATGATCAGCCTCAAGCCCACTTTCGTGTCTTCTCCAAATCTTGATCAGTAGACCTTCTAGGTCGCGCGCGTATTGCCTCGTATTGAAAAGTGGACTACGAAGGCGGGCGTTCCATACTTTATCCTTTACTTTCTTCAAGCTAAAGAAACAAGAAAAGTAAAGTTTTTATTAACAGTGCTATCATAAACAACTAAGTTATTATACCTTACCAGAACCTACCCTGCGAGGATGACTAAAATTCCCACCCGTTGAACACCCTATGTATGAAGACTTTGCCAAAGTCAAAATTTTGATCCAAACATTTCTCTTGAAATGATTGACAGAGGATAAGTGATCACCATGTTTAAAGGAACTTTTAACTAAGCGCGTCGGATTAGGACACTAAGGTAGTCTTGCGCAAAAAAACGAAAAACAAACAAAAACACACTACACCCCACTCGTCATTTACAGCCCAAAGATAAGGCGCACTACAGTTCTAAAAAACACAACACTTACTAGTTAGCGTCGTTTCCAAGTCGGATGGCAATATTTTCGTAATCTACTCGACTATTTGCTATCAGCTCTGGACAGCCAAGTGCTGTAAGCTGGGATGAAGCTACTCGGGATGCCAATGTTTCGAGAGGAAGCGTCACCATGGGACATCCAGCCCACAAGACATCCATGCCAGTCGTGTGACCATTGCACAGAGGAGTATCCAGGCAAACGTCAGCCAGCTGACCACGACGAACATGTTCTTCTTTAGGCGCCACTGGGGAGAAGATTACGCGCTCTTGGGAAAGCCCCATCGCCATGGCCTGTGCTTTTAGGTTGGGTTCTCCTACTGCAGGAAATCTGAGCAACCACAGCACAGAGTTGGGCACTTCTTTCAGGATGTTCACCCAGCTTCGTAGAGTCGGCGGGTCGATCTTGTACAACTGGTTGAAATTACAATAGACAATGGCTTCCTCAGGTAGGCCATAATGCGAGCGCGTAATGATAGGTACAGTCGAAGGGATCCTCTCACCGCTGTCCTTGCATCCAGAGTATTCTCTCTTCTTTTCTTCGATCAATGCACCAACCTTTGGTGCCAAGTTTGGGTCGTTTTTCTCATCGTCGAGAAGCACCGCCGCAGCATGAGATGGTACTAAGCCATTCTTCGTTACTTCAGCAATCATTTGGTTACTAGACGCTCTCAGGTACTGTATAAGGTGCGGAAACATCTGCTTGTGGTCACCAACAAAGAATGTATGAGGCATGTAGGCTAGCCTCTCCGAATACTGATCAGCCAATTCGAGGGGTGAGGTGACTTTATCAGTGATGATATAATCCATATAAGGAGCGCCACTCGTTCCAGGGTAACCCAGCCACATTACCTGCAGAGATGATGGAAAAAAAGTGCACAATTTCTACACTTCAGTCTTGCCATAAACACAACCTTTAACAATCATAAACATAACATTCAACAATCTTTAACTCCCAAAAAATTATTTACTCATCTACACTTCCTTAAGCATTCGTTAGGAGAATTTGTTGATATATCTAGATAAAACCGTCACAATGTGTTTGTCCTTCCTTATCGCTTGAATCCTCTAGCTCTGAGAGTGACTGAGATCTAGCTTCTCCTAACAGTATCTCTTCTGATTCAAACAAAAGTCATGAGGATTAAGGAAAATATTATCAACTTAAGAAAATTGTTAAACAAATTCTCCTTGTCAGCCTCAGGAAATGTATAGTTGGTTTGGAGATTATGCACACTGATGTTAGGGTGGAAAGGGTTATATATATATGTCCAAATTGTGCTGAGAAGTTCAACATTAATCTCTTTTGAGAAGTGAAAGGTCGAAGACCTTTAAGAAGCACAATATTGTTTTAATTTTAAAAAAAATGTGCCATGTTAAAAAAAGTGAGTTTTAGAGTACAAAGTATATCAATTTTCCTTGCACAAGCTCAGACCATTTAAACCAGTCAATCTTTAATTTTTTGTAAACATCACAAGGTACCAATTGTGCCCATTTCAGAAATTAACCACAGCTTGATAAATAATCAGAATTGAACTACTTTTTCAGCACATAAATCACCACCACCACAGTTTACACAATTACCTGTACTGGTGCAGGACGAAGTGCAAAGATTTCATTTCTGGCTCCTTTGGTGTAGCCATTCATGTTGACAAGGACATGAATGCCATCCGAATTAATGCGATCAGCAGCTTCCCCATGACAAGCAATGGATGACAGATCAACAAAATGCTCTGCATCTCCCTCAATCTTTCTTCTAAAGCTGGTGCTGTCGTCAGCAGTGAGAGCATAGCAGAAGATCTATGGAATATTTATGAAGACCATAAGCAAAGTCACATGACAAAACTATCACAAGCCAGGTAAATTCCCACCAGGATTAGATAACAAAAAAAGAAAGTCAAAATACTAGAGTAGAAAAAGGAAAATAAACTTGAAACTCTAGTAAGTGTGCTCAGATGAAATGCGCAAGAATTCTATCATATTTCATAAATTTCCTTACTAAGTGTTAACCCTTACCCCCCTATCATTGAATGATCTCTGATTTATCCTCTCAATATAACCTATGATTCAAATAAAAAGGTCATGGAAAAAAATGGAAATGATCACCAATTTAAAAAGCCCTGGTTGTTGGAAAATTCTCTGTTCCATTACCAAACAAAACGGAGAGAGAACTGTGTAGAGGATGTGAATACCAAGTACTGATATGGTATAAAAGGTTGACTCTTTGCACCCTAACATCAGCATGTATATTTTCCATACTGTTCTCCATAGATTTCCACAGAGGCTGACAAGGAGAATTTGCTTCACAATCAAGAGCTGCTTTGGTTGGTGATCATCTCCTTTATTCTCATGACTTTCATGTTTGATTCAGGGGTGATATTGTGAGGAGAAATTAGATGCTAGCCACTCTTAAGGGCTGAAGGGTTAACTGAGTTCTTGCCCAAAATTCCACACAGTAAAAAACAAACAATCACTAACCTCAACCCTACTGTGGTCATGAAATCCTGGTACACTCTGCATCAGGTGAGAAGTAGGGTGGTTGCCAAAATCACTGGAAACGTAGCCTATTCTGAGTCTACCTCCACTATCCTTCAAAGACTTTGGATAAGAGTAGGGGGTTTGTGTAGAAGAGCAACCTTGGAAAATTCAGGATAAAACTGATCAGATAACAATAATCAAAACAAAACAAAATCAAACTTAACTTTCCCAAACTATGAATGTAGAAATATCCAAATGCTGGTGCCTGACAGTCAACAGGAGTATAGATTCCAAAGACTGACAACTTTCCTGACCTCATAGAAGTTTTCCCCGGCTCTAGTCAAAGTTTTGGACCAAAAAAAAAAAAATGCTGCCAAATACAAGAACATGGAGATGTAATTCCTGGTGCAGAACAATTCTCAACACATCTCCTGTAATTTCAAATCTTCTTGGCAAAACCCAAGTAAAGAATCACTAGCTTACAAGGAAAAATAAAGTACATTTTTGTGATACCTTCTCCACACAAAGATTGCCGTGTCTATTGGCAATGTCTCTTCTCATTTTGTGCGTAAGTGGGTATAGCATGCTGTGATGAGGGTGCACAGATGGAAGTCTGTTGTTCTCCAACTGGTCAGCTACGATTGACACAAGTTTCTTCATACGAGACTCATAATCTGTCCAGTCACAGATAATCTAAATGGAAACAAACAAAATCAGTTTGGTCAGAGAGTAAAGATACTTAAAGTTATTCAATCTTTAAAACAGAAACAGAAAAATATGTTCACTGCAAGGCACTCAGGTATGTACCAGAGGAAAAGCAATTAATTGATATGAACTTAAAGTGACATCAGTTAGATTGGAAGTTCCCCCACATTTTAAGTTTTGCCTTTCATCAGTGGAAAGACAGGTTTAAAGTTTGTATGTATTAGAGACAGTGGATTAAAAAATTCAGAATTTTGCAGCGCAAGTGCAACCTAACTGTAACCCGTCACAGCTTAGCACCCTATCCCAAATGCAAACTGATACTTCTCCAAGCTTCACAATGAAGACTGGCCCTAGTATGGTTATTGAGGAGCACTAGGTAAAGTATGTAAATATATCAAAGTGTAGGATGTACAATATGTTAGTTACCTGTAAACAATGAGCCAGGTTACAGTATGCATCAGGAAAGTTTGGCTTCAACTTTAGTGCTGTTCTGTATGACTGGATCGCTTCAGGAATGTTTCCAGAATCCTAATGAAAACAATAACGAGACAAACCCAACAACAATGCTTCCACAACAATGCATGACGTAGCATAAGAACACTTCCAAATTGTAAAGAAAATGGGGAAAAGCTAGAACATGATGTAAATAACAATAACTTATCCACCACTAAAGCTTGCATTCGCAAAGTTCAAATTAGCTCACACTTAGTAATTATTATGCATTGTTGCATCCCTTTTGCCCAGTGTGTTGTACTTGCTAATAATTTATCATAACACTGGAGCTAAAAATCCAACAGAACACTTGCTATTTCTATGATACAAGCAATTTATTCCTCCTGCTCATATTTTTTTGCCTCCTTTGTAAATTATACTGTGAGATAGCACACATTCAAATTTAATGATTACAGTGGGGGCTGCTCATACAGAGTACACCTCACCACATACCTTGTGAACTGATGCTAAGTTACTGTGCGCATCAGCAAAGGCTGGGTTTATTTGTATGGCTCTAGTGTAACACTGGATTGCTCCCTGGACGTCTTGCATTTCTTTCAATGTGTTTCCCATGTTGGAATAAGCATCAGCAAATGTAGGATGAATTCTAGACATTATCAAAAATTAATAATGAACGATCAATGCAGGAAGGTGGGGCAAAACATCTTGTTCTAAAATTGAACAAAATGTATCACTCATTTGTATTCATGTTAATTAGCCTTTGTTGCTGAAAAAAACTCACTGAATTCTGGGATATAACCGAGTTAAAGACATCTAATTATCATTCATGTCTCAGAATAATAAAATTTATCAAGTCTGTAGCCTTACGGAACAAGAAAGAATGGCACAATTAAAAAGATTTAGGGAGGGCAAACTTTCAATCTCATAACTAGGAAAAAAGTATGCAAAAGGTTTATCTAGTATTAACCTGATAGCTTCCTTATAATGCAGCAAAGCTTCATGGAGCTTCCCTTGTTGTTGTAGAACACTTGCAAGATTTGAGTGGGCAGCAGCAAATTCAGGAAAGATCTGTAAAGAGATCAAAATACTCTAAGTTTTTTCCTTCTCAAACATGCATAAATCAATCACAACTGAAAAAACAAATTACTAAAACAGTACCTCAAGAGCTTTGCAGTACAGCCTAACTGACTCCTCTATCTTGCCTTGCTCTCTTTTGATATTGGCAAGGTTGTTTAGAGAATCTGCATGGGTAGGACAAAGCCTCAAAGCTGTATTATAGCATTCTTCTGCCTCAGATACCTTGAGAAAGTGAGATGTAATCAACATATAATCCTCAATAAAAATGATTCTACAAAAAACACCACTTGATCGTATTTCTTTTGAAACAGATAAGTATAAATATGGTGCGTTAAATAGCAGATGAATGGGAAAGAGCACATAATGCAGAAAGTAAAAAGAGTGTTTGGGAAATAAATGAACTACATACACAGCTGACCTTTCCTTGTTCCTTTAAGGCATTGGCCAAGTTACAATAGGCATCTGGGAAGTTTGGTTGAAGTTCAATTGCTCTTCTGTAAGTGTCCACTGCTAAATCAATAAGTCTGTGAGAAAAGGAAAAGAAAAATAAGAATCATGGTATTGAAACAAGGATGCCAGTCACACAAAGGAGTCACCTGCAAGCGAGAGTCACTTGACTTAAATACTATTCTACAATTTCCTTACCCTTGTTCATAGTACACACAAGCCAAGTTTCCATGGACAACTGCATGATTGGGGCTCAAGTTTAAAGCTCGGAGGTATGCAGCAACAGCTCTGATGAAAATTGGAGAGGGAACAGAAAGATTACAAACATTTCCACTTTATCCACAAAATCATCCAAAATGGAGCCGAACTGTTCAAAACACACTAGCAACAATTCCTGAATCAGCTGCATACACAAAGTGTGCTACCATATCAATTTCACTGAATATGAACACAAATAACACTGCCCTCACCTATCAAAAATTCTGGCCTCCTTTAAAACATTCCCTAGGTTAATGTAGGCATCAAGAAAGTTCTGATCCAGCTGAACAGCCTTGATGGAACAAAAATAAACAGAGCAGAACATTAAAATAACATGTATGAAATTTACAGGTTTTTTTCACACTGTAAGACAAAATCAGCTGACCCCTTTTTTAATTTAGGTCTCCCAAGCTAAGATCCTCACAGTTTTGAAACTTAATGTTTTCATCATAATACATATAAAGATGCAAAAATTTCATCATCCCCAATGGCCCATGGTGCAACAATAAATCCCAAACAGGGTAAAAAGTTAAAACTAAATGCAGAAAGTTCAAATCAAATGTATATATTACACATCAACAATGGTAGGGTCCAAATTTCGTACAAAATCATTTTAATTCTCATAGAGACATATAAATGCTCTGTTTTTTGTAGCATGGACTGGCTTATTATTCTCGGAGATCCAATATGTTTACTTCCTCCTTAGACATGTTCCTGCCACAGCTTACTACCACCTTGCAAACTAAGGGATCCACCTGTTTCTGATGTCTACAATATATGTCAAATATATCCTTGGTGCCTAATTTCTCAGCCTAACTAAAAACCTAATTAGCATGAGTAGTCATGCAACTCTTTAGCCACAAGAAACACTTCTCTGATCAGTAGTATTACCTTCTCAAAGTGATGAATAGCCAGCCATATTTCTCCTTGAGCATTGAACACACAGCCAAGATTACTCCAGGCCACTGCAAAACTGGGCTGTGTTTCTATTGCTTTCAAGTAGCACGCCTTTCAATTCAAAAATGAGCAGCAAAATGGGGGCAAAAAAAATTGATGGGAAAGGCACACAGCAAGCAAAAAGAGAGCAGATGGCAGCGAGAGTAAACAGCAGAGAGCAAGAAAACAATCATAGCAAAAACAAGAATAACACAAAAACACAGGCAAGACAGATAGCGATAGTAGAGAGCAAAAAGAGACAATCATGGTTTTGTTCTCATCCTTTGTAACAACGCAATACTATTTCGATATTTTCCACCAACAGTTTAGTTGGCCTCTTGTTTTGTCCTGTCTTGGCTGAAATACAATGCTAGATTACAGTATCCATTAGTTCACAAAACACCTTGTCCCGTTGGAAAAGCTTACAGATTTCTTCATCAAGATTGTGTGAGAGAACAAATACCTTGTCTTGCCTCAACACATAACCAAGTTAGAGGCTTGAGAAGTAACAATGTGGCAAAAGGCATGGAAAAATTGCAATCCAGATCAAGAAAAATTGGACCAACATATAATGACAGGATATAAAAAGGGAAAGTTTGATGTGGCAATGAATGAAATTTAAAACCAAGCCTGTGCCAATATTTCAGTTTGCAACTTCTTTCACCTCTAAGAAAACAGTCCCCAAATTTCCAGTGATTGAAAGTAATACTGCTTTACACTCAATACAAATGCAGACTTGTCTCAAATGAAAGCAGTAAATTAACCCATCAATTGCTGGAGATCGGGAACCATTTTATCAACGTGAGGAGACAAAACAAGATTTGCATTCTTCACATCAATCTACAAGAGCAAAGAAACAACAACAGTCAGCCTTGTCTTTTGAAATTTTTCCCAACCACTCAACATCTGATTTTAATAAAACAATAAGCAAAGCTCCTTCGTAACTGGGACAAGGTGTTGAATGGATAATAAGACCATTTTCTTTCTTTCCAAGGTATGAGATCAACCACATGACTTCCAGGAAAGGATGCAAGCAGACAACTCAATCCAGTAACGGGAGTTTTTCAATACAAAAGCTCCTATGCCAGTACTTTGCTGCATTACTCAAAGCAATTAAAATGCAATCAAATTAACTTATCTCTGAAAAGCTGTGCTCCTACCCAACATAAAAAAAACCCCTATCCAAATTTAAAGCAAATTCAAAATTTTCACAAAAACTGTATTGAAAACTTCTGTTTCTGTTTGAGAAGTCTGTAACAGCAAACTGGGCAAAGCATGGTAGACAGGGAAAGCAAGTTTGGGAAAGGGCCAAAGACGTGCTTTGAGAAGTTCATCTTTCTGCAAACGGTTCCCTTCAGCCGGTGTACTCCATCAAGAGCGTACGTACCCTGTATAAGTTTACTGGGAGAGATAAATAAAAGGGGAAAACAAGGGTAGATTGAATGTTAGGGATCACATAAAAAAGTTGCACATTCCAACTTGCAGTCTAACCAACACAACTGTGTCACTTCTTGAGCAAGCTCCACCAGCAAAAGGAACACTTTGATAACCCTACCGGTTACTACAGTATAAACAGCATAGGAATCACCATGACACATCAATTTTCAAGTGCCATACAAGGCAGCCAATTTCATGTTGAAGTGATGTGCTCTTCAAGAATATTGACACAGATATGTTGGTCTTGCCAACACACATTTCACAATCCATCCATAATACTTTAAATAATGACCCCAAAGCCCCAAGATATCCAAGTAACCCACCCATCCCACACAGGAAAATATCCAATTTGCTATGAGAGTATTTCCAAAAACCCTGCATTAGCACAAGTGTGTTATCAAACAACATCACTGTTTGATGTTAGAACTTTCATCAGCAAGACCATTAAATATCCTCCATAATTCACACAGCCTTATCAAAACTTGGGACTTCCAAAAGAGATAAACAAACTGGCAACTGTAACAAGATCTAATTTATGCTAATGCACAATCTATCATCACACTGCAGAGTATTGAGAAATTCACTCTCATGCAATTAGAATTATTCTGGTTTCATTAACAAAATTCTGAACATGGAGCACACACAGCTGAAGACGTCACCTTAAAAATCTTCTATTCCCACATTTAAAATATCAATAATCTTTGAGGACTGGGTGATATAAGTTTTAGCTCGTAGAAGGGAACTTTTTCTAAAAAGCCTTCCCTCATTGTGACATGTAATCATAGTGTGAGGACAATATACCTTTTTACCTCTTGGAAATCAGAATGATAAAATTGAGGTCACGTTGAATGTTGAAATTAAATTTGCGTGAGGCACACAAACTGTGAACATTCACAAGGTTGTTTCCAGAAGCACTCAATACCAGGAAGAGAAGGAACCTTTCATTGTCAAGACCAGAACGACTGCCTTGAATATGAAATTTTCCCCTTCTGTTTTCCAGAAAATTGGTAATGTACCTTAGCCTCTTCTAGCCTCCCTAAAGCCTTTAAAAGGTTACCAAGATCACTGCGTACACAATAGAGATCCTGTTCACAAAAATATAAAAAGGTGCTGTCAACTCCACATACCACAAATATTATTTAAACACTGAAAAATTAAATAACTACATAAATAAGGAAAGGAACCTTGATTTCATGGCCATTAAAAAATTAGAATCATAAAAAAGACCTAATTCCTTGCTTAAGTTTGGTAAAAGAAGCCATACAAAAAAATAATTGTCTAAAAAGCACTCAAATAAAATTGCGAAAAATGCTACAGGCAAAAGACCATGAAAACTGTCATTGCTGAGTTAAACTACTTCATTCTTTGCTATACAAAATTAACACTATAAATAATCGAAGCTTTCAGCGCTTCTTGCAATATTAACAAAATTAGGATTCTCTTGAACCACTTGGAACAATATGGTGTACAGACTTAGACATTAGTCTGCGGTGGCCAATGGAAAGGGCCCAAAAAATATTGACAATATGCCAGGTACATTGACAGAGAAGTCAGTCAATCTAAGAGTTGGAATTATCAAGCGGAAGACAATTGTAGTATCCAAATGCCATTCATTACACTAAGCCATTTACTGCATTAAGAATACTCTCACTAACCAGGTAAGGTATGAAGGGAATTCATAACAAAGTTATGTTCAGTTAAGTGAGCGACTATTTCGACAAGAAATTCAATTGACAAACACTAAAACGTGAAACAAAATAACCGACTTATTTCACATTCCACACGTCAACGAGATTGAACCTTCTTCAGCATACCAATATGACCGGAATTTCAAAATCCTGGCAAATATTAAGAAATACTGAAGACTGCGACTGCGGCTATTGAGATAAAGCTTTGAGTTTGTCAAAGCATGGAAGACAAATAACACGTTTCTTCGCGTCAGATGTGACATTAGCACAAATTTATTTGCTCAAAACAATGAATGGAAAAGATCGCGAAACTTCAGCTGGATGGACGAAATTTCTCTCAGTCAGAATTATTCTCTTCATCATTCGCTGAGTTGTAACACACAGCAGTCGATTTGTTTTTTAAGAGCTTTAGATAAATCTCACCGAGCTTAAGCCGTATTCTAGCGAAACAAACAATGAACGAAAAAGTAACAGATAAACTCAGTACTATACCGGGTTATACTGCAATGCTGTTGCATACGCATTTACTGCTCCTTCTAAATCTCCAGCAGCCACTAATGCCGCAGCTAAATTGATATATCCATCGATGAAATCAGGCTTTAACTTAACAGCATGTCGGTAGTTATCCAAGGCGTCCTTCAGCTGACCTCTTTCTTTATACACATTTCCTAAGTTAGAGTACGCCTCGGCGAGAACTGGATTTTGTTTGATGGCTAAGGTACTAAAATGCGCCGATCTATAGAAAATGAAAACAGAAAGTGCTAAACGATTTGAAAAATGCTTTTAAGGCAAGTTATCAAGTTGAGATACGCCATAAAATTGTAAGAAATGTTGGTTGTTGCGATCCTATCCTCAAAACAACGTACAACAACAGCACGCAAGAAAATTCGGTTAACGACTTCGTGTACCTGTCTAATCGACGACATTGAAAGTGTATTGACGATAACAACAACAGAACTCCAGTGTTTTCTGGCTGTTGTCTCCACAACTGCATACAGATTTGTTCGGCACGATCATAACTGCCCGCCTGGTATTCTCGATGAGCCAACTCGGCCAGAGTGGCTGTTGAAAGAGAGAGAATGGGTTACGGTAAACACAATGAGCTTAGCTTACCGACACAAATATTCACGAAAGAGCATTCCCTAACCAGCATCGTCTAAAATAGTCGTTCCCATGACCATGACGATGAAATTGGCGGTAGAGAAACACAAAAGTTTCCCCTTTGAGATTGAAATAAGAAAACGAGGGCATGAAGAAAGATGGCGTGTATTATTGTATGCATAAACGCGACGTCATGTGCGCACACGCAAAGAAAAGACTTACCTCCATAATGGAACGATTCTGGCTGAAATTTCATTATTTCGCATTGACGGAACCTTTAAAATAAACAAATTTCACTCATACCGAATGAGCTACCACTCAAAACCGCGACTGAATTGATGTACTTTCACTATCAAGGCATTCTCAACATGAACAGCCCCTAGAACTGCCATGATCAATATCGAAATTCCTAATAACCGCAATACGCTTTGCCAATGACGTAATCTTACGTTTTACCTAACAACCCCACGTGGTTGACAGGTTATTGTAAAGAGAAAATAATAGTCCATCCCTTTAATGTAGTACGATTTTTACCTCTAAAATGATACATAGCAATATATTATGAATCATTTTATCTGATTCCTCTATCAATGATAAAACTTTAGTCTTAGAAAATAACATGATAATGTATACAGGACAGTTTTTGGGTGAAAGAAATTCGATAGCTTAGTGGTCAAGTTACATATTCTTACAACAGATGCTTTTTAAAAAAGGAAGCCCTCCCTCATTTTACTCCGCTAATTTGTGAAAATTTCTTCAATATCCTACCAAAGTGCCTATCTCAATGAGAGTGAAGTCCGAAACTTCCTCAGCAGTCAGAAAAATGCATTATAAGTTTGTTGTGAGGTAACCAAAGCCCCTTTTTTTTGTGCACGTTCTCATTCCTTGGATCGTGTTTGTATCAGCTGACATCTGGCCTTTTGACACCTTGCCGTCACGTGTCTGATGTTTGATTGACGTGGCCAATGAATAAAGAGGCCAGCAGTACCGAAAATATCGGGGTCACTTCGTGTGAAGAATTCGTGGTGTGAAGTTGCAGCTCTCTGTCCCGTGAATTTCTTTAAGGTAACTGCTGTAGCCCGTTGTTTCCTCTTAAGACGCGATTTGGTCGTTATTAGTTCGTTGATTTTCTAAATTTTAGCGTTATCTCTGCAGTAAGAACGAAATGGCCGATAAACCAGACGTATCTGAGGTGTCAACGTTCGATAAGAGCAAGTTGAAAAAGACTGAGACACAAGAGAAGAACACTCTTCCAACGAAAGAAAGTGAGTCTTATTTCGCTTAATTTTCCTTCCTAGAGAAATATTTTCGTGAGCTAAAGCTGAAAATACGTCAGTAAAGCAGCTATTTGCTCCTTTAGGGGTGTGTCATCTTGGGAACACTTTGAATTCGAGAGCGACACGTTTTTAAAATTCCGTACTCATTATTGTATCCAAGCTTCAATGCGCAGCGCGAGTCCCAAGCATCTTGGCTATAATTTTTCGACGGGCTTCGTATATAATGCAAGCACCTTATCCGTCTTTTTGACACACCCTCTCTATTCTTTCGTTTCAGCAATTGACCAGGAGAAGAGCACCTAAGCCAAGAAATTATTGATCATAACCACTAGCGTGTTGTTAATGTTATTCAAAAATTTGTGTCCTTCTTTTTATGTTTGTGTCTGCCTTGGAGAAGTTGTGCGCTTATAGGGAGATGAAGTTTATTAGCATAAAGTTTGTGATCCCTAAATCTGTAAAATTCAATTGTAGTCAAATTTATGGGAAAACGAAAACCATCTCGTCGATTTCCTACACTTGATGTATTCGTTCCACTTTCGTCGGCCTAGACAAACATAAATTGTAGTGAAATATTTTTGCACATTTTAAACAATAAAGTTGAATATTGAACTTGAAATTTGGGTGTTTGTTTAGATTACTTTGCTGTTGCTGGGAAATGCGTAGAGAAATTGTAAAATAGTCTTTCGCAACCTTCGAACAATTGTACTAATCCTTTCTTCATCACACCAACATTTTTCTACCCAATTGGCCTGAAGTGCCCATTGATAGAGGTCGTTTACAAAACGACAAGAAAATCCCTGAGGACCTAAAATTATAGCTTTGTTATGCCAACTACTGCTGTGATTTTTCCTAGCCAACACTTGAAAGCCTTGTGAATGTGAAAAAATTTTATAGATGAATTCCTTTTAAGGGAATTTTGCCAAGTGGTGTGATCAGCACAAAAAAAAACTTCCTGCAGGAAATGACAGTCAAGGTATTAGATTACCTCGGGGTTCAGTTTAAAATTTAATCCACATTTAGATGAGACTATTATTTTTTATTTAATTACATATTTCATCTGCATTGCAACAAGTGTTCAAAATATTTTAGAGACTGTTCTGACATATTAGTTACTTGAAACTAAAATGGTTTCTATCTCATTAGAATTGAGTTCCAAACAAATGTCAAAGAAATGCATCAAGAGTTATCTGATTAGGTAAGATTTCCACACAGCCCTGGCTATACTCATTATGCATGCAGATTTTGGATAAAGGTAACAATGAGGAAATCAGTAAAGTATCTCCTGCTACTACTACTGCTTTTTATGGAGTAGAATAAGGCTGTGTGGAAATCTTACCTAGGATTAAGTTGCACAGGCAGTTTGTAAGAGTTTTGGCCATCATAGGAAGGTTGCTTGGCACTGAAATATTCTTCTCAATAGACCTACTTAACTTTTATTGTTTATTTTCCCAAGGAAGGTCTCACAGAAATTTTCATCTTTGTTTTATGTAAATTATGCTTCCACATGCACACGAATAAGAGGAAGCTTATAAGATACAGTTCTCTAGGATAACACATGATCTACACTGGAGCAACAAAACATACTTAAGCTGAAGAGGTCTATTTGTGACTTAAAAGTTTCAAGTAGGTGAAGCTTTAAAATACACCGGAATGTAAATGAGTAATGCTCTGTTTGCATGAAGGGTTGGGTAACTTGCCCTTTGATCATTAGTGTTTGTGGGAGGTGAACTTCCTCGCTCTGTAGGACTTGATGCAAGCATGTAACTGAACTAGCCATTTATGTAACAAGTTATGAGTAGAGTAAAATGGTCACAAGGCAAGCAAAAGAGAAATTAACAATCTTTATTCGAAATTTCCAATTGTCTTGTCCATGTAAGATGAAAGTGTGAGTGCCTCAGAGCTTGATCACATTAACTCCTCAATGAGCATACTGATTAAAGCAGCAGCATCTCAGGTTTGTTCTGTTGCAATGGCTTTCTTCAGTCCCAAATGTAACTCTTTTACGTGCACTTCACCCACTTTTCCATGGGCAAATGCAGAAAAGTTGGTGAGACATAGAACACAACTTGTAACTAGAACACAGACACATTTGATACTCACTGGCACATGAAAATCTGCTTTCTGAAGAACAGTGTTTCAAAATATAAAAATACATTCCTTGAGAAAGGGGACATTGTAGGCCTCCAATCTCCCCGAGTTAACATCACAAGATAGTAATTTTATAGGGCTGCAGACACTATGTATTCCTTAAGATTATAATTTTGCGCGAGATAACCTTACTGTGTCAGACAGTCTTCCAAGTGGTAGACATCCCAAATGCTGACCCCAAACAGGGATCTTATTTCTTCCAGCAGTGACCAACTAGACTGTTGTTTGCTAAGTACAGAATCCAGCAGGGGTTCACAACTTCAGACACCCTTAATGGAAAATGATAGATATATTATAATCAAAATGCCAAAGTTGTATAATTTGATTGCGTAGACGCTGGGTAACTCAGGAAAGGTGAAGGAGATCTTTTCATGAAAAAATGTATGCATCCTTGTATTTTAGTTGTTGGCTAGGAAACATTTTTATGAATATTTCCATGGCTTTTTTTATGTTATTGCCAACATTGATTGACAATCCTGCTTTGTTGCCTTGTTGGGTGTCTGGGATTATTAAGTTAAACCTTATTAATCCAAGGAATTCTCTAAACATCAGGACATCTTTGTGAACAAAGCGGCAATTAAAATGGTGGTTGTTTTGGTGTAAACCAAATTGATAGCAAATCATAAATAAAGTCAGCATTGTGGCCCTGATTGATAGATTGGAAGCTGAACTTCAGGATGCGTGCAGGAATTCATTGCCTTTTCCGCCTGAGAAGTACGGTATATGAGATCATTGGACCGAAGAAATCTGATCTGACCCAAATGTTCGGTTTTAGCTTGCTGAACAGTCGGCGCCCATACCTACCAGATAATAACAAAAAGCTGACTTTACTTATGCGAGCAGAATTTGCATAAATCGAAACTCGACACATCCAGACGTGTTTAAAACCATTTTCGCTTAAAATGAAAGCTGTGATCTGTGTTATACATAATTTATATCAGGCTTAAAACGCGGATTAATTGACGCGACGACTGTGTCGTATGACGTCTTGTGTTTTTCACAGAGACCCATGCGGAAACCACACTACCCCGTGCCACGTAGGCTAAAAAGTAGCGCAGTAATTTCCTGACTTCAACCTTTCAGTATATTTAAAAGTGATGGTTATTTCTCATTCGTTATCTGAAATTCCACTTTTGGGAGACGTCACAAACTGATTACATCTGCGGCATATTAAAATGGTCAAACCTCGTGTCTGCCATTAGCCGTGTCGCCAGTATGATCATTTGTTTTGTCTCTCGGTCTCATTGCTGTATTTATCCAATGATTGGCGAATGTAACAAAGTTAATTGAGCCATTCGTTCACCTTTACTGTAAGAGAATAAAAACCATCATGGTAAAAAAATAAGATATTGATAGCTTCAAAGTATGGAAATTAAAATATGATATTTACTGAGGAAAGGAAAAAAATAGTTGCATAGTATTTATGAAGTTGTCATTTTCGATGGGAAGAAAAATCGAAAACCTGTTCAATTTGTCAAAGAAGCTTTAGCTAAATGTTTAGAGTCATAACAGATATTGTTGTTTTAAGCCTTTTTTTCTTTTGTCTCTTATCGAGCCAAAATACCACAAAAGAAAAAAAAAACTTCCTCTCGTATCTGACCGCGCCCAAGAGAAAAGCTTTTTAAATACTTTTGGCCCTTGAGTGGCTAAAATTATCCGTGGTTTGACATCTCAAAAACATGTTTTTTAAGTCGGAGTAATTAATGAAAAATTGGCCCTCTAGACTGGTATTTGCATTCGAACGAGACTTCTTTTTTTTTCCGATTTGATTTTTTTTTACTCTTTATCATTTGTGCATTTATGTAATGTGATCAGGATTGTAAATTGACGAGAAGATTCCTGAAAGTGCGTCTCTTCGTCTATTGTTTTCCTATTTTACGAAAGTCACGTATCTGGCTTGGCTGATAATGCAAGTGCATTCAGTGGTAAGCCATCTTTCTTGAAATTTCCTACGCTCATCGGAAATAGAACAATAGGCCCTTTTACAAAGCTTTGGGACCCCCCTTTGTAGTTTTAAAGTCCAAACATTGAAATGTTTTGATCATCGCAACTTTTTAGTGGCTTACACTAGGTTCATTTTGGTAACTATTATAAAATAAAGTCGTTGTAGTAGTTTAAAACACTAGATATTTACTTTTGCCAGTCAACTTACTGCCGCAAAAAATGCTGAAAAATCTATTTCCGTTGAATTGCTCTTGTTTTGCATTACCAGGCTACCGCGGCCGCGTATTTGAGGACTAATTCTATCAAAATTTTAGAGATGCTGATTTGTTCGATGATTGATGAGCCCAAATTTAGGTCAATGTGCCCCCAGCGAGCCAATCCTATGCTCGGCTCTTTGCCTATCTGCAGTTAGTACAGGATGAGAAATCTAATCGGGTTGGATTTCGAATAATTCCAACCATAGCTTAAATCATAACACTCCCTAGTCATCGGGTCATTATTATTAAATCTACCATGTTGACTCCTGCTTCACTATTGAACAACGACAGTCGACCAAGTTGTTGGAGGGGGAGGGGATAATGTAGAGGATATATCATCAGCAAAAGGAGTGGATCAAATCCTAGCGAACTGAGAAATCGCGTGATGTAGGCGCATGCAATACGAGCAGTGGACGGTGTTCATCCTGTCGTCACCTGAAATTAACTTGATTTGCTTGTTATGGTAATAGCGTGGTTTTATCACCTGACCTTTATTGGCTGTGTAGAGATTTAAGCACATGATGTACACAACTTTTCTAACGTCACACGAGAGAGAAAAATGATCCCCAATTTGGTCCAAGATTAGTAGCAAAGCTGACATGGAAGTAATCTCATATCATATATTTCAGTATCTTTACTTCCTTTATGGGAGCCCACGATTATTTAGCTCAAGGGGTGGCGACCATGCGTACAAGTGCACACAGGCGAACCGATCAGCAATATCAAGAATGTATTTTTAAACATGTTAATTCCTTTGATTTTTTGTCTGATTGTTTTTGTTATTGGCAGAAACAAAACATGGAATAGGCGACTCTCACAGAGTTCTCCTTATTACATCGCCCATGATGTATGCTGCGGAATCAAATATGAGAAACGCTATTCAGTTCAATGATGAGTCTCAAAGTCCAACTTAGCTACAGAAGTGACTGGAAAATCACAGATGACAAATTAAATGCCGAGGTCACCTGATAGTGAAACAAATATAGAAAAATATTCTCGGCAAGACTACGCAAGCCACCAGTTTTATCTGAAATTTATTCTTCTCTCCACTTTGCGATTGGTAAGGCAATCTGTGGCAATCTGTTCTATTGAAATAGGTGGCATCATGAGGGGGATGAGATTTTCACCTCTGGCAATAAATTAACTTCCTATTCGTTCCCAAGGTCCTCTCCCTTCCTACCTCCAGGAAGACACGTGACCAGCCGCCACTAGGGTCCTTTCGCGGGGGTCCCCAATAGGTTTTTCGGGATCCGGAATTGGGCGTATTTAAAGACTGGGATCCGGGAATTTAAAGCAAGAGGGGAGCGCGAGATGCGGGATTGCTATTATGAACGGGAATCGGCAATTTTGAGGAGCGGGATTCGGGAAATATTCACTTAAACGAACCGAGAACTGGGATGTTCGATGTCAGGCAGCAGGCGGCCGATGTCGAGAATTTATGAAGGAATTGATCTTCTCAGTCCATGAGAAGCACCAGGCGCAGAGGCTCCCTAGCATTAAAGAGGTGGCCGGGCTGTTCAGCGACAATCTTCAGTTATTGCGCGAGAATGACAATTATATCAATAGCGAAGTTGCCAATTTACCCTCAATGGCTCACAGGGTAACGTGATATGTAAGACTGCTGTGTCCATTGAAATGCTTAAGAAAGCAGCAAATTTCAGAATTATACCGATATGACGCTGTTAACATGCTGAGTTGCATGACACTAAACGTGAAGAATATTCACTCGGTTGTGCATCACAAAGATAAACTGTTCACGGTGTTAAATTACTCAAGAAACTTTGGAAATGCAGCCAAAGAAGGCTTAAAGAGGGCAACCCATTGGGCGGTGTACCATATTACAGATCCAAATTCTTGGTATCCTGTACCCGAACGTGCCAGGATCCTGACGGCCATACCAGCAATAGTCAACCGTTACCACCAGTACCGATGGCACCACAGAGCATACAGAAGTTGAGGGACTGGGCATAAACAACAATGGCAAGAGCTGGAATTCCCACGTCGTACCCCTATCAGAGAGTTATTCAGCCCGACGAACCGGTCAGCCTCTAACGCTCTGACTTCGAGGAACAACAAGAAAACAGCGGGAAACGAGACGAAGAGGAAGATGGAATATTTGAGCACGATTCCCCGAGTGATGATGGTGACATTCCATCTTTGGAAAGAGAGGCTGATTTTCACCTCAGAAGAGGTTCCCGCTTCTGAAGAAGTATTCGTTTCAACAGCAGAATTGTGTTCAGTCAATTCTTCTTTATCTCCCTTGTTATGGAACTATGAGATTGCCGTCACCTTTTGTGTTTTATGCACTTGTTGACATTGTTATTCGTTTCTTTGATACTGACCTGTCTGTATTAATACGTTTGTCCGTGATCGAATTTTAACGGAAGGAAGTCGTTACCGTGTCTAGAGCGTACGCTATTCGAAAAATGCTTTGAAAACTTCTAAAATGAACGATATCATCATTTTGATGAAAAGAGACCAACATACACCTTACGGTGACCAAAGACTTCAACAGAAAATCATCACCAACCGAAATGGCCCTCCTAGGTGTAGGAAATCGACTAAGACAACATTGTATGATCGAGATCGGGATTGGCTGGTATAAACCGTCGGGATCACGGGATTGAGAGAAAATTTTAGTCGGGACCCTCTTCTCGTGAGAGGAAGAGAGAGGATCCAAGGAACGAGATTGGTAATTGGCGTGTATACCCGTGTGGTGTTTGATGTTTTGCGGCTTGCGAATCCAAATCGATTCCAAAACGCGCTGGCAGAGGAGAACTCGCGCGACGGGCATCGCTGTAAAGGGGGACTTCTCGTGGTCTACTGTCTTCCTTCCTTAGGCTACCTATCACACCTGCAGCTTCCGCGCCTCCCGCGGGGTAAGGAAGGGCTGTCTCAGGAATTTAAAAGTGTATAAGGGGAGGGGGGTGCATCTCGCATTTTCCTTGTTACACAAGTCTCCACTATTTATCTAACTAACCATCTCCTCAAAAAAGACATGAACACTAGGGCTCCAAGCTGAATTTTCTTCAAAGTCACCATGATGCGGCCTTGCATCCTTACATCCTTGTATCCTGAATTATGCTTTTGTGGCAATTTTTACAACGAAAATGACAAATCATTGATAGCACTGTATGGTAACCATGCTTTAACCCTTTGATCCTTACGGGTGGCAAGAATCTAATTTCTCCTAAGTCAAACATTCAGGTCATAGGAATCAAAGAAATGATCCCAAACTTAAGAAGCTCTCGATTGTTACACAGATTTTCCTTGTCAGTACCTTAGGGAAATGTACAGAGAACAGTATGAAGAAAATACATACTGATGTTAGGGTGCCAAGGGTTAAGATTAAACCGTAAAGGCCACTAAGAAATAAAATGGTTGCTTAATGACTGCCAAATACCGCAACAAGTTAAGTGGTCAAAGTGTTTTTCTCTTCCCCATGCATGGCGACTAAAAAAGGATCTCAGCTTGGAGCGCTGATTAATTTCCAGGTACTCAATACTTTTTCCATTTTCTCTCTGGAAAACGTTGGAGATGACATTTCCGAGTTACTGGCAGAATCAGTAATCGCGATGGTTCAAATTCGTGTCATTGGAGCTCGATTAAGTTTCTCTACAGCGCATGCTTCGCGAAATAAAAGCGAAAAACAACATTTTTCTACGTCCCTGAAGTTATACTAAAGATAAGAAATAGAAGAACCATTGGAGAAGACGCAAAAATGTGAAGATATGATTGTTACTTAAAACGCAAATTGAAGAGGAAGAAAATTAAAAAAAGGATAGATAAATGGATGGTTGAAAGGATAGATGGATGGGCGAACGAATACAAACGAAAGAATCAATTTATCCCAACAAATTTTATCATATGATTTTCAATTTCATTCAAAAGTTTAATCATTTAAACCAGAATTTAAAAACCTCATTTTGTAAAAAAATCCATTTACGAAAAAAGAGGCAAGATTCCAACTAGTCCAACAATATATTAAACTTATTAAATGAACCACAAAATTTGGCTGAAATAAAAACTCCGAAACTTCTTAAAATTCCAAACAAAAGGGTAACAAATTTTCGCGAACGAAAGCTCAGAAATAAGCAACTTAAATTCTGCGAAAATAAACAAGAAAAAATACACGAAAAATTTCCCCGTCAGCTTTTATTGTCGAGGTTAGAGTTCTTTGACGTGATTGGCTAATTTGTGAAATCACGTGCGCCGTGCACACAAAGTGGGAAGAGGGAGGGAAAATTGTTACTTAGAATTTAAAAAACGAAAGAGATTTTCTACACTTTTGTAATTATGTTAGTGATAAAAAGAATTTTAGGCGAGTTGTTTCACGATCTCCAAAGATAACCTTTAAATTCCACTGGTTTATCACAGGATCATAACCACGTGGCCAATAAACAGTGGATCTCAGTGGAGATTATCATGTGATCAGCATGTGACATTATCTCGTCAACCAATCAGTGTCATTCATTTTAGGTTTCAGCACGCCTTTAGCGCGCGCGTGATGACGTCATAGTGGCTTAAGGTATAAAATTGACGCACGTTACCAGACCCGTCATTTCCCTGAAGCCGTTACTTGAGTAACTTAGGCCGATTTTTCGCAAAGAATTGAAACTTGGCAGAGTCAGAAATGAGATTCAGCAATGCTTGAAAGAGAAGACAAAGGTGAGCTAAGATTAACTGGTTAAAAACTTTTTCAGACTGCATTTGATTTTGCGCGCTTTTGCGCTTTTTGGAACTCCTACGAATGCCTGGGCTTTCAACTTTTTTTTCTTCAGCCGTTGTCCTTTATGACGTCAGCGCGCGTTACCTAGGTCATACAAATTTAACATCTGTGCGAGATCTGGGATTGCGCATGCTGCAGTGCCTAGCGGAAACCATGGTGACACATTTTACGACTTTGTGTAAGGCTCTAAATGTTTGATTTGCTTTCCAATAATATAAACTCCATGAGACGAAACAAGGACTCCCATACTTTATGCACTGCTATTGATATGAGTAGAAATCTCTCAATCAGCGAAATTTTAAACATCTTTTAAAACTTCCTCTCTTTTCCATGTTTTCGCTTTTTCTCGAGAAACGAAAAAAATTCGACGATTGGGCTTGTTAAATCTAAATCTCTCCCAAAACTCCTTTCTGCGAAAATACGAGGACTTAGCCGTGCGGCTTAGAGCGCTTTTCTAGCGAATGTCGCAAACGAAACCAAATTTATTACGAAGGCCAATCCGTCAGAAGAAAGTAAAATATCTTTAAAAGGAAATGAAAGCTCAAGGAAAAACCAACCAGCTTGCTAAATGCCTAAGATAACATATTTAGAAGCAGCAGTTCAGCGATTGGTTTTCGGTATGACTTAATTTAAATGCGAATGGAAATCCATATAAGTTCTAATATCGAGTTATTTTAAAGTACAATCTATACTTTCTTTGGAGGTACTTTTAATCAAAAAGCTAAATAATTGTTTTTGGTCTTAACCGGCGGCCCTAGAGACTTAATACCAATCTTTCGCTAATTCCTCCTGGAATCTCTAGTATTACTTATTTGGAACCATGATTGGTTTTTCTTTTTTTTTCCGCTTGTACTGAGGTCTCACCAAAACAATGTTTTTACAGGGTAAATTTGCTCTGACGAAAGGCTCACGCTCGAAACGCCAGCTTTGAAATTCTTTACGGTGGCCAATTTACGTTATAGAGTCATCTGATGATACCAAATTACCCTGTTACACTCTCCCACCGACGCAGCACTACAGTTCCTTGAGAAACTTACCCTATTTATTCAATTATTTTGTGCAGCTGGTGATACTTTTACTGTCGCTTTAGTTTCACAACTTGAAAGAAGTCATTCTAGCTGCCAGAGGATCCTGGGAGGGTAAGCCGTCAATCGAAAAACAGCCAAAAAAAAAATTTAGCCGTTAGGCGTAAAAATTGACCAATTATAAAACGTTAACTCTTATAAGTGACTAGCATCTAATTTCTCCTTACCATATCACCCCTGAATCAAGCATGAAAGTTATGAGAATAGAGGAGGTGATCACCAACTAAAGCTGCTCTTGACTGTTAACAAATTCTCCTTGTCAGCCTCTTTGGAAATGTATGAAGAAAAGTAGGGAGAATATGCATACTGATGTTAGGGTGTAAAGGGTTAAATATTTTTTCTTAACCATAACAGAAAGAAATAAACGTAACCATCGGCCGTAAAATGGACAAAATTTTAAAAGCTGTCACCCCATTGAGACCTTTCCACTAGTGTGATTTGAAAATTAAGTACAGTTTCCAGTTAATTTATGGAAGAAAGCGCTACATGCGGAAGGTCGATCCTTGTTCTCCATAAATTAACCGTCTACTCTTGTTGTAAAATGTTATTACGCAATAACCTTTAACTGTATTTCTGTAAACGTACTATTTTTAAACTTAAATAGAACACCGCCTTATAAACATATTGTTTTCATTGTTTTCCTCGTTCTTGTGTCTTTTTGTTCTCGATTGTTTTACGTCAACTGTGTCTTCCACACTAAGTAAGAGCGGGGAACGTTTTTTTTTTGTAACTTACAAGCGTATAATCGCAGAATGAAATTTTCTAGGCACAATTTTATCGAATTAAGGATATTAAGTTAACTGTGAATATATGAAAATCATAAAGGTGAACTGCGGATAAAGACGCGAATATGAAAGCGATCTTAGCAGTAATGAACACTACTTGAGGAGTAGTGAAAATAAGGCCCGAAAAAAAATACACGCCTGTAACTAGCTCCCAGTTGGCTTGTTAGCTCAGTTGGTACTACTGAGCTAACAAGCCAACTGTATACTGCATCGGTATCGCAGAGGTCGTGGGTTCAAACCCCGTACAGGCCTGAATCCATCCCATCCCATCATCCGAGAGGGAAGGACAACATACGTCGGGCACTCCTACCATGAGGGCAAAGGGGAGTTCGCGAGTGATTTCCTTCTTTGGATAAAAAGTCAGAAGCACTGCCATGCTGGGCAACCATGAATGAACTTCGTCGCTTACTCATCAGAGATATTTGAATCTATGTCAATGAGCTTAACGAAAAAGTCATTATATATCGCCTGACCGGGGGGAGTATTTTGGGGGATCACATTGTTTTCAGGGGAACAGAGGGGAGATTAGTCATCGCCAACGCTGTATGAAGAAGAGACTGACTTGCAATTAGCTTCCAATGAGAGGGTTGGGGGTGGTGGTGGGGAATAGGAATATTACAGAGCCTGGGATAAGGAAAATTACATCGTGACATGAAAAAAAATCCCCTGGCACCCCTCCCTCCCAGGCGGGAAATAACAACCGGTCTCTGAGAATGTCAGGAAGATCAGAGAGTCTGGAGAGGCCGGAGGTTTTTGCCCGGGAAATCCACCCAACATGGATAGGGCAGGGACTTTGTTCGTGGACGTTTAGCTGGGAATTATGTATCACAAGAGAGTATAAATTCTCTTGTGTAACGGGAGCACAATCACAGAGCGTTCATACTTGTCAAAACTTTTGCAAGAAAGTTTTTCAGTCGGAACATCTTGCCACACCATGTTTTGTACTAAATTACTACACTTGCTCTTGTGTGGGCCAAATTAATATTTCGGAACGAGCAGATAGTTGCTTTAGCCCAAGGCAATTTATACCTTTTTAGTCAAATCAGGTCATGCGCTGCGCCTTAAAAAAGTTCTTTCCGGCTCTTTGTTTCTGACAATAAATACAACGTTCGATTCGGTGCACCAGTAATTTAGATCTCTGTTTCAACACGTATACTTTTTTTCTCTGATTTCAAGAGGAGACACGCTTACAACATGTGACCACAATTACCCACAATCCCTAGGCTTTTTACCTGTGACGCGCTCTACGTAGGGATTTTTTCAAAATGGACCTCGACAAGGTCGTGTCATCGGTGTTAAACTTTATTAAATCTCTTTCTTCCCCTGTGCAAATCATTGGATTGCTTGTTGTTGTAATAATTATTCGAAAAATTGTGCAATCTAGATTTAGGAAACCGCCTCCCCCTCCTCGTGAAAAACCTCTCGAACCTATGAAGAAACGAGACTTCACTCCTGAAGAGTTGGTAGAATACGATGGGGTGAAGCAAAAGCGTGTCTTGCTGGCTGTCAACGGCAAAGTTTTTGATGTCACTCGAGGAAAAGACTTCTACGGTCCAGGTTAGTCTCAAAAATGATTTGTGTTATTGAAATACTCAGAAATGTACCAGAAATATTTGTAAAAAGTTTGCTATCGATCGTTTTGTGTACGATTTGATTAGTTTGCAGTAAACGATGTTTTCTTGTCGGAAAATTTCAAGTTGCAGGGGGTACTTGGTTGGGGTACTCAGTGTTCCCTATTTCTTGAAAAAAAAATGCAGAATCTTTCATGACGCGATGTTGAAGAAATTGCGAAATCCTGTCTGGGTGATCAGGAAGACGAAACTTGCAAACGGCTCTTGCAAACTGATGGCAGGATTCCCGTTTCAGATGCTTACTTTGCGGGCGTCATCTTGCCAGACGGCTTTGCTTTTCACTGAAAATAACTTATCTCCTTAATCATTGGCAAACTGAATTTCACGGCCATGTTTTTTAAGTACAAAACACTAAACCCAACGTGCTCAAAATTGGCGCTCTCTCTTAAGTTTCGTCTTTTGTTTGCTTTTGAATGCATTGTTATTCAAATTATTGTTAAGGTATTAAAAACGTTCATTCTTAGGACTGTTTCATGCTAGCGTATCTAATGGATCTCTGCGACTATGTGACTTTTCCTGTTTGTATGTTAAAAGTGACTGGTTCAAACGCATCAGATTCAATTTTACAGTCACGATGAAAAATCACATCAAAATTGTGTTGGATCGAAGCACAGTATAAATTTCTTGTAATTCAAACCACTTGGGATGTAAGGAGAAGTTAATAATCGAGCAGATATAAGCTAACGGATTTTATGCTCTCAATATTCTATTGTTATGCTCTCAATGCTATATGGCGTGTTTTTAAAATTGTGTCATTCAAGGTTACTGGATATCTTCTGTTACAAGGTCAGGTCTTGGCAAGGGCACAGTCGTGATCTCGTTTTTCATTAAAAAAAAATATGTTTTCTGCTATGAGTGGTTTATTTTGCATGATTATGCAGTCATTTTTTGATAGTGTTTTCATCAGTAAATGCTTCAAGACCTAGAAAGCACCTTGAAAGAATGTTCATGTTATTAATATAAGCAGCAGTGTGGTTTAAGTCCAGAATAAAGAGTTTAAGGCTGACGTTTTGATTGTCAGCCTTTCGTCTTTTGCTCCCACAATGGGCTAGCATCTGAAACATCAAGTTAGGAAACTCTTTATGTTGGCCAATTTACATTGTATACTCTGTTTTTAAATCCAAATTATCTTGTAATACCCTCCACTAATGCAGCACCTCAGTTTCCTCAGATACTCACCCCTTTCATGAAGTCCTGAATACCCTGCTAGTTGAAATGTGGCTCTCACAGTCTTGAAGTTTTCATAATTGAAGTCTGATTGGGGCCACAATCATGGTCTTTTGATCAAAATAACTGTTTGGATGAGTATTACTTGACAGTTTGAGCTTTATTTTTAGTGATAAGTATCAAGGCAGAGGTTTGCTAGCTGCTGGAGCTATTGTGTGTAAACTGAATGTTGTAACTGAATTACCATATTTTGCCTTCCTTCAAAACTTTTTCACTAGATTTAAAAGAACAATGCATGTAAAAAGTAGCAGCCTACTCTTATAACAGAATTGATCTAATGAAAAGTAAGGAATAAATAGTTTTTTCAGTTCTTACTGCAAGTTATGGACCAAATTTTTCCACTCAGATTTATGGCCCAAGCCCAAAGAGCATGAGCCATGAATTGGCAATTCTATTGATTTCTTGCTCTGGCAGCTCCTTATAGGTCTCAGCTTGCTCAAAAACATTAACATTATTTAGAACTTGTCATTCTGAACCTGTTCCCTATAAAATTGGAAGAAGAAACTTATTAAATAAAATTTTATTTTCTGATTAAGATGCTTGAGTCCAAACTGGGTAAATAAGGATGTTCTAGTTATATCAATTTAAATACAACATTTGGCTTTGAATTAAGCTAATTCCAACCAAAAGTGAAAAATTTCTAGTACTAAAAGCTCAAAAGACTTTAACTAAACTCCAAAAAAATATAGGTTTCCAGGAAATTTTGTCATAAACCTCATTGTCAGGTTCAAGTTCTCTGAATACGACAGGTTAATTAATCAGATCACCATGTTGCACACGAATTAAAAATGAAAACATACCAAGAAGAGGGGAAACAGAAAATTGTCTTTCAAAATACATTCATGAAAACTTAAAAAAAAACTTTAATAATACTTAATTGTAATTCCCTTGCAATCTTACAGGGGGTCCTTACAGTGTCTTTGGTGGACATGATGCAAGTAGAGGTCTGGCAACTTTTTCAGTCGGAAATGATGCTGTCAAAACTGAGTATGACGATTTGTCAGACCTTAACAGCATGCAGATGGATTCCTTGCGGGAATGGGAAACACAATTTTTGGAGAAGTATGACATGGTTGGACGCCTGCTGAAACCAGGCGAAAAACCCCAACAGTATGATGAATCAGAAACAGAGGAAGAAGATGGAAAAGGAGATAAGAAAGAACAATAGAAGATTGAAGAAGAACTGTTTAGGAATTTCGAAGGATGTGAAAAGAGAAAAGTTGCATGAGGAAACTGTGTCAGTGAACATATAGCCCAGTAGTTATACGAAAGAGAAATTATCCAATGTACAGAACCATGTTCAGGAATTTGACATTTATTTTTAACAGTCAAGTGATACTTTGCTAGTTATTGAAATTGTTCATGAATGTGTTTTGGGATCAAGGTCAGTATCTGAGCAGCTGTGCACTTACCCCTTCCTTGACTCAATTTTAACCCTAACTCAATATTAACTCAAACTTTCTATAAATTGACTGTTATTGGGCTATGGGAGGGGTATGTGTGCAGATACTGACATTTATCTGTGTTTTGCATGGTGTTAGTCACTTTTAAATAGATTTTACTCTGGCTTTTCATTCCCCAGTCTGAAATAATAATAAGTTATTTGTCTTCTCCTTCATACTGGCCAGTGAATGTTAACACTTGAAGATAAGGACAGGTGAATGCATAGATCAACCAATAATGACCAAAAAAAAATGATTACTTTAAAGATATTAGTATTGTTATGTTTTAAAATACATGTACTATTGCAACCTACATCAGCTCCCATTTGGGTGTGAGTGAGTCTCCTTGGACACAACATGTTTCAAGAGGCAAAAGGTTGTGTTCTTCAGATCTTGAAAGAACAGATCATGCTAGGGACAACTACATAGGGATGTGCTTGTTACAAATGGGAGATATAGAGAGAATTCTTTGAGAGACAGGATGATGGCAAGAAGTCCCAGTAGCTAAACTGGAATTGTTCTTTATTGTCTATCTGTCTTACATGAGTGGTTGTCATCCCACATCATCATTGTAACATAAGTCTCTCACATCAGTAAAAACTGGAGATTTACAGTAGAAACTTGGCAGCTTAATTTACAAAATTTTATTGTATTTCTTTCAATGGTTCAGGAAATTTTCAGTTGAGTGTCAAAAGCCTGGAAAACTTATGTCACAAAAAATTATAAGACGCTAGAATGAAACCAATCTTGGTCAGCTTTGTTCTCCTTGGTTTGAGGTTATTTACATATTATCTGATTTTCCTCAAATTCTTATCAACCTCATAAAATTTGCCTTTGCTCTGATTGGCCAGCAAGCATGCATGAGAACACACAAACTTATCAGGTAGGTGTTGTCTTGAACTAACACCAAATTCTCATAACTAATTTACAAGGAAATGTGCAGTAGCTAGTAGGGAGAATTAATTACCAGATCTTGGGAGTTTAGGGGTCAGCAATTTCTTGTAAGATTAATACTAGAGCAAAGAAGGATGCATTGGGTTTTTTTTTTAAGTTAGCAACCAATTATTTTCAGATTACTGCCTCAAAAACAATAAATTATTGCATGTAACTAAATTCCAGTGATATTTAAGTGGGTGATTCAAGCACATGAATTAATTACGGTACCTTAGTATTTGTCTTGTGGACTTGACAGTCCTGTACAGTGAGTGCAGAAATTCTACGTGCATTGTGAATACTAGAAGGGTAGAAAAGAGAATCCACCCTTGAAGACATGTAGTGGGCAAAAGGATTTGTAGAGCAAGTACTAGACAACTTAGCTCAACGCTGTGGGTTTACTTTTGTTAAATAAACATGTAGTAACTTGGTTAAGTATTCTAGTTTGTGCTTATTTACATTTCAACCCTTTACACCTTACACCAATATGACATTTTTTCTTAGCATTCTCTATATATTTCCTGAGTAAAGAGAAGCCACTGGCTTTAACCCTTTAAGAGTGATTAGCATCCAATTTCTGTTTACAACATCATACTCAATCACACAGGGTTTTTCAAGAATAATGGAAATGATCACCAACTGATGAAGCTCTTGATTGGTAAACAAATTCTTATTGTCAGCACCTTGAGAAATACAAAGAGAACAGTATGGAGAATATGCATACTGATGTTGGGGTGTAAATGGGTAATGTGCTAAAGTTCTCAACAGTGCAATAGTTTGTGACTAAAACATTTGGGCCACATTGTTCAAGTAAGATAGGTCCTAATTCAGGTTTGATAGATATGTAAAACTGTGTTCCTTGCATACAGCCAACCTGTGATTAAATTAAACTCATTACAATTTTAACAGCCTAGCCTTACCCCTTTAAATCCATTAAGTGACCAAGACAGAATTTCTCCTCTCAATATTGATACAATATCAAGCAGAGAAGTGATGAGAGTAAAGTAAAATATCAATTATGGAATTAATAATTGATCTAATACCAAATTCTCCATACTAACATAATGAGAATTGTTTGGCAAACACTAAGGAGAATTGAGATCTTGGAAGTTAAAGGGTAAACTCGCAAGATCTCATTAGTAATTCTCTCTACTGTCTGACATACAATTCTTATGATATCAATTTGGAGAGTTTGGTATTGGATCAACTGATAATCCCATACTTGATATTTTACTTTATTCTTATCACTTCTATGCATGATATTGTACTGATGTTGTAAGGAGAAATGTTCTCTTGGTCACTCATGGGAGTTAAAGGGTTAAAGGGTTACCCTTTAACTTGCAGAGGTGATTAACATGAAACCTCTCCTCACAATATCCATACATTATCCAGCAAACAGGTAATGAGAATACTGAAACTTATCAGATAGAAGTTGTTATCCTGATCTAACACCAAATTCTCAACTAATTGACAAGAAAATGTGTAGCAGCTAAAGAGAAGAATGAACAATAAGTTCTTGGGAGTTCAAGGGCTAAGTTATAAGGGCAAAGTTTGCTACTCAAGCAGGTCCTTTCCATGCAAGAACTGTAACTGCACTCAAACCTCAGCCATTTTCTAAGTGGCTATTTGGCAATCAGAAAATTTGTACTCAAGCCAAGTGACCCACCCAGCCTTGGCTGGCCAGTTTCCATGTAGCATAAACAAACCACGAGTATTATTACTTCCCCCTGGATGGGACCCTTGTGTTCCAGCATTTCATCAGACTTCCCTAGCAATTTGCTAGTACCCATTTCTACTCCTGTGTGGAGAGAGGAACTGTGAGAGTTTAGTGTCTTGCCAAAGAACACAACATAGAGACCAGGCCAGGTCTCAAACCCAGACCTCTCAACTCAGAATCCAGTGCACTGACCGTTAGGCCACTGCTTCTTTAATTTAGATAATTTTTCAAAAATTCAAGATGCTGCATGAACCCCAAGACAACATCAGGCATACAATGTATTGCCCTGGAAAAGCCTACAACTGAGCTCTTTATTCAAGAATCAATGCAGTAATGACAAGGCTTACAAAGGAGAAACAAGCAGTCCTGCTTAGTATGCTGCTCACCCATTATTGCCTTTCCTCCCAACACAATTTCCAAACAAATATAATCTGGTTTTATCATATGAGTTGATAATGTAAATTGGCCACTGTAAAGAGCTCTGCCTAACAAACGGCTATTACTTGTAACATTAGCTTTAGAAACTCTTAATAGTGGCAATTAACATATCAATTTAATTGAAAAAAGACAAATTATCTTGCAATATTCCTCATGGATGCAGCACCACAGTTTCTTTAAAAGCTTACTCCCTTTATTCCAGACAGAGAGTATGCTTACAAAATGACTCTAATGAACCAAGTGCAAGATGCCTAGGTTGAATAAATTTTACCATTCAGTCCCAAATATTTCTTTATTTTCCAGTACTAGTATCATTGACAAAAGATGTTAGTTTAGCAGTGCTGCTTGCTATTTGTCTCTGCAACAGCTCCTTCTTTAACTGATCTCTTCGTTGTTCCATCTTTTTCAAATTTTGGATTAGTTTATCTCTCAGTTCTTTTTCTTGTTCCTCAAGTTTTTCTTTCTTTCTTTTCTCCTCTTCCTCCCTTTTTCTCTCTTCCTCTTCAAGTTTTCGCTTCTTCTCTTCCATTTGTTTCAGCATTTCTAATTCTTTTAGTCTCTTGTTCCTTTCCTCTTCAAGTTTTTTTCTGTCTTCCTCTTCCTGTTCTTTCACTGCAGCCACACGTTGAAGAAGTTCCATAAGTAGCCTCTTGGCGCCTATCTTTTGTTCTGCTTTCTCCTGTTCCCTTTCCCGTTCCAACTGCCTTTGTCTTTCTTTCCGTTCAATCTCCCTCCTGATCCTTTCTGCACGTTTTTTTCTTTTCTTTTCTTCCCTTGCCCTTTTCCTTTCTTCTTTTCTCCTGATTGCATCTTGTAAAATTTTTTTCCGTTCAGCCTCCTTTCTTTCTTCCTCCAGACGTTCCATTTCTTTCTGTCTCTCTGCCTCCTCCTTTTCTCTACTTTTCCTTTCTTCCTCTTTCCTTTCCATTTCAATCAACTTCAGCCTCTCTTGTTCTCTTTTTTTAATGTTTTTGGCTGACATATGACATGTTCTGTCGAAATCCACTTGGATATTAGCAGTGGCAGCACGTCCTTCTTCAGAAATGTGCATTAATTTCATTCCTTTTAATGCTCCCATAGCATTTGAAAACCCTTGGTATTGATTATATTGAATAAAAGCATCAAAGTGCAGGTGTGAGCCGAAGTAAAAAGTTTGAAATTCATTGTTTGACAACTTCTGTCTGTAAGGATCCAAGATTGGTATATCTACGCATCGGATTTTGCCAAAACGACGAAAAACAGAAGCCAAGACATCTTCGCTTGGTTTGCTCTTTGAATCATCGTCTGCAAACCACTTACACGGTAATCCTTTGATAACAATAGTGTCCGGTCTTTCGCCCGGATTTCGCTCGTCTAAGTTCCCAGCTTCTCTGAAGAAAGAATTCCAATCGTTCACAGAAGGAAATTTCAACTTCAGTTCCGCTGCCCGAACTTTGAGGGGTTCCGCGAATCCGCTTAATTTTATAAATTTTCCTTCTAATTTTGAAATAAATTTTATAATTAAACCTTTGGTGTCTGTTTCTCCCTCAAAGCGAATGAACTCCATCGAAGATTCAACAACTTTTAACACGTTGAATTGGTCTGGAGCCACCATCGATTTTAACCTCTCCATTACTTCCCAATTAGATATCGACACTCCAGCGACCTTGATCTCTGGTAAAGTGACATGTATGCCAAGTTTGGCCGTAGGTTTAAGATATAAACGCTGTGTAGCGCACAGCTCTGTTGCCTCGGAAGTGTCTCCACAAACTTGAGTCGCCATCTTGTTCATTACATTTGGTAGCCTAGCCTTGGTAAAGAATAGCAACAGAATTTGTAGTGCATTGTGGGACACTTCAAACGCAATGGCGGACGTTTTGTTTGGTCTGGAGCGTTGACAGTTTCTTTGTTCGTTGGTGAAAAGCGCGCTGAAAGAATGCAACTAAAATGTCGCGCAATAATTCTTTTACTTGCGACGATTCGCCGCATGTACTTCGCACGAGATCAGCTGTGCTAAAGCTGTTAGAGCAAGTAAGAGCAGAAAAACCGTCTCTTCGTGTGATCTCAAAACCGTCGGAGCCTGTGGTAAACAGAAATTCAAAATTGAAATTTCCAGACCCGAAGAAGGATTGTTTCGTTAGTCTTAAAGTCAGCAGTCATAATGGAAAGCTCTGTTTGCCGATTAACTACGAGACTCTAGACGAGAGCGATCAGAAATGTTATGGTGGATTGAGGTACATTTTACAAGTCTTATCCGTAAACAAACTTGTACTGAATGGCAAACAGCCGAGATCAAACGAGTGTCAAGAGGATTTTTGTCGTTTTTCACCACTTTCAACACACAAGAAAGGCTCAGCTAAGAACTGCCTTGGTTTCTGGTTTCGGTTTTTTGGCAAAGATGCGACAATTCGCATAACTGTTGCCCTTAAGATCGATTTTGTGTTTGCTAGAAAGTTGATAGGAAAGAGACTACTCACAGATCCATTGTTTCAAGATGATGGAATGGTTTCAAGTTTAGAGTTTGATATTTCCACCTGCATGAGATCCTCTCTTAAGATTGCTTCAGAAAAAAATGGATTGATCAATGCCACTAAAATTTTCCCCTCTCTGTATCTGAACCAAGAATACAAGAGAATTGTCACTAAATTTAAAGACTTGAGGCAGAAACTTAATTTCAAGGAATTGGACAAATTTTTTGCTCAAACATTGGAAAGGCTCAGTGATAATGACCTGAGAGTTGTTCTTTTCCTTGAGCAAAGTCAAGAAGCTTGTCGCAAGAAGCTTTATGAAAAGTCAAAACAGCTTCTCAAGCAAGCAGTTGACAGTACAGCCAAATGCAAAAACAAAACCTTGCTGATAGGCCGAGCTTATTTGTATTTGTCATATGTCCATGAAAAAGATGGCTATCTTGGAAATGCAGAAGAATGTTTAACAATTGCCAGGAAAAAGCTGCAAACTTTGGAGGTGTGTGAAGACACTGGAGACCTGTGCTTTCAGGAAGGACTTATCTTGACCAGTTTTGCCCAGAAAATGCCTAAGTTTGCTTTAAAACTGATCTCAGAGGCTATGTTCAAATTCGAACAAGCTGCAGCAATATTTACCAATTGCCTGACTGTTGACAGTGCCCTGGACAAGTTGTGTTGCTCGTACATAAGACTAGCCTCATTGTTGCTTAAACAGACCGCAGAGGGATCATGTTCACAACACAAGATTGATGTGTCAAACAAACATCTTGAATGGGTGGCAGTTCGTTTGGATGAGTTATCTGAGCAGACTAAATTCCATTTCTACGTTTGCAACACAGAGCTGCTTTACCAGAAAAGGCAGTTTGAGGAAGCTCAGAAAAGTCTTGATGTTGCTTATCAGATTGCCAAGGCTTGTCAGTTTGAAGAGCAAACTCTGTGGGAAGAATTACCTGGAAGCAATTGCTGCAGTGATCACTACTTCCAAGAAGCATCAAGTAATAAGGAACCAGCTGATGACTTGGTGGTTGAAAATTTTGTTGTTGATGATGTCTCTCCTGGCTATCTGGCTGATATGAGCTCATGAGTGATGAAAGGGGTACCATAAGCTGTCATGGGTGGGAGATGTGGGGCTTTATACAGTAGCCTACGTGTAGCAGTACCCTCCCCCCAAGGTGAAACGGGAGCAAGGGAATGCCTGCTGTTATTCTTGAAATGTCTCTATTTCAAAAGTTGTGCAAACTTGCCTCAAAACCTCTTCATAGATCGCTGTCATCTGAAAATTTGACCTCCAAAGCATTTTGTTCACCATCTTGTTGGTTAGTATGAAAATAAATTACCAACTCTGGCCAATCAGAATTGACGAAAGAATCAACAAAAGGGGTTAATCAATCAAAAGTCATAATATATTTTTTTGCAAAAGATTGACAACATGGAAAACAATTAGTCAGGTTTTCTTAGGTGTTCCCTCATCACCTTGGGGGGGGAGGGTACAGCTACATATAGGCTTGCAATTCTTTGGTGTTTTTATATCCTTTCACTCCCATGAATGACCAAAAAGGAATTTCTCCTTAGAATTTTTACTACATTTTCAGGCATTCTCATCAACTGATATTGTATTGATATTGTCAAGAGAAATTCTCCCTTGGCCACTTATGGGAGTTAAAAGGTAATACCATGTAACTATGAATAAGGAACATGGTAAGGTTTTGAGCTTGGTAAAGAAATGGTGAAAGATGTTCTTTGTGTCTTTTCACAAGCGTGGGGGTGAATAAGAAAGAATTCTGAGTCCCCATGAGGAATTGATCCTCAGATCTTTGGATTTAATGCTCTGCGGCTTAGTGGTAGAGCACCAGAGCACTGAATCTGAAGGTCTAAGGTTCAATTCCTTATGGGCAATCAGAATTTTATTCTTCATCCCACGCTCCTGACAAGACAGAAAAAATCCTTTCTATACCATGTGTGCTTAATTGAATATTGTATACACTATACAAGGCTTTAATTTTGTATTGTGAAAAAAAAATCATTTCTTTCTGGAATGGTTAATTTACAGGTACATTAATTGCAAAGATTTTAAAGGATTTTTTATATGAGGTGTTTCAAATTAACATAACAATTATGATATACAATGATTCCACAAATTAAATTCATTTAGTGCCAGTATTTTTATTATATAATACATGGTATTTCTATTAGCAAAGCACTGGTGCATATCAGTGTCAGAAGACATTTCCTTTTATCAGATCTCTCAAGTAGTACTTGAGCCCTGATAAGTCAATTTAGCAGGTCATATTCAAAGCTATGTTTGAATTCAAGTCTTCTCTCTCCATTCAAAAAACAGAAACATGATAAATAGTTTTCTTGGTCCATACTGTAAGTTATGGAACACCATTTTCCCCCACTTGAATTTATGGCCTACACACTTCATGCTTTGGCTATAAATCTGAGCAGAAAAAATTTGGTCTGTAACTTACAGCACAGACCTGGAACTCAGTTAGTAAGGGTATGTAATTATCTTTGAGATTTCCAACCCATGTGTTGGTGCATGTGTTCATTGTGAGTATGTCTAGAGTGTGAATTCTCTTCTCAATAATTGTCACTGTCATTGGTCAATCTGAGATTATTTATTTAAGTGTAGGAAAGTATTTAATGTCTCTTATGGAATACAGTCTGCCAAATCATATAAATATCTAGAAAGCAGTTGTGTTATAGGATTTATATAAATTTCCATAGATAATTTAGGTTAGAGTTATTGATTTATCAACTGAATTATCAGATGTTTATTGAATACCATTAATTATTTAGATCTGTGTAATAAATATTTTAAAATCAATTCTTGCCTATATTTAATGAAGGGTTGGTTTGTTTCCTGGGATAACCATTTAACTCCAAAGATCTGGTTATTAATTCTCCCCTCTAGCTGCTACAAATTTCCCTGTAAATTAGTTACAAGAATTTGGTGTTAAATCAAGATAACAGCTTCTACCTGATGAGTTTGATCATTCTCATTACCAGTTTGCTGGATAATTTATGGATGCAGAAGGGAGAAGTTACATGTTACCACTAACTCTTAATTGATACAAGCCAACACAACTGATATGGTTCAGTATCTTTAATTAATTTCATTATCCTTTGCATGAATAATTTATTTGATGGTGGTTCATATCTGTAATTACAGTACTATGTACATGGTATCTTATTCTCAAATAAATAGCACAAATAAAAATATTAAACGACATACACACGCCACAATTTTCCAAAAACACTTGATCACATGTTGATGTGGTAGGTAAACACAATGCAAGCTTAAATGATTAGGATGTAAGAAAGAAATAAACATTCAAGTTTATTATCTCCATCTTAAGACATTGTTATGTGGCAGAATTAAAATGGGACACATGTTCCACACATTCAGTTTTGACACATGAACCACTTTTGCCATAACAAGTGGATTGAATGAAGTATGTATTCAATGCTAGCAGGATCTTCTGTCATCTGAATAAAAGGGGTAAGTTTCCAAAGAAACTGGGGGGAGAGGAGTTCAACAAGATAATTTGATTTTATTTACTGAGTTGAGTTGACCTTGGTTATGAGTTTCCAGGGTTGATGTGTCTAACATTAGCCCTTTGCTCACGATCAGCTGTAGAAACTCCTTACAAGAGGCAATTTACATTATCAACTCAATTGATAAAACCAAATTATCTTCATCTGTCTTTGCAAGACCAACAGGAATGTCTCAGCCATTCATTCAAGTTACTTGCAGCAAAGAAAGGAAATGGCATGGAGTGTAGGATCAAAGTGACCATTAGCTTTGAAATCCTGATTTCACAATGCAAAAAAACAACTTTTGATCAATATAAACTCAGTTTCTACTGAAGTGTAGATGTGAATTACTAAGCAAAGTGTTTCTTTGGACTCAAAAGCCTTTTGGACTGTGGGTATTTCTGTGCATCATCCTCTTTCTTTTTGTTTACTCCATCCTCACCTTCTGTCTTTTTTCTGCCATTAAAAAGAAAGAAATGTAACAACAGTAGGACACCTCATAAACCAGTTTAACTTTAACCCCCTGCAAACTTGAACAAAATATTATTTCCCTTAATTAACTTAACCATACCTCTTAAAAATTTAGTAAGTTGTAGAAAGGTAAAAAAAGATAAAAATGTATGAGATTCCAGACTTAGATATTGTTCTATAAGAATATGGCACCAAACCTTTTCTGTGAGGTGGGTTGTGAATTGTGTTATTTTTGGAGACTCTGCTCCTCGACTAACTGCAGTGTCTCGTGGCTGACTACGAAATGTAAGTGCTTGTGTACGGTGTATTGCTGTCCAGTAGAGAGCAAATGAAAGTGTTAAGTTAAATACATTCCACTGATGCTTACTTTTTCCCAGTTTTTGGTCTGCCTGCTGTCTTTGGCCGGGACGACTTTGGACGGCTACTTTTGGGTCTTGCCGTAGGTTCATCATACCCCAAGGAATAGTTCATGTGTTCATAAGTCAAGTACACACTGGATAAATCTGTTTCATTGAGCTAAAAGCACAGAGTTATTAATAATAGATTAATCTTATAAACCTCATCTTCTCAGTCTGCACAGCGAGTTATGGAACCTAGTTTTTCCTACTTGGAATCATGCCCATGTGCTTCACAATTGAGCCATAAATCCAAATGGAAAAAAACTTAAGCCATAACTCACAGAATGGATCATGAGCTTGGTTGGTAAGAAGTATTTATGATTTTAAGGAAGGAAATTAAAAGTAACCAATTAAGTAAGTGAATGATGGTATACCTCCTTGTTCTTGTCTTTAGGATCTGGACTTGGAGAGGCTTTTCTCATGTTGTTCCCAGAATATGCCACAAATTTCTGAAGGGAAAGATGTGACTTTTTAGTTATATAATCATATCAACTGGGTTGCACTAGGACAACAATACAAGTAACTGCCTGAAACATTCTTATATTAACTAGCAATCATCATGTCAATAATTGACTATTTTCATTTCACATATTCAACTTTGCACTTCTTTCAAATAAAATAGTATTTTTGGCTGAATTAATTGTTAAATTTATGCGATGGACACATAGATCATGACCATGAAAAATCGATGTTAAAGTTGAAAATGTTTATGATTATCCAACCAAGCTGGCAGACCAGAGATATATGTTTTTAATACTTTGTCATTAGTATCATCATTATTATCATAATCATTATCATTGCAGTTAAATACAATTTTGATGGAGTTAAAAACAGGGCATTCTCTAGTAGTCAGCAGTCTTTGGCAACTGTGCAACCATTGGAATTCCATGTGCTCTTCCATGTGTTGGAGGTGTTCTTGTGTGTGCTTTGAGCGTGAACTTGCAGTTTTGTAAGGAGTGGCAGCTTATTACCCAGGCAGTTTTCCCCACCCCTTCCCTCCCTCTTTCCACTGTTCATTCAGTGTGAGAGGTACCTGTTGCCCTTTCTTGTGTGGGGGCTCATGGCTGGGGTGCCAAGATTTGCCAGCTATGGGAGAAGTCTCCATCTAGGAACTGGCTACCAATAGTAGAAGCTCCTGAATGTTTGAGGCACCCAAACTCCACTTTGCGATGCAGTTGTTGGTAATATAATGATCATTAACATCAATATTAATCTTTATCATTATCATCATTATAATTATTATCATACAGCATCACTTACAAGCTGCCATTCTCCTAATTCTTCATTCCATGATACATGCTGCTCAATTAGATCCTGGAAAAAGTTTAAGAAAGTGTAAGTTTGCAAAAGCTACCAATACTTATTTATCAGCTAACTTTACTCATTGTCAGAAGTGGCCATAATCAAGTGTAGGATGCAATCTCACCTGAAATTCAAGAGGAATGAAGCTCTCAATCAGCTTGGTTTCAAACTGAAGTTCTTTCCGCAGCTCCCTAATACTGTCTAACAAACCTTCTGTTTCACGCTGGTGTTCTTGTTGTTGGTCTGCCATCTGAATAGGAGAAAAATTGCCAAAGAAGTTATTTAAAAAAATATGAGAGCACAGTAATCGATCACAAACAGCAACAAAATTAGTTGACACACAACCCCATGCATGCAGTTACACTTAAAGAAGTATTTAGGAGCAAAAATTTCCCTGAGGTGCACACAACTTTTAGACTGTCCCTTTCCATTCAGGTGCATAAATGGCAACAACTGCTAGGAGGAAGGGGGAAAGGGTTGCAATATAGAATGGACTAGCATCTCACCCAAGGAAAAAAAGCCATAAAAAATTGTCACTTACATGTAGTTCTGTAGAGAGCAGGTTTAGCTAAGGAGGTATAGGCCTCTTGGTTTGTTATTGGTTTTTACAATTCAATTCTCAATATCAACATATTAAATACCTCTGATTTTGCACTCATAAGCATGCTCCAAACTTTCTTAAGCTTCTTAGTTTTCCCAGCAGCTTCTTCTTGAAGATTTGCATACTTTTCCTCAATGTCAATTCTCTCTTGCTACATGAAAGACACATCAACCAAATAAACTCACTGTCAGAGTATTTATCATCAAATCCACCATTAAAATGTACTGTTACATCTCTCAGTTAGTGAGCAATTTGGTCTAATTTTAGCAGGTCATATTTCACTGTATGGCCCACTAAATTCAAAAGATTGTTTGAATTGGAATCTCCCCCAACTATCTGAACCCAAAGATAAAATACATATCTTCAGTTATTAACCATGTTTTCTATAGAAGCTACAGACCAAGTTTTTTTTCCACTCAGCTTTCATGGCCCAAGCCCAAAGCAAGCACACTATAAATCACAATGGAAAAATTGAGGTTCTGTAACTTACAGAATTCAACTTACTTGAACTCAACTAACTCAAACTCAATTTGCAAGAGGTATCTTTATGGGCATTCTCAAATTGATGTCAGTATAATTTGGGAAATCACTTGAGTCCATCTGATTTAAGGGTGGCTATAAAATCCTTATCCACTGTTTAGTTGGGATATTTTGCACACATTCAACTTACCTCTTTTTCTTCAATCAGTTTCTGCAATTCTTCCTCTCTTTGCTTCCTAGCAGAGAGTTCTTTAGCAGATTGTTCCAAGAGGAGCTCTTGTTCTTTGGCCTTTTCCAGCTATAAATTAACAATGACACAGTAAAGAACATTTTGTCTCAAAGGTGGGACAAAAAAAAAAAAGTTTTAACTGCAAGACCATGTCAACCACTCACAATGAAAGATTTGCATTCACCCTTTCCACCCTAAAATCAGCATGTATATTCTCCATACTGTTCTCTATACATTTCCAAAGGAAGAATTTCCAAAAAGAATTTGCCTAATAATCAGGAGTTTCTTGATTTGGTAATCAATTCTTTTCTTTTATTCTGGTGACCTTAATGTGTGATTCAGGGCTGATATCGTGTGGAGAAATTTGATGTTAGTAATTCTCGGGGGTCAATGGATTAACATTTAACATAACATACTAGTGAAATTCAACAAACTATTTACACATGTAGGTAAAATTCTTTTAATTTAAATTAGTGCTGAAGCCTTGGAAATCACCATCTTCTATACAGAAAGTACAGATATGGCAGTTGAGGTACCATATCATTCAGATAGTAACAATCCACATTTAACACTTTCACCCCTAGGGGTGACCAATTTGTAATTTCTCCATACAATGTCAGTCTATTGTCCTGAAGAAAGATGTTAGGAAGATAGAAAAACATCAACTTATGGATATTGTTTGATTTGATATTGAGTTCTCTGTGCCACAATTATAAAAAAATGTGTAACAGAGAGTGAGGAGAAATGATCTTTGGATCTTAGGAGTTAAAGGGTTGAAAATGAAGTGGGGTAAACTCAATGTCATAGCTGGCTTACTGACCAGATTCACTCCCCCAACAATAATCTTGCTTTCCACAGCCTTAAGTTTCTCTTGAAGTCGTATGTGCTCCATTCTTGAAAAACAAAACATAAAAAAATCAATTGAACCAGTGATAAAGCTAGCAGTTTTTCAAATTTTACAATGAATTATTCCCAGATTTTGATTGGTTCTTCCATGACTCTTCCACATAATCTATTGTGGGGCAGACACATGGATGACTTCACCATTAACAACATTTTGCCTCTAAATCAAATACAACAAATCAATTCCCTGTTATGGTGGGTCTGTTCAGTAATAATCACAGAAGAAGTAAAAATGTTGCGAAAAGAATATCACTGACAGACTCTGCTAAGCTTCACATGCCACTTTTTTGTTCTCACCACATTTTGTAATGTCATCTGTGATCTTTAACTGAATAAGCATACAGCAACATAGCATCTTTTTGTTAACCTGTGAGTCTCCGTGAAGAACTGAAGCTCAGACCTTTGGTTTCTTACCTACTTACTTACTTACTTATTGAAATTTGTTGCACGTACAAAGTAGTATCGGCAACTGGAGAAGAAAACAGGATGATGTCCCAATTGATATTCAACCCCAATAAATATTGACCACCCATCCCACCCCAGGGGAGGACATTCACCACACAGTAATCTTGTGTGTGGGAAATTAACCACACCCTATGCTAAAAACACCAATTAGCTAAAATTCTGTGAGGTACTGACTGAGAGAGATAGCAGCTTGCTCTTGAGATAATGACGTAATGAACCAGTCACAGCTTAAACCTGAGCTTTGTGACCCAAACCAAATCATGCTAGGTACTAATTCACCACAGATTTCATATCTCAGTACTACAACTCAAACAAAGTCCTGCAATAAACAAGAATGAATTAAGTCCATACTCAGAATCCTTGATATCCTTCTCTCTCTTTTCCAGTTCTTCTGCAGCCTTATTTCTCTCTTCCTCTGCCATGTCTGTTTTCTGTTGCAGATTTTCTCTTTCTGCTTCTATCTTAGCTCTAAGTTCTTTTACTTTCTCAGGCGGAAGAGCATGCTTGCCTACAGGAGTACAAAAACAAAATCTATTACCCTATATAAGAACAGGTAACCTGGAGTACCAGAAAATTCAGTAATAAATAAGAACTTCTACGTATTGTACAAATTTTGAACAATAATTTCAAGTTGAGTTGATATTTCAGGGTATCCAAGAGCTATTAGGAACTGGCCATTAAATTTACACTTATTTTTTTGGGGGGTATCAAGCAAAGTGAAAAACCATTTAATTATTTCTTTAAGTGGAAAAAAAATTAAAAATTTGAAGGATACTACTCAGCCTTCTTAAAAATAACTTACGTCCCACTAGTCTATACATGTGGAAAAAAAAAAAAATTTAAGAAATACTGATCAGAATTTTAGAAGTAACCTGGTACATTCTGAAAGTGAACAAATTCAAAACAGCGCACTTCATCTCAGTTCACAAATTAATCAAACAATGTACACATTTTCGAGCTATTTTCAGAAGGATTAATATCAGAGGTTTTAAATTGGTCTTAAATAAGGTTCCCAAGCATAGATCAAACCTGTTAATTGATGAGTTTAGCAAATCATAATCTTTTAAGATTCATTTCTTTCCTAGTATATAAACTATATTCAAGTTGTAGTATCTAATACATGATTGGCTTAACTACAGCTTACCGCACTGGGCCCAGTTGAATAAAGGGTGGATAACTCTATCCAGTGCGTAAATCGCTGTCCAGCTGATAAATGATAGCAAAACATATTGCATTGTCCACTGTCTAGCAATTTATCCAATGGATAGCATTATCCAACCTTTGAACAACTGGGGCCTGTTTTCATTGCTTGCTCCTGTTTTCATATGCATGCTCATTTAGTCATTTCTTTTGATCAGTAAAACTTGTCATTGAAGAATTTTCAATGTCTATGTTGCTTCCACTTTGATTAGCCTTGCTATTTTGCAGGTAGGGATTGTTCCATGCGTATTTTAATTGTGAAGGAAAATAAATTTGTTGCTTGTATCATTGTTGTTTATCAACTTACTTTTTTTTCTGTGTTTCTTTTTCCTTTTGACTATTTCTCCACCTTCTTCAACTTCTTCCTCAGACTCACTTTCCTCCTCACCACCGCCTCCCTCTGATGAAACAGAAATAATTATTATAATTTAACCCTTTCACTCTCAATGATCGCTAATAATTCTCCTTATGGTCTGCTATGCAATCTTTATGATGTCAGCTCAGAGAATTTGGTATTGGATCAACTAATAATCCACAAATAATTGATATTCTACTTTATTGTCATTACTTGTTGGCTTGACATTGTCCCCAGTGATATCGAAAGGAGAACCTGTCTTGGTTACTAATCAGGGATTATTTAAAGGATCAACACATTTATTTGTCATTCCAGCTACATGTAAAGGAAATGTTGTAATTTGTAGTGAATTTCTTGTTTAGTAAGTTACTGATAACAGGTCCAGTGCCCTAATCACTTGGCCACACGGCCTCCATATGTATACATTAAGTAAACTTGCCTTCCACAAGCTGTGCCTTAAGTCTTTCAATCTCCTTCTGAAATTCTCTCAGCAGTGCATCCTTGGGATCTTCATTAATCTTAGCTTTGTTCTTGATATTTTTGGCACGGTTTGCATATCTGTTTGTAAATTTTACATCACACACATGAGGGAATTAACTCTTAAGGGCTAAAGGTTATTTGAAAGACGATTAGTGCTAAACCTACATTAAAGGTTCATAACCTTAGTTTGGAGTGCTCTTGCATGAAATTGTATTTTGGGACTGAGTAATTTTATCAAAGTGAAATTATTGACTAAATTAACAATTAAATCCATATGCAAAGTCATAAATTAATGATACTAATTAACGAATGGCTCATTAGTTATCGACTGGGAGAGGGGCGAGGAGGGGGGCTCACATCTAGTCTTCAGATAAATTCTGTGTATTTTCCTAAAAATTTAATTCTAGTATAGATGAGTATCTTATCAGCATGAGTTTTGACAAAACTTCACCCACCTGAGGGTACTTATTGTTTCATCAAAGTTGTAATCTGCAGGGCCAATGTTAGCAATCTGAAGAATTAGACATTATAGTGTGTTAAAAAAAGCCACAGAATCTATCCAAGCCAAAAATGTTTCAGTAACTTTTGTTCTTTGCAACACATAGTTTCTTACAGCTAATCTAACAAAGTTGGCCTGTGAAGCCTAATACAGTGATCAAACTTAGGGCCCATGTGTGGGGATTAATTTTGGCTGCCAGGAGCTCCAATTTCCTGTGCAAATTTTTTAAAGAGAACACAAGAGACAACTTCTGTCTTGCAAAAAAGCAAAGTTCAACATTCAAAGAAGTCTGTGAAAAGAAACAAAAGTTACTGTAGTGAAAAAGAAAACTCAAGACTTCTCAAGCACAAAGCTTATTTAATACAAGTAGCTTGTTGATTTACCTTTTCTGTTTAAAGCATTATCAAAAAAGTTATGCACTTCTACAACACAGTGACTAATGGTGGTTAATGTGTGGTTGTTTGTAACTCATGTGTGACAACATAGTTCTGACAGCCTGGAAGCACCCCACCATAGTCATTACAACATTTGCACAAATGCAGACAGTTGACTGCTGTTTGTAAAGCCTACAGCTAGTACTCCAAGAACCTTGTGGCTGCTCATTAAAATTAAAAATGAATGTGATGCATGTTGCAAGTGAAACTACATCAACACATTTTCATCACCATTTTTATATTTTTTAAATAAGTTCTATAGTTATCATTCTCCATACATTCTTCAGCAAACAGGTAACGAGAATATTCAAACTTATCAGGTGGAAGCTGCTATCTTGATCTAGCATCAAGTTCTCATAACTAATTTACAACAAAATGTATAGCAGTTTCAGGGGAGAATTAACAATCAGATCTTGGGAGTTAAAGGGTTAAGCTAATTCTTTAATTCACATTTCCTTTTTATGGAGAAATTAGATATAATAGTAACTTTAGGGGTTGAAGCATTAAACAATTAATTTATTACAAATTCTGTAGCTTCACAGTTTACTCACCATTACTGTCTTGGAATTCCCACCCAATGAGTCTTGTAGCAATCTTGTAAGTTTAGAGTTTCTGTAAGGAATGTGAGTACTCTTTCCATCCACCAGTGCAGATATAACATTGCCGAGGGTGGAGAGAGACAAATTGATCTGTGTTGCTTCCTTCAATCGCTGACCTGTTGCCCCAGTTTTTGCTTGTCGTTCTGATCCCTATGATTAAATCAGAGAAAAAGGAAAATGGTTTTCTTGTGACCACAAAAGGATTGAAAAGATTTAGCCTGGTTCTGGTCTTTAAGGCAGGTTGACTTTCTTGTCTTGCAAGTGACTTTCTCTTATATTGATATTTCCACTTAGCGAGGGACTTATCAGAAGGATGGAGGGAGAAAAGCTGGTTCCTGTGTTGTGTTAAATCTAACTGGTTCAATATGTTTCCTATGATTCAGTAGCAAGAGTTTTGAGAGCTTTCAACTGCCTGAACTGCAGTCTTCGATGGGTGAAATGTGAATGAAAAGGAGTGGAAAAATTTGAATAAAAAAGTAAGAAACTGTGAAATAGTGATGCAAATGATTATGAATGTTTGCCAGTTAAAAAGAATGTTGTATTGTCCAGGTAGTGGACATGAATCACTGACCACAGCGGGAGTCAGTTTGGTACGCTATGCTTCCAGAGTCTTCCTTGTTCTTAAACCACCGTTATCAATGACAGAAACATTTTCAAAGTCAAAGTGTGATTGTGTGACCAGGCATGATTTACAATCCTTGAGCCTTTGCTCACTATTTTGACATTTCTGGAATATTCCTCTTTTTTTCTTGTGTTGAAAGCTCTGCCCATATGGGTTAGTGTTTTGCAAAACTTTTAATAATGTAAATTATGGTTACTGTTTTGTGAAACTTTCTAGAGACATACAACAGGTTGCTGTTCGAGTATGTCCAGTCAAGCCCACCATGAAACAAACTTACAGCCAAGTCCACAAGATGCAGTTTTCCCATGCGTACATGATTTTGGCCATCAGGCCCCTTTTCACTGCACTCCACAGTTATGGTAAAGATGGCATGAGAGCGTGATGATCGTTCGTTCATGTTTGTAGCCCCAACAGAACCTATAATCACAAAAAAAGGAACAGATTGGACAAATGCTTTACGAGAAAAAGTTATATTTCATTCAAGACAAGTACAGGTACCTCTGAAAAGTAAACTATATTGTCTCATAATACACTCTGAAAACTGATCCTGCAGTTTTTGAAGTCACATCAATGCTCTTCAAGTTCAGATGGCTAACACCATTGTTCAACAAATTCTCATTGTTTGCACCAAAGGAAATAAAAAGAGCAGAATATTGAGAATTAGGATATTAATGTTAGGAAGGGTTAGGTAACACACTCACGATTTTTGTTCCCTGTTGTCATTGTCTTGTCTAAATCATCAGCATTGTTCATGACATATGTAGATAAGTCCTTTACATAAACTCCAACATCGGGTCTCTCTTTGACCTAAAGTGCCAAGAAATAGAAATTTGACCCAGTTCTGAGTAAAATCAGTGTAACCTTGGAAAGATGATATAAAAATGGTGCTTAAGTTTTCTGTCCTCAAAGGTTTTTTAAAAAAAACCACTATCACAACTTGCCTCTAATTTTGCACTCTGATCCTTGCCCAACAAGTCCCGCACGTTTTCATTGTAGATTTCCAAATATGACACTCGTACAAGAAACCTGGATAGAACAGTTATTGTTTGTATCAACTGAAATGCTAATATCAAGAAAGATAAAAATGTGTGTATTAAACAATTTCACCTTTTTAATATCTGACCTACCTTATGTCACCAGCTACTTTGGCAATATGTCCAAATATATGTGCAAATGAGTTTGGGATTATTCCACGTAGTTCAGGAACTGTCCTGACCCCTTCCATTGTAAAAGTTTTCCCTGTCCCTGTTTGTCCATATGCAAAGATTGTACCTGGTTTTTAAGAAAAAGATGAGTCAGTGCATACTGCTTCATGTGATGTGACCCCTGGTCTGTCCACTCAAATGCCTAGATCATTTTCTAGGAGATTTTAATACTTTCTTTACACCCTTAACACCCTAACATCAGTATGCATATTCTCCATACTGTTCTCTTTACATTTTTTAATTATCAAGAGCCTCTCTAGTTGGTGATCATTTCCTTTATTCTTGCGACCTACATGTGTAACTCAGGGGTGATATTATTAGGAGGAATTAGATCTAATCACCTTTTGAGTCAAAGAGTTAATGCAGAAAATAAGCAGACAAAGTGATCACATACTGATACAGGCCCAGACACGAATTTGAGACAATCAAGTATCCAGGGACATTTAATTCAAGTATACAGTCAAACCTGTACTAAGCCGCACCATATTGACCCTTTAACTCCCATGAGTGACCAAGACATAATTTCTCTCATTACATCAATACAATATCAAACAGACAAGCAATGAGAATAAAGAACAATATCAATTAGGGAATTCATAGTTGATTCAGTATCAAATTCTCTGAACTAACATCATAAGAATTATATGGCAGATAGTAAAGAGAATTACTAATGAGATCTTGGGAGTTAATGGATTAAGTGGTGACCCTGTATTTACAAGCAGTTGGTTGTGAAAGTCCCAAATTTTCCCCACTGTAATTTTCACCTCTATTAAGCAATCATGATCACCCTTTACTGAGCTCCAAAAAGCTTTTTTGTATTGTTCTCTTGCAATATTGAACAGTCACTTAGAATGAACCACTTAAATAAATCTAAGAATAATCTTTCATGAAAAATTTGATCCATGTTTTTCTCCAGAAATTAATCTTGGTAGTGTTTTTGAGCAAGTTTTTGCACATTAAGTGTTCAATTATGACATAATATGATGTCATGTTTTTTATCCTTTTGTTATGATAACTTTGTTCTTAGGACCCTATGTAAAGCGTCAACCTGTATTAAGCATTCATTTCTTTGATTGATTTACTGGTAATTGATTAATTTGATTGCAAAGTGTTTTGGTTTTTCAGTAAAGGTGTAAATTATCTTGTTTCACATAAATTTTTGATATTTGATTTGTAGACATGAGTTAACCCTTAAACTGCCAAGATCTCAGTAGTAATTATCCTTACTGTCTTCTGCATAATTGTTATGATGTCAATTTGGAGAATTTGATATTGGATCAATTAGTAATCCCATAATTGATATTTTACTTTATTCTCATTACTTGTCTGCATAATATTGTCTAGATATAGTAAGGAGAAATTCTATTGTGGTCACTCACAGGAGTTAAAGGGTTAAAAATGCTAGGTCATTCTAGGTTAGAGAACTTTTATCATTCTATACTTTTATAATTTTATAATCCTAATGTCTATTGTTGTCTCCTTGGAAAATATCTGATAAATCAGTATTCCAAAACCCTACCCCCTGCTCCCTCCTCCCTTCCTCCACCTCCCCCTGGCTGCAGATAACTGTGACTCAATCAGGAATAAGATATCTATGGAACAATCACTGTTGCATGGTGAATAAAGTTAAGACATTATACAGTAAGAGTCAGAATGTTAATTAAAACACTAAACTTGCTAGCAAATCCATTTTCCATCCAAAATATGTACCTCATGGGAAAACTGTTCTCCCCCCTCCACTCCAAAGAAAAAAAAGGAACTAACGGTGATTTTAGCAACAAATATCAAAATCGTTTAATCATGAAAAAGCGTGTGGTTTAAGAGCTAGAGCTGTTGATAGAAAGTAATTGTAAACCAAAAAGACTTTTTGAGAAATTTAACCCTTTAACTATATAGTTCGCATATCAATTTTGACGATGATAACGCACCCTGACAAGGCAAATAAAGGTGAGAGCAAAGGCATTTAACTGTAAATCTCAGTATGAGAAGGTCTTCAAATGTACAATGTATATGTATTTCGCACTGTTCATCGTAGTTTAACGAAAATTTTAGCAAGAGTTCTCACCATTGTAACCCTCCAGGACACAGTTGACAATCGGCCTGGCTGCATCGTTGTAAACATCAACTTGCTTCGTATCTGGGCCAAACACTCTGTCATAAGTGAACTGTTTTGGTGGTTCCCCTGACCGAGCACCAGAGTTCTTCACGGTTATCATTCCTCGACCTTCTTCGACGTTCACTGCCACACCACAGTGAGAGGAAACCTCTTTCTCGTTCATGGGACGACATCGCACAACCACCCGAACGTTGTCCGACTCTGTGTCCACCTAAAGAAATACATCGATCATGAAAGATTTCCAAACATAACAAATTTCATCAAAAGTACACCCTTCTTTTGGCATTAAAGTATCATTCAAAATCATGATTTAGAGAAAAATCTTACAGGCATAATGTTTGGAAGCTCGTAAAAATATTTAAATGTTTCTCAGCTGTTTATGGTATACATCATAGTGAAATATTCCAGTTTTTTTTTTAAGTAGAGACACTTTCCGCCACATTGAATTTCCTGCCGAGGTACGTAGTCATGAACGCTTCGTTGCTTGGGCTTAGTAGCCGCGCTTTCACTGTAGTGTGTCGTGTGGGAAACAATCAACTGTCCAACATAAATCTTGACATCGCAATTTTGAAGAAGCCTTAGATATCTCATTGGCGAAGTGTGAAATTTCATCATATCCCTCGTGAGCTTAGAATGGACATTCCAAACCCTTTCTATAGCCTCTGTGATAATTCCGAAATTTGTGGCGACTTTTATGCGAGTTACCGTCCAATGACTGAAATGAAAATGAAATCCAAATAGTGCTCTATTATGGTTAGATCAACCCGTTGTTACCCGTTATGTTTTTTCTTTTATTCTTATATCTTTTTGTCAGACCAGTAAATAAGAAGCGGCCTGTTGGTCTAGTGGCATGATTCTCGCTTTGGGTGCGAGAGGTCCCGGGTTCGACTCCCGGACAGGCCCTAAACTTATTATTTTACATAAAATAAACGTTTTTGTCACACTATTTTTTGAGAATGTCAAGAAGTACATTCTCTGTAAACCATGATGAAAATTTATTCGAGCAAGTGCAATCAATTACAATTTTTCACAACGTATCAGCTCATTTATAATCCACCGATAGCAACTTGCACAGAAACTAATTTTACTAGTTTTACTTTTGCAAGTTTTTAATTTTCTTTTCTTCACAAACGACCGAGATTCATGTTTTTGGACCACTGTTTATTCTGATTTGCGCTTTTCACCTTAAATAAAGGAATGTCACGTTACCTAATTGGTCAATACCCTTGCTGGTTATTGGTGTGACTTTTCCATGGATAATAACGAATCAAATCTGAAGCAAAGAGCAATTTGGACATATGAAGGGCGCCGTAGCTCAGTTGGTTAGAGCGCCTGTCTAGTAAACAGGAGGTCATGGGTTCAAATTCCATCGGTGCCTATTCTCTTTTTCCTTTTTTTTTTCATAAGTAGTGGACTGAAAAGCAGGCTGGGGCCGTTTTTTTGGTTCGTCTTATTTATCTTGTGTGAGAGGGCAAACGGAGACAAGAAAAACCATAATGGTGAACACTAATTCTCGCACTTTCCTTGGAGGTCAAGGTAGGTAAACAATACTCGATCACTTGTTTGGGGCAAAATGGTGGTCCATGGACAAATTCGCCAGGAATTGTGGGAAACTTAGGCACGTTAATTTGCGAACAGTGTTGACTGGGGTGTCCGACTGGACGTAAATAGCTTACTTTTGCACTGAGTAGAAAACGTGTTGCTTGTTCTTTTCTCTTCAATGATAAAAAAAAATTGTTTAATCATACATTAGAGGCAACTTTAACCCTTTAACTCCCAGGATTGACCACGAAATAATTTCTCCTTACAATATCGATGTAATATCAAGCAGACCAGTGATGAGAAAAAAGAAAATATCAATCAATATCAATATCAATTACTAACTTATATCTGGCAGACGGTTAAAGAATTAATACTGAAATCTAGGAGTGAAACGTAGGAAACTGCTGAGTATTCAAGAGGTCTGGATAAAAGTCGACCACAAGCCATAGGAATAATATGATGTTTACAGGATATTATCTTGAAACTACGATTTGTTGTATTATGGGATAAAGGAATAACCATTGATCCAACCAATAACATTTAAACATGAAAGAGCTGAGTGTCCTTTTGACCCGAGTTCAAAGATCCGCCGTGATATATTCATCAAGACGATTACTACATTGATTAAAACGAAATCGTATTCTTGAAACAAAAGTAACGCCACGAAATTGAAAGAGAAAATTATCATTACAACAGCCAACTTCCGGAAGCATTGCATCGTCTTTTTAAACAGCTTTCAGGGACTTTAAGCAAACCACAACGGTGACGGTAACGAGAACGTGGCCCCAAAGAAAAAATCTCATGGTCAGATCAAAAGCTCAGCACGCGCGTTTTAAAATTTTGTATATTTCTTAGCCATCCTCTGCAAAACAACAGGGAGTTTAAGAAACGACGACGGTGACACCGTGGACAATGTCGGTTAAAAAATGAAATTATATTCTATCTACGAATTTGGCGTTACTATAAAGTCATTTAGTTTACTTCATTTATTTTATTTCCCACTGTCAAAACTATCTCGAAACTGAATATGGAACACAGCCTTGAATTAGAAATTTTAAAAAGTAGCAGTAATTATTCTTCTCCAGACGACGCAAAGTTTGGTTATTTCACGTTGTTGTTTTGCAGAGGACGCAAAGAAATTTACAAAGATTTATAAAACACGTGCACAGCCATAGTTCTGCTCATTTAACTCTTCGTTTAGTGATGTTCCCGTTGCTGTTGACAACGTTGTTAGGAGGTTTTCAAACGCCCTAACAACGCGAAATCACCAGAATTTGCGTTGGCTGGGAGCGGAAACCCCAGCGGCAGATCAACGCTGATCTCAAACGTTATGCTGAAGTCGAGGTGTTAAGGCGTAAACATATCCATGCAGCCATAACGAAATTCTAAAGAAGAATATAACTTCAACTTTTGAACGACGTCTTCCTCGATGCTGCCTTCCTGGTTGCTTAAGGTCCCTATTTTCACAAGAACGCTCGTTTTTCACGAACGACTTCTTTGTTTTTCCAAGCTTGGAAAAACAAAGAAGCCGTTCGTGAAAAACGAGCGTTTTTGCACAATTACTCTGTGTAGTGTTTGAATATGTAAGTAAGTAGCTGTTCTGGGGAAATCGTGTACCGAACGGTTCTTATCGGTAATTTTTATCTAAGAGGACCAAAATCGAGGACTCACACCCTTTTTTAACGACTTAGCTTGTAAGTGAGGTGAGGAGTGTGAGCGATGTTAAAAAAATGGCTCGAAATATATTAAAAAGTGTTAAACTGGTACAACAATTAAAAAAAATTTCCTTCAAGGTTGGTCTTGTATTATGAGCCTGTTGCAGTGTGTCCTCAATATGGACTGACACGAAGACATCTGAGAGGAAGTTGTCGCCTATTCTGTCTGAAACAGCAGTTCCAATAAGCTATCATATGATCTTTGAGTGGAGGTAAATGTTCTACACGGGAAGAAACAATACCTGGTCGGCAGGTTCACTCGGATACAAACAGGCTCCTGGTGCAACAAATCGATCTGGTTCAGAAGTGATTACTTGTTCTTTGTCGTGTTCAAACAAACTTCCACCGTGGAGATGAGCTTCAGACCTTGGAGATGGGAATTCAGGTGATGATTGACCAGCGTAATCGCCAACCGACGGGTCTCCATGACCATTGACAGATAATGGGATCTCCATATAATCTGTAGACAGTTGATCGCCGGTTCGTCGAGTAAATATTTGATGCGGCACCGGACAGCAGCACGGTGAAAGACAACAGCATCCATCGTCAAAAATGAATGAAGCAGGGTCGCGCAGAATTATTTCCACTTTCTTAACCAAAGGCAGCCAGTGCATGGTGTTCAAGCAAAACAGCGAAACCTCTGATTTGAACAAATTGACGGAGCTGAACCAGTGATGGGGACAATTTCTGGACTGCAAAGCATCTCGAAGTTCCGCTAGCAATACCAGGAAACATTCTTCTATGTTGTCCTCCGCCCAGAAACCAACTGGTACTTTTTCAAGAATATTCAAGAAAATAGTTTTGATGTGATAAGAAGTAAGTTTGGCTCCACAGGTTGAAGATGGTCTTTCAGGATAATTTTTAGAGCTAAGAAACATTTCCTCGCTGTGTCTGGGACAAGTTTGGAAAGCTCCACCTCGGCGAGGGAAAACGAAAATCTCCAGCTCGTTTTATTCTTGTCGCTTGGTGCTGGTTTGGCCACAAGATGGCAACCAAGTGACAAGATTCTCTCTACATCTGTTGCACTAGGCCAGTACCTTGGACGAGAAGACCAGTCACTCTTGGCTGGCCACTCAAGGCAATGGATACAGATGGTGAAGTCAGCCTCGAAAAGAGGAGCAATACAAAGCTTCATCGTGGGCCCCCTGGAGCTGAAACTGACTTCGGGGCCGGAGTCGACTGTGCCAAAACAACATGTATCGCTGGGTAGATTGTCCACGGGCATGTTTTGAACAGCATCAATCGCCTTCTGTCTGTGAATGGTTGAACTGACAAATACTTTCTCGACGCTGGGAGTGAAGTAAGAAAGGTGAGCATATCCCGTGAAACCTTCCTTACCACTGACAACTGGCTCAACAAGGAGATCATCCTGACCGGAAAAGGAAGCTTTTACTCCCGAACAGCAAAACATCACGTCAAGGTCGGCATCTAATGAGCCTAAGGGTGCCTTTCCGAAGCCTCTTGGTTTCTGCGAAATCATCATTGCGATGCCAAATCTTTCTACCGTGCTTCCTGAGAAAAAATAATTGGTTGGCCTCCATCCCTTTTCCAGAGCAGTCTGAACGTCTGATAAATAGGGTAGAGCGTTAGTTTTTAGTTCTTGAAAATCTTGCTCTGTGGGAATTTTTTTGTCGACGGTCAAAATGATCTCTCGAAGAGAAATGGAACTTCTTCCGGTAAATACAACTTTTCTGTGGCCATACGCAACGGGAAATAACAAAAGCTGCAGATAAAAAGAAAAATACTTCCTTTAGGTACTAGGTCAGGCGAAAATTAGTGGAAATGACAATAAAGTGAGTGCATATTCGGAAACATAGACACTAAATAATTGTATCTGTTCGTGACGAGTTGATAGAAAAGTGATATCTGATAGACCATCAAACCCTCTGACAGTGATACTGAGCTGCTTTTCGACGATTGACGGTCAACTCTTAGGCCGTTTGACGGCTGCAATGTCGGCTAACCCAGGCCCTCTTCTTAGAAGTCCAAACCATCTAAATACGAATCCACGTGACTTGGATATTTGTTCTTAAAAAAAATCAAAGGAATTTTTATAAAATTAATGTTTAATTGAGAGTCTTAATTGCTGGCTAGCTTTGATGGTGGAGGGTTTTTTTTTTAATTTTGACGGTTGACGGCTAGTTTTTTAAGGCCTTTGACGGTTGACGGTTAATTTTTGTTTAATTTTGATTTTGACGGTTGACAGTTATATTTTGTTTTCGATTTCGACAGTTGACAGTTAATTTTTAGGCCTTTGACGGTTGACGTCAATTAGGAAGATATATCTCTTGGAGTAAAAATTGATGTTTGGTATGTCTGTTGTTATTTTATTATCAATAATGAATGCTATGTTTGTATCTTGCCCACTTTTCCTATTCTCTTTCATTAATAACAATGATAATAATAATGATAATAATAACGATAACATGATAATGAGTTATTTTTAGGGCATTACATCATGCTAACATGAGTGGAAATCGTCAAGCACCGATCGAGAGTCAACCCAACATCACGCGCGTTTATGCTTGTGTTAATTTCAGAGCCTGAAATATTCTTTTTAGCTATAAGTTGACGCTCTAGATAACGAGATGAAAATTGGACCCCTCTCGTTTTCGTGGAGTTACACATTAGTTAATCCCATGTTCTCCCCGGCTCCCGCCCAATGGAGTCAGCTATTTTTTAATATTAAAGTATTCAGTCAATTATAAAAATATTTATTAACTGCCGCTTTTATAGGTGAAAATCAGTGAAAATGACGATAAACTGATCTTTTTTTAAGTCTTAAGACTAGTTTACCATTCTAAAACTTCTTCCAGGTCTAAACTGTTGTTAGCAAGCAGCCAAAAGAGAAGATTGTTTAAATCGTTTGACGGAAAATGTTAATTTGTATTTTTGACGGTTGGCAGTAAAAGTCTCTCCTTTTTGAGCCTTTTTCTTCCTCTAATCGCTCTGACGAAGGGCTAACGCTCGAAACGTCAGCTTTTTTACCCTTTCCGGTGGCTAATTTACGTTTTCAACCCAGTTGTTAACACTAAATTACCTGCTATACTCTCCCACCGACGCAGCACCACAGTTTCTTTAGAAACTTACCCCTTTCTCCTTTTTGAGGACTGACGGTGAGATTTTAAGCCCTTTTACGGCTGACGGCTTAACCCCATCAATGAGACCCCCTCAAATGCGCGCCTAGAGCACTGAGTTCAAATGACCGACTTAACAGCATCATTGAATATTGTGAAATAAAATGAGCATCAATGAGGTGTCCATACCATGCACTTTCTCAGTATCCACGTGGTCGGCGAAACCCCAAAGGCTAGAAGAACATAGGTAGTTATGACAACTTCGAGGTCCCATGTCCCAAAGAAACAACAGGATGATGAAAGTAACGATGGGTATAAAGATGAAGGTTGACAGGATGATAGAAAAGATAGTTGACGCGCCGGCACATAATTGTAGCGTCTTACTAAGCATCCTCGTGGATGTAGAATGGATGAGCACTAAAAAAAATTCAGTGATTATCGTCCATAATGTGAAATCGTCAAAAAGGAAATTATGTATCCCTCTTATTACAAAGGTGGCGACGAGGAGATACCAGAGGAATGGAAAAATGAAGGAGAGGATGGAAATATTCTTGATGGTCCTTATGCAAAAAAACGGGCTCATGATTATTACACCTGAGTAGAAAGAAATAAATAAAGATAATTTCTACGATTGCATCCGACAGAGAGCACGTATGTAAATGGTGTCAAAATCCCAAGGTGCCAAGCCTAAGCACACAACAACAGGAAAGCTATTTTAAGAAATATGAAAAGGGAGCAATTTTTTCGATCGAATTTAAGAGGCCTTTTTCTCGAATTGTATCTGTTCCAATGCTATGGAGGCACGATGAAAAAGAGGACGGCATGTTGCACACCTGATATATGGTGGGATGGAAATTCTACACAATAGAATTTTACGCTTTTCCTTGGGAGTTCAGAGTGACATCGATCTTTCAACCAGTCATTCGTGCGCCTTTCTAAACACTTGCCAAAGTACATACTGACTTTTTGAGCCTTAATCATTATTCGGTGCAAAAAGGGCCGCTAACGACCGAAACAAAATTCGGACTATCTAGCTGTTCTTTGACCGTATTTGATTTGATATATACATGGTTTTTTTTAATGGCGAAGGTAAAAGTTGTATGACTTCTAGAGTATATTTCTCCGTCAAGGAAATGGAGAAGTTGAAAGAAGGCCTCAAAAGGTAGGAATGTGACAGCAATCTAACCGTGATCAAGCAAGTAATCCCGTGACATGTAGACAATTGCCGAGAAAAGTAAACAGATTTGAGAAAAACATAGAGAAATCAAATCACTTGAGTTGTTCTCCGAATGAAAAAACCCTTTCAATTCATCACGCGCAGACTTCGACATTTTTCCAGTGAATAGAAACACGTCACAGTAAAACTAAATATTTAAGCATCCTTTGTCGGCCAATAAGAAGCCCGACATAGATTAAGTTGACCATGATAGCCGCAGATTTACCTCGGGTTAATACGGAAGTGAAACACCGAATGGAATAAGAAAGGCACACACGTTTGGAGGGTTTTAATTAGAGCGTTATCTTTGCATCCAATTTAAAGAATTTGCACGCCTAACTTCGCAGAAAAACAAAGGTACGAGAAATAGATTGTTATTGTCGAAGTAATCGAAATTGCCGATGTGTGATGAAAGTCTATCGCAACTACTTTCAAGGCAGAACAAAGTATACGCGAGCTACATGGGAAATGTATTTAGCTGGCTGTGAACTGCATATTCAAATACCTACGTTTCTAATCGTTCTTACCTTTAAACAATAAGATAACGCCAAAACCATCCGAGGAAGTGAAGATCGAAACGTCAATCGCTTGAAATTGCCATGACATAAGCAGAAATTGACGACAGTCAGCGGCTCATATGACGGGCGTCAAAATTTCTGATTTGGTGTAAAAAATAACGCTAAAAGGAGGCACACCGGACATTGTTAACGCTATTATTGATTGGGAAACCAAAGAACTTAGATTTTTATAAATTTTTATCGCGAAAGTCATCAGCAACTGCGAAAAAAAGGAAGTGACATGTTTTCAAGTTTACGTCACGCAAACGAGTCACGCAAGGGACGCCGACAGAGACTTTTCCTCTTATTGTCCTTTAAACCAATCACTTTTCTTTATTTATATCGCCTGGCCCTAAACAAACTAAGAAACCAGGCCTCGGTGACTCAAAATGGCGGTTGAATGAACCTCCAGGCAGAGAGTCCTCGCTTTAGCTTTCCAAAACTCATTTCTGCGTTATGGCGTTCAAAAATTCTTCCGATTATGAATAGCGCGAAACTTAAACTTCTCGAGGAACTATTTGGACCGCACAGTCTGCCGTAGAAACGACGTAAAATAGAAGTGAAAAGACCAAAGTTCGTAGCGCGATGTGGGCATACTTTTAACAGAAATTTCGTCTTCGCACACAACAGCTCGAATTTTGGCAAGTTGAGCTAATTTACTATGTTTGTATGGAAGGTCGGTACGACTCTTGTATGGTGCTAGTGTAAAATACTGGGGAACCGTGATTAAAAGAGTACGTGTGGACCTCGGCACTTCTTACAAAGCTGCTTCTTGGTCGCACGCTAAAATACCGATGCTCGTAGATACGAAATTTATTTTCAGTTGGTGAATAGTTTTTAATTTTTTTTGTCTTTGCCATACAAACCTCTTATAGCGTTAGACATTTTTAAAGGCCGCACTAAACAACTGAGCGCATGCTTGGCGGCCATGCTGTAGTCAATTTCTGCCCATGACGATTATTGCCAGCCTCTCGTGACTTACGTGGCCTCGATCCCAACTGACTCTTGAAGTTTTTCCAGGGAAGCGGGTTGTTTTAGAACCGACTCTGCGTTTTACCCCCGGTCTGCAGTTTGCAGTTTTACACTGACCGGATTAAAATGTGATGAAAGCAAGCAGCTGAGAACCCTTTTGTGTGTAAGTTCAGCGCTAAAAACCAGCGTGAGAATTCTTAATAAACTTTAGCACGGAAGTCTTTAACCCCCATCTCGTCGTCTCCGTAGTATTGTACGCTGGAATAATGACGTTTCATGCTTGAATGAAAAAATGCTTTATATTACTATAAATTGGAAACAAAAGCTTTAAATGGACCGCTTTCCTTTCACCCTTTGTTTTTCTTCTGTTTTCACACAAGAGATTGAGAGATGACGTTTGTCACTCTTGCCGCAAACTACTCCGAGTATTTGTGTCAATTTGTTTCAGAATAATATCAAGTTGTGGACAAGAAAGAAAACATCCTTCATATAATTGCCTCAACCACTTAATATCAGAAGATTAGCTGCTGCATAATGTCGACATATTTCCCGCTATAAAATACTTTGCTATCGATCTAAAGACATCTTTGTCGACATTACAAGGTCGGTTACCACCAATCTTTTAGCCGAAACTCATGTTTTTTGTATTCCTGGGAACTCTACTGGCTTACTTACTGGTGGTTGTACCTACTGGTATTATTCTTACGATAATCGACGGTAGCGAAGATACGTAGCGATGGCTTTAAAGCACAACAATAGCGTGATACAATTTGATGTGATGTGGTTCGAACTAAAAGGAAATTAAAAATAAACCTATGTAACTTACATTGTACCGTATATCGATTGTGCATAACGACAATGAAATCAACTAAGCCTTTATCTAATAGAAACCGATGTAAACAGAGTA